TGTTCACACCATCATCTATGTTTATTTTTATTTGGCCATTGTAAAAAAGACTTTAAGTGCTTTAGAGTTTAATTTGTATGATTTCATTTGATTAAACTTTATTGCCACCAAAACTGTTATTAATATGGCAACTCGTGTTACATAATGTATTAAAAATAAGGCCATTAAGTGATTTCGTTTATGTATTTAAAACTTTCCACTTTGTCACTTTATATATATATTCTTCTTCCTGGCAACCTCCCAGCTTTAGCCAGGGTCTGCCGTATACTTTATATATATGTAACAGGCATGAAATAATTAACCAACTGTGTCGATTAAAATGAGGTATAATGTATCAATTGTAAAATATTTTTTATATTAACTTGTAGACATGATAGTACATTTTGAACTTTTTATTCATAATATCTATAAACGAATTAATTTACATTAATCAATGTTAAATCTAGTTAATAACTATTTAATATATGTATAAATATATTATTTGTAACTTCTCAATCAAATAAATTTGGCCGTGAACCTGTTGCATTAAAATTGTTTAATCAAAGCCTAGTCTAGCCTGTACTGACCTTTATAAATAAAATGTCATATAAGAATATGATAAATATATTAAAATTAATTTGGAGAATTTAATAGTACTGAATATAAAATATTGAGAATTTTACATTGTTTCAATGCTTTTCCTTTCTTAATAATAAATAATTATTATGTAAAGATTACAATAATATAACCATCATTATATACATTTTAAGTTATTTAATTATTATGTATATATAAATGTAACCTTTGCGAGCAAAACTATTATTTAAATGCCAATAGCTTATCCAATACTGGTTTTACTGCTGCATATAATGTGCAGTTAAAAATTAAAACTAGTTTTGACGTAAGACACGTTATGAAATTGAAAGAATTTTATATGTATATATTAATAATTATTATTATTATTTTCATATATTAAATATTAAGACAAAAATTCCAAAGCAATTTATTACGTAAATTATATTGAAGTTATATTGACAACCCTAGAAAAGGTATAATATTGACAACCCTAGTTCAGCTCAAGACAGTTCATTACGAGAGCACAATTAAAACAAATGTATACCAATACATTAGTTACGTCAAAAACATTAGTAATTAATTTGTAAAAATGTAGAAGCAGAGTATGAAGTATGAAGAACAACGCGTTTCACTTTCCTAGTTAATATTTATAACCGTTGTTATGACTGCTAATAAACATAAAACATGTCTATTCTTGTGAAACAGGAAATTCAATAAATTTTAAATGGGTTGCACACTGAAAATTATTTGCCTTTATGTATTTACTATCCTTTGCACTGTAGCATTTTTAACTTACCTATACTTACACGTGGGTCAATGACCGCTCTGCATTTATCAAATTTAACAGTTACAAGAAATGGTATCAAGAAATAATTAAAAAATCTTCTGCTATATATACAGGGTGACTGGTGAATTACTATCAATATTTAAGGAGAATACGCGGTACATGATTCTCATTCGAATTATGTAAAAAAAATAGGTACTTAATTTTTGACAAATTTTCCGTATAAATAAATAAAGTGTTGACACGTTCCAAGTGTTCCAAGTGTGGACGCGTGCGGCGGCGTGCTGATACAATACCACGCCGTCTCACGCGTGTGAGTGTGTGTGTATACCTAATCTGTAGGGTGTTCACACGATGCGTAATTAATTACATAACTTTTGGTTAACTTTACTTAGAAGTTTATTAATATTTATGTTATATTAATTTTTATTTTGTCATATATGATCGTCAAATATCACGTCCTCAAGTATCGATAGTAATTCACCAGTCACCCTGTATATGTATGTATGTGTATATACATATATATAGTCACAAACTATTCTAATGGTTGCTACGTTCCATTCCAATGTAAGCCTTCAAAGTAAAAGCAATGAGACTCCGGTATCGTTCATTATTACAATATTTTCATAACAATTTTATTAATTTTATTATGTACTAAAATCATCCATCTTTGTTATTTATATTCTTCAATAACTTGAAATTATATTTTCGTTTCTCACAATATCACAGTTTCTATACAATTAACATTCACGCAAAGGTCGAAAGCTGGTTTTACTATGAATCATTTTCAACCTTATGTTCATTATAATAAGACCTTATTGGTTTACAATCGGATTTTAATCGTCATGTTTGATTAGACTCGAACAATTTTATTTTATTTTATTTATTGTATTTAGCAAAATTGAACCTTATTATTATAGATGTAAAATCTATTTTTGCATAATAATATTTTTAGATAATCGCGGTTGTCAAAATTAAGTGAGATAAGACGTTTATAACAAAATCGTGATAAAAGTTTTTCTATAGATATCTAATTAAGTGAAATAATAAAATATATTAGTCATACTATTATATTACAAAGAAAATAATGTACCGAGTTCTTGTAATACATAATACTTTACCTACATACCTTACTAAGAAATTTCACCTACGCAATACTGTTAACGAGTATAGCATAAAATTGTATTAACGCTAATACAACAGAAAAATACTATTAAATCTAAAACAGCATAAATAAATTTGAATTTAAGGGAAAATTTAATTATGATTAACAAATCTGGATTTATTATTTTAGTTAAAACTGATTTTTCTTTCAAAACTTAACTTTTTTTTCCCATGAAGATTTAATACTTTCACGAGTAATCATTTAAATGAAACTAATATTTTTCGGATTACACTGCAAATTTTATTATTATAAATACTACATACTACCAACAGATGAGCACATCTTTTCTGGCCGTGATCATTGTTGCTGTAAAGTAACCGAAACGTCGGGAGTATGTAGTTTATACAATAAAATACGCGTATTATTACGAAAAATATTATTTTCATTTAATATTACGTATATTTAGACATTCTCCTTTAGAGAATGCATTATCACACATCGACGATTGTAGTCATTTAGCATTACTATGTACAAAACAATAAAAAAGTAATAATTCAGTTAGAAACATGAAGTTTTATGAAAACTATATTTATCGGATAGAAAGTTGTATCGAGAAGCGATTGCGTCAACTCCAATTGTGAGAGATGGACGCTTCACTGAACTGAGGAGAAAACAGACGTAAATAATAAAGAAATAATGGTATTAGAATTACCAAGCTTCAGTACTGTAATAAATAATAATAAATTAAAAAGAAATCACATATATACATTAAATCACGTTTATGCTAATGTACTATACAAAAAAAACGTCTAAATTATTTAAAAATTCCTATGACATGTTTATAATTCTTGTTGTGTTCAAGCCGTAAACATTATTCGGAAATTCCCACAAGCGACTCGACTCCTGTTCTGTCTATAGTGCCTTCCGATTTTTTCTATTCTTCCCATTAATTCTGAATCCAAGTGAACTAACATTTCAATTGGACGCTAATTTAATCTTTCCTACGGTCAAGAAGCCTGGGAATAATAATTACAATGGTGTGTTATAAAACAATCACAGCATAGCTTGTTTCATTACCATCTTAAAATATTTATATCGTGCTTCATAAATGACTTTGTTATCTTTTAGTTTCAATTCACAATATTATTGCTAACTAAACTCTCTGTTTTCGCGGGCCTCGGTGTGAATGACATTCTAAATTTGTATGTTGATATAAGTATATGAAACGATGTTTTTTTGATACTGAAACAGAATTTTTTATAAAATATTTAGTTATTGGCATACACTTAGCATTATTGAGAGTGTACGGTCAATAATTCAGATAGTTCCTATGTATTAACTAGATTAATTTCCATTAACTGTTCAATTCACGCTCATAAACATTCTAAGAGGTATTGAAACACAAATTAGGCGATGTCCGTACACCTCCTCGTAAGTACGCTCGCCTCGGGTTCGATGACCTTGTTTGGCGGACGTTTAGTGTTTAGTTTATTCACTCTCGGCCAAGGTGAGGGCCGTGGATAGACGCGAATTAATACCTCATGTTATTGACCTCGTGTTTTCTGAACTCTCCTACACGTATGGTATGTAGCGTGCCTAGGATTATTTTCTAAACACGCCACGGTACGGCTTCACCGCTCTGATATTACAAAACTGTTAAAGATTACACACTCGGACAGAGAAACTCTGTTTATAAATACAATGAAAATATTTTTGTTAAAAGAATGCTGGACGCAAACAGACAGATAGCTAGAGAAATGTGTTATTTATTAAGGCACAACCAATTATTTTGCGAGCTAGGACATTTTGTTGTCGTGTGACGTGAGCAATGAGCATGTACTATAATTTAGGTATTGTGAAATGTCTCTGTACTTCTCAGAATGTATTTGAATAGAGTTCTCAGAATGTAACAGTCTCGACTGTAATGTGTACCGCAAATAAAACATTGGAATATATCTCAATTGACTAGCGATGAATGTACTAAGAGTTCTAATAGATATGTTATTTACACTGCTTTGTTGGTTTATATTATAAAGGAATATTTATTATCTATTTTTAAGAACTGCACTTACGCTAACCAATACTTTAATATATATAAGATAAAGTAAGTGGTGGCCTAGTGGTTAAAAGTCCCACCTCTCATGCATGAGGGCGCGGGTTCGATCCTGGCAAGTACCGATGTGATTTTTCCAAGTCATTTGACTTTCTAAGAGTATCAGGACACCACTGACAGACGGTGAAGGAAAACATCGTGAGGAAACCTGGACTTATAATTTCACAATTATAAGTTTGAAATCACCAACCCGTCTTGAGCGAGCGTGGTGATTAATGCTCAGACCTCTCCATGTGAGAAGAGGCCTTGTTCAGCAGTGGGCTCTGACAGGTTGATGACAAATTAAAGTTCGAATTATTATTATGACTAGTTAATCGTAATTTTGATTATTAGTTCTTGTATCGTAGAATGTTTGTGTCAACAGGTTTGTTGTGTTCACACGACTTTTAACAAAACCTAATAGTATCGTCATACCAATAGAGTCTAATTTCCCATTACAGGATATGCAAGATGTGTTAGATGAAGATTCACAGATGAGCGACTGGCTGATCGAGAGGGACTCAAAGCTGGGTGTGGTGCTTCATGATCGTCTGATGACCGACGCCGCGCTTGGCGCAGCTCCTATAAAGACTGAACACTCCTACAGCCTCCACTCCGATGTTGAATCATCACCACCCTCGCCACACCACACCAAAGTTGACGGTAAATATTGTAAAGTAGCCTATGTCTTATTCCAGGACGTCAGCTTCCTGTATACAAAATTTTATCAAAATCGCTTCAGCCGTTTGAGCGTGAAGAAGTAACAAACACACACACTCACAAACTTTCGCAATTATAATATTAGTAGGATTATGTTGGAGTATAATCTGCCGAGAGATCAATTGGCTGTTTTTAGTTTATAAAAGTTCAGGTATGTCGTGTGTCAATTGTTACACAAAGAATTATTTTGCCCATGTAAGTTTGTGTTCTTCAGTATAGTATTGGCCTAATAAAGTAAATCACAATTGCGTCCGATACAAATTATATGAAATAATGTCATATGAGTTCAATTGTACTGCTTTTTGAGTAGAAATTACATGTATGGATATAAAAGTATCATTAATTGAAAATAAAGTCTAAGTAACTTCTAATTGTGATCAAATGCGTGAATAATATAAAGGGTACATTCAAAAGACTCTTCTTATAGCTACTGAAACTACTACATACATAACTCAAAGCTTGAAATCATTCTCAGCTTAGTACTGATCATTGAAGGAGAAGATTCGGAAACAAGAACTATACACAAATCCCTACTAATATTATAAATGCGGAAGTAACTCTGTCTGTCTGTATGTTACGCTTTCACGCCTAAACCACTGAACTGATTTTAATGAAATTTGGTACAGACATAGAGTTGATCTTGAGAAAGAACATAGGATAGTTTTTATTCCAGACTTTTGACTTTTTCCACACTTCTCTTGAAAACGCGATATAACCGAACTCCACGAGGGCGAAGCTGCGGACGGAAAGCTAGTTATTTATATTTTAGAATTTATTGTATCAATTCTTAGTAGTAAAGATAATACGTCCACAATATCACAGATACGAAGTATATTTTTATAAATATTTTCTTTATCTTACAATAATTTCTATCTAATACTACGTGAGTGCGTGTCGTCTCATAGTTGCCTTGGTATTCAATATAAATAAGCATTTAATTTTATCACGTTTCGCTTACTTTTAGTTTTTTAAATTAAATATATAACGTACATGATTTTCTACTAACATTATTAATAAAAAATATATTTATTCGATAATAATTGTGTATATTAAGGATATGTGTTAAATCAATAAAAAAATCCACTGCAATAATAATCATTTTTTTTATATATGTTTACGTATGCTTTTTGGTTTTTACGAAACAGATTATATTTTTTTGGAAGTAAATTTTTACCAAACCAACAATCTTAAATTATTAAAATTCGATCTGAATTTAGTTCCATAGTAATGCGAGCATCGTAACTTAATTCGCTGATTGAACGAATCAAATCAATTCCTATATAGGAATATTAATAGATTTTGTTCTAATCCAATATGCTAAAACCGATGTTTTATAGCAATTATTGTATATATCACTTAAACCTTTATACATTTCGTAGATATTTAATCACTGATAATAAGTTTAATTTCGAAAAAACATCGACTATTAATATATATTGTACTAGCTGACCCGGCAGACTTCGTACTGCCTCAATCGAGAAATAAATATTTTTTTTTTTTTTTAGTTTACTTATAAGCCATAAATGTCCGTGTTCTGAAGTGCGACAGAATGATTGACATGTATGGAGAATAGAAAAGTGCTGTTTTTAGAGTTTTTCCGGAAATTAATCAAACTTTTTCAGCCTTTAAACTTTCCCTGAACCTCCACGAACATTTCAAGACTAAGATAAGATAAATCGGTTGAGCCGTTCTCAAGTTTTAGTGAGACTAACGAACAGCATTTCATTTTATATATATAGATAGATAGATTAGCCATCAATCTGTTTGAATATTTAAGTGTTAATAGTGACAGTGCTATTGTTAAGACATCGTCAGCTTCAAATACGGTTACATCACTGTCTAATAGTTCACAGTATGATGTCAAGATTTAATTCAAACAATAATCACGCCTTAAAATTGCTTTTAATAAAAAACAAGCTTAATATATAAATAGACTAAGGTTGAGGTAAAATTTATGATAATTGCTTTATAGGATCGATTGTTTTTTTTACTAACTAATGTTTCGAATAAATGAATAAATTTCTCTTATTCTACGAATAAATCCTACAATTTATATAATATTATAGGATAACTGTTAATTACATTATGATTTTTAGCTTATTTTGTCTAGATTACATAAATATACAAATTATATTTTCGTGTAAACTTGGAGTATTGTTATATATTAGTATTTTAATTTATAATCAATTAGATTTTGCTGATACTACGCGTTTTCGAATCCATTACAGCAACCGTGATCATGGGCCGACGAAAAATATAACTGTCTTGTCTGTATAATGCAGATATAAACATACAGATTTAATATACGAAAAAAATTAGTTTCATTTAAATGTATACACCCCAAAAACTAAGTTCGTTAGCGTAAATATTAAGCGTATATTAATTGATATTCGTAACAAAATTAAATTAAACAATTAAATGCATTGAAGATTTGATGAGTATAATAAGTTTTATCAAACATCAGACACAAGTCTCGTGACACACGAACACAAATGTCATACAGATATGTGGAGACTAGATGCCATACAGGGTGACTGGTGAATTACTATCAATATTTAAGGAGAATACTCGGTACATGATTCTCATTCGAATTATGTAAAAAAAATAGGCACTTAATTTTTAACCAAATTTCCGTATAAATAAATAAAGTGTGGCCACGTTCCAAGTGTGGACGCGTGCGGCCGCGTGCTGATACAACACCACGCCCCCGCACGCGTTTGTGTGCGTGTGTGTGTATACCTAATCTGTAGGGTGTTCACACGATGCGTAATTAATTACATAACTTTTGGTTAACTTTACTTAGAAGTTTATTAATATTTAATGTTATATTAATTTTTATTTTGTCATATATCATCGTCAAATATCACGTCCTCAAATATTGATAGTAATTCACCAGTCACCCTGTATAATGATTTGGAAGGCTGTAAGATACATGTGTATGGATATTCGTTCCCTTCACCATACAACTGCTAAGCAGATTTTGAAAAAACTTTACAATAAAATAAGTTTCAAATAAGACAAGGCGATAATTTATCCCCAAATTAAATGTAGTTACGGCATGACGAAGACGTAACAATTGTATTGTGTATGAAGTCATTGCACAAGATTTTTGATGTCGCTGCAGGCTGCTCATCACTACTATTGTTTTAACACACTCAGACAAAGCCGTAGACGTAAACTAGTGAATATATGTATTTCCTTATGTACATATTCATCTTTACTTTGAAATGTTTGAAAATAACATATAATTTTTAAATTATACAGGGTGACTGGTGAATTACTATCAATATTTAAGGAGAATACTCGGTACATGATTCTCATTCGAATTATGTAAAAAAAATAGGTACTTAATTTTTGACCAAATTTCCGTATAAATAAATAAAGTGTGGATACGTTCCAAGTGTTCCAAGTGTGGACGCGTGCGGCGGAGTGCTGATACAACACCACGCCCAAGCGCGCAAGTGTGTGTGTGTGTGTATACCTAATCTGTAGGGTGTTCACACGATGCGTAATTAATTACATAACTTTTGGTTAACTTTACTTAGAAGTTTATTAATATTTATGTTATATTAATTTTTATTTTGTCATATATGATCGTCAAATATCACGTCCTCAAGTATCGATAGTAATTCACCAGTCACCCTGTATATTTCGCGGTACATTGTTCTCATAAAACTATTTTCGATGCGAGTGTCGTTTAGTAAACGGTACAAAGCACACATTAATTCTTTTAACATACAAATATTAATTTTATACGAGACAAAACCTCTTAGCATTCAATGTATTCACGGTGCGTGTGTCGGGTCCATCGTTGTAGGGAGAGGAGCTTCAACAGTGACTGGGACTTGTGACCCAGGTGTAGGTTTAAGGGCATATCTAACGCGCGTTAAATGCTCACGTTAAATGCTCACCTCCACTGTCCAAGCTCCTCTCTCTAGTCTCAAATTTGAAAAGAACCTAACATTTAGTAAAGAACATATTTTGATTAACTACATACATATAAAATACAACTGCTTTACTTGATTGCATCAAATTGATTATAGATCTTATATTTAGCCATCACGTGTGTAGAGGTCTTTCGATATAAATATATCTCTTTGACCTAGACCTCGTAACAAACCAGATGTCTTTGAATTATAATTCTATACAAATGTTTCGTTTCAATAATAATATATATATATATATATATATAGAGATATTAAAGATCAGATAATAATTATGTATAACAAAACACGAATCTGCTATTAATTTTAATCTTTTCTTATCAAATGCATCGGTACATTTGTTACGACAAATTGATTAAAAAACATTATTTATGATTCAATGTTTTGTTAGTTTTTATATAATGAGCTGTCTTATCTTCATATAAAAGAAAGTCGTGTTAGTTACACTATTTATAACTCAAGAACGGCTGTACGGATATGGGTAAAAATTTGTAGAGAGATAGCTTAGAACCAGGAGACGGACATAGGATCTTTAATTCTGTTCCATCGAAAAAGAAAAAAGTTAATACACATATAACTAATGCCGAAATTAACGCGGACGAAGTCGCGAGCAAAAACTAGTTTATTATATATATTTTATAATAAAAAGCAATTCACATCGATAACGATTCGGTACGCTTTTGCCAGCGATCTCGATTTTTCGTGAGTTAAATATCTAAAAAGAGAAATTTCACAGACCGACCACCGGCCAATGGCCGCTGTCATGATTTTAAAACTCCTATAAATATATTCTTTAATTTTTAATAATAATAATTCGTTAACTTTGTTTATAATTATTTGATACTAGCTTTCCGCCCGCAGCTTCGCCCGCGTGGACTTCGGTTATATCGCGTTTCCAAGAGAACCTTTCAAAAGTGTAGGATAAAAACTATCCTATGTTCTTTCTCAAGATCAACTCTATGTCTGTACCAAATTTCATTAAAATCAGTTCAATGGTGTAGTCGTGAAAGCGTAATAGACAGACAGACAGAGTTACTTTCGCATTTATAACATTAGTAGGGATATTTTTCCTTAATATCAATCATTCATTTATTTTATTATCTTCGAATCTTTAATCGTTAAAGTACGTGAAGCAATTAATTTTTATTTCTTTATACAGGCTAACACCGTTATCATTATTAAATTAATCACATCCACTTATAAATTTAACGTTCTTTTATTTTGGTGAAAGGTATCCACTTTGTAGTAAACTCATTCGTACACATTGAATAGTGATGTGCTGTTTACATAATTACAAATTTCTTTGTAATTCTCGCATTATAATAACATACTGTTAGCTCAATTTGTTTCCATTTTTTACGGTAACAGAAAGAGTCAAATAACTTTAGAGAATTAACTAGTTTAGGAATAATTTTAATATAATTATTATATGTTATAAACATAAATATATACGATATATGTTATACAGGGTGACTGGTGAACTACTATCGATATTTGAGGACGTGATATTTTACGATCATATATAACAAAATAAAAATTAATATAACATAAATATTAATAAACTTCTAAGTAAAGTTAACCAAAAGTTATGTAATTACTTACGCATCGTATGAACACCCTACAGATTAGGTATACACACACACTCACACAGACGCGGCGGCGGCGTAGTGTTGTATCAGCACGCCGCCGCACGCGTCCACACTTGGAACACTTGGAACGTATCCACGCTTTATTTATTTATACGGAAATTTGGTCAAAAATTAAGTGCCTATTTTTTTTACATAATTCGAATGAGAATCATGTACCGAGTATGCTCCTTAAATATTGATAGTAATTCACCAGTCACCCTGTATATTATGTGTCCCAAAGTATTTATTCCCAAAGAGGGTTGAGTCGGGCAGGCGGCCTGTCGTAAAAACAATTAGCCAAAACTATTCACAACATGTAAGGTAGACCCTGGCTAAAGCTGGGAAATTGCCAGGTAGAAGAAGAATATATCATGTGTCCATTCATATATAAACGAAAACAATTTTCAATAAACAATGAAGCTACCATTATAACTCAATTCATTAATATCGTGACCAGCTTATATACATAACATGACTTATGTACCATCTATACATTATGTACTACATGTTCTATAAAAGATAGTTAGTCAGTGGTGGCCTAGTGGTTAATAGGCCCGCCTCTCATGCATGAGGGCGCGGGTTCGATCCTGGCAAGTACCAATGTGATTTTTCCTAGTCATATGTACTTTGTAAGAGTATTTAGAAATCACTGATTATTGCATTCCCAAACAGGGTTGATGTCAGGCAGGCGGCCGGTCGTAAAAACAATTAGCCAAAACTATTCACAACATGTAAGGCAGACCCTGGCTAAAGCTGGGAAATTGCCAGGTTGAAGAAGATATTATATAAAGGATATGGTTTTATATCTGTAGTTGTATCATTCTTTAAACATTGTATTAGCTTTCACAGAAAAACACTTATAGATGTTAATCATATTAAATTGTGATGTGTTTTTTCCATGAAATGTCTAAATAAACATTGATTTTAATAACCACTTTTATTATTAGATAAATAAACATTCAATCTCTTATAATTGTCTATTTCATCATAAGTTTCGTGTTTTTCATATTAATTTGTGTTTACCTAAACTTATTAATATACTTGGGTTGTCCAGAACTAACATCAAACATTCTTAAAACGTGTCTAGAATTCAGCCCTAGTAGGTTCGTTTTAAATTTGGTTAGGTAAAGAGAGGAGCTTGGACAGTGGAGGTGAGCGTTTAACGCGTTAGATAGACTCCCCTTAAACCTACACCTGTGTCACAAGTCCCAGGCACTGTTGAAGCTCCTCTCACTACAACGATGGACCCGACACCCGCACGGTGAATACATTGAACGATGAGAATTTTCGTCTCTTATTTCTTCTTAAAAGCTAGATGTATCTTAAATCTAAACATTACTTTCTTAGGAAGATTAATAAGTATTCTCTTTGAAATACATGCAATAATTTAAGAAAACACATAATAGATGTATATAATGACTATAGTCTTAGTATATAAGATTTGGTCGTACAATAGAATAATATTTCGACAGCGGTCAATGACCTCTACGATATTGCTTATAAAAACAGATGCTGGTAACGAATCTTAATGATAACTCAATGAATTGCCGGCGTCTAGTTTTACGACACAATTGATGGAAACAAGTGTTAATTAAACGTATTCAATTAATATCATCTTTTAACAAATTACTATAGTACAGTATGCTTACTAAGACTTAATTTGTAAGCGTTAAGAATCTTTCATTCATAGATCTTAGTAATTAAGAAATAAAGTACATTATTGAATGACAATTTAAACTTAATAAAGCATACGGAATATTCGAAGTGAGACTTAATATAAAGTAGAACTTATTATGTTTAAACGATAAATATTCACGTATTTAAATTAAAAAGATGGGTACAGTATTGACTTTAGGCCGATAAGTCTGTCAAGCCTGATGAATACGTTAAAAATAGAAGTTAAATTTCACGTAGTTATTTTAATAATAGTTAAATATCTTAATTAACACTGCTAGTAATGATTACAAGCATGCGATTTGTGAAGGATTCTAAACACTTTCTAATAGAATTTTCATTCTTCTTCTACCTGGCAATTTTCTCAGCTTTAGCCAGGGTCTGCCTTACATGTTGTAAATAGTTTTGGCTAATTGTTTTTACGACCGGCCGCCTTCACATCAATCCTCTTTGGGAATGCATTAATCAGTGATGTCTGAATACTCTTAGAAAGTACATCTGACTCGGAATAATCACATTGGTACTTGCCAGGATCGAACCCGCGCCCTCGTGCACGAGAGGCGAGCCTTTAACCACTAGGCCATCACTGATTATCTAATAGAATTATCATTAATGTAGGGTAATTAATACAACACAGAAACATCTGCTTCGTTACTACATACATGGAAAGATACATTTGTTGTGATATCTAACGGAACGGATAAACGATTTAAAATGCATAATTTTAATGACATATTAGTAGAATATGTAGTTATTATAATATGTGGTCATAAACATAAAATATTTTTTTATATTCTTATATAAGCAAAACAAAAATACAGTCTGTTCTGACTCGATTTATTTGCTATGTAATATGTAGAATAATTTTAGGTATTATTTTATATAAATTAATAAAATATATATATTATTTAATGAAATAACTGTTAGTATAACGTGTTTTAGGTAATATTGGGTAAAATAAAACGCCCGGCTCTATTGATTAGCTAATCTAATATCCTTACCACAAGTGCATACGAAAACTTTAGAGTTTATTTATCATGAAATTGCTCATGCGATAGTTTTAACTATCAAAGTAATACGCTTGTCAATGAAAAACTAGAAATGCTTCGTATTTAGTGTGACTATCAAAACTTGTGGTAAGAGTTCTTGCAGCTCTTGTCTTTGGTAACTCTTCGAGAGTCAAACAAAATAAAACAAAAGATATTTCTTATATTTGTAAGTATGTTAAATAATATCGTAGAATGAAAAGTTCTTATTATGATCATTAATCATTTACTTTTCACAAATAGAATTAAATAAGTTTTTTTACATTGAAATATAATTTAGTAGCACCAAATTTTTATGTGCTATTCTATTTTATCTACGAAATAGCTAAGAGATTTCTATGTCTTTCCGTAAAACATCTCTCATTATAAGTTAACCTAGATAATTGGCGTTTTATTCTAGATATGGAAGACGAATGCTATCCCGCCATTCCAGCCAGTGCTTGGCGGAGTCGCCGGCGTTCAAGTGACTCCAGTCCCGAAGTGAAGGCGGAGCCCAAGTCTGAACCGGAGTCGCCAGCCTCATCGTGTCCACCGTCACCTACACCCACTATGTCCACTGTCGACTATGTTATAGACCACACTGTGAGTACTATGATGAATACACACACACACACACACATACACACGCATATGTATTTATAACATTGAGTAAGTGGTGGCCTAGTGGTTAAAAGGCCCGCCTCTCATGCCCGAGGACGCGGGTTCGATCCTGGCAAGTACCAATGTGATTTTTCCGAGTCATATGTACTTTCTAAGAGTATTTAGACATGTCTGATTAATGCATTCCTTAAGAGGGTTGATGCCAGGCAAGCGGCCGGTGTAAAAACAATTAGCCAAAACTATTCACAACATGTAAGGCAGACCCTGGCTAAAGCTGGGAAATTGCCAGGAAGGAGAAGAAGATTTATTTGTAACATACACACACACGTATCTGCACACATATATATATTTTGAATCCGTGTACACAATTCACTAGTAGGTTATAAAATTTGTAGTTATAAATCTTACGAATATTTATAATCGAAGCGTACTAACGCTAACAAATACTTGTGGTTGTATAGTAATTATATTGAAAAGATCTTGAAGCTGTAACTAACAGACGCTGGTATATAAATATACAACAGAGAGTATTCTTAAGATGTCCATGTTTAATTGACAAGTGAAAAGTAGTCGTGATTTGAAATACGATCTCAATAAAAGCGTGATTTGATGAAATAGAAGGTCACGTTGGTTCAAATAGCTCATGAGACTTTCACTAACAGGGTTTAATAAATGTGCACGTTTTTGGAAACCAGTATAGTTGGTTGTAATTACAAACTGTGTAGGTAAACTTGGAGAAAGGTGCAAAAACTTGATTAAATTTACACTTATCATCTGTTAAAAATAAAATAAATAATTAAAAAAATATGAATCGAAGCCGCTACTTGCTAGATAAGTCGTTAAAGCCACTTCTCTGACTAAGCTATCGTGTCCTCACTAAAATTCTATATATTTATTGTTCTTTATCAAGTTGTCAAGGAGAAAGCGTTTATATTTATAGGAAGGATTTAATTAACAAACTTAAAGTGATCTCTCACTGACAAACTTCCACTTGATCGACTATTGAATTCCATTAAGTATAACAAGTGTCAAGTTATAAAAGTTGTTGGAAAGATTTAAAGTTTAAGATGCAAATTGTTTGCGGAATGTAACGCCGGCTGATGCATACTGATTGAGATGATAAAGATCATGTAACAGGACATGCAATGCTATCACCAAATAAGATAATTCAGGTTGTTGAAGGCTTACTTAGAATGGATACTTTCCTGTTAGTATACGGATGTAGCATTAAAAGGTTTTAATTAAGTTAAGTTAGCTAAACAATCTATATCTTCTATATATATAAAAATGGATTGCTGTTCCTTAGTCTCGCTAAAACTCGAGAACAGCTGAACGGATTTATCTTATCTTAGTCTTGAAATGTTTGTGGAGGTTCAGGGAAGGTATAAAAGGTGAGAAAAATTGGAATAATTGCCGGGAAAACCCTAAAAACAGCCCTTTCTATTTCCCATACAAACGTTTTTTTGACATTAGATTTGACAACTAACTAATATGTCAATCATTCTGTCGCATTTCAAAACCCGGAAATTTATGGCTCACAGGTAAACTCCAAAAATATAAATTAAAAAAAAGTAATAGATATTTCTTGATTATAGGGCGATACGAAGTTCGCCGGGTCTTCTAGTTTAGAATAAAAAGACAATGTTAACAAAATTACAAGCTATCTTTCAAATACAATCCCTACTATAATATTATAAATGCGAAAGTAACTCTGTCTGTCTGTCTGTTACGCTTTCACGCCTAAACCACTGAACTGATTTTAATGAAATTTAGTACAGACATACAGTTGACGTTGATAAAGAACATAGGATAGTTTTTATCCCAGACTTTTGAAAGGTTCTCTTGGAAACGCGATATAACCGAACTACACGCGGGCGAAGCTGCATGCGGAAAGCTAGTTATTATATTTAAAACATAGTCATATTATATTATTACAAGGAAACAAACAAGACAAGCGTAAGCCGTAGCAAAGTTACTTGGCTTCATCTATAATAATAAGCCTTGACTTGAAACAATTATGTTTACCCTAATTACTTACGATCGACTACACAAAATCTTATAAACAAATGGTTCTTATAAATCAATGTTTATTCTAGACCGGCACAATCCATATGCCGCAAGCTGTGCTGCAGAAAGTCGGCGCCGCTGGCGTGCCGCAAATACTATTAAGTGCCGCGCCACGTATCGCAAACTCACTCAACAACAACAAACTGTCAATCAAAGTCACCTCATCGGGTACATCAGGTGAGTTATTAATATACTTTTTCGACATTTTATGAATCATTTACAACACAATACATGTCACCCGCATGTTAAATTGTTGTTGAATGATAATTGTTTAATTTGCATTCAATCCCGTCCCTCGTCACTTACTAATTACACTCTAATTTAAAACGAAATAATTCACAAATAAACATGACTTTTATATTCATAATAATAATAAATTGGGAAGGAATAAAACATGATAGCAGTTTATTTTGACGATATCTATAAATTGTTTCTCTTCTTAAAATATACGCTCTAATCAGCAAGAATTTTGTTCTTAGATTAATTAAATGAATATATTCTAAGATTTAATAATAATATATTTATATATCACACATACGTACACTACTGAAATTCTAAGATATTTGATATACCTTCTAAGCTACTATTGCAAAAGTCATACTCGGTACTGGATAGTCAGTGGTATCCTAGTGGTTAAAAGGCCCGCCTCTTATGCACGAGGGCGCCGGTTCGATCCTGGCCCGGGCAAGTACCAACGTGATTTTTCCGAATCATATGTACTTTCTAAGAGTATTTAGACATCACTGATTAATGTTTTTCCAAAGAGGGTTAATGTCAGGCAGGCTGCCGGTCGTAAAAACAATTAGCCAAAACTATTCACAACATGTAAGGCAGACCCTGGCTATAGTTGGGAAATTTTCAGTACTGGATAGTAACCAATTATTATTATAAATGAAAAGAATCCGACTTGAAAATATATCATACATATTACAGTATATACATACATAACATTACTAAGCATGTATGTTTTTGTCTATCGCGTCCAGGTTTCAACCTCCCCCCCACTCCTCCGTCTTCTCTATCGTCTTCTGACAGTGAGGGGGCCCTCTCTCCGTCCCACGAGCCCCCCGCGCCCACAACCCCCGCGCCCCCGCGCCGCTCACACCTGTACGTGTCACATCACTCCAGGCAGCCCATCAACACACCACTCATCAGCAGCCAGCCGGTGAGTAGACCGGGATCATATAGAATAGATCTTCCTGATTCGAGTAGACCGTTGTGTTATTGTAATGCGTACACCAATTTATGTGGAAAAGAAATTGTGATTTGAGTAGACCGTTGTGTTATTGTAATGTATACATCAATTTGTGTGGAAAAGAAATTTGATTAGAGTAGACCGTTGTGTAATTGTAATGCGTATGCGTATACCAATTTTTGTGGAAAAGAAAATTGTAATTTGAGTAGACCGTTATGTAATTCGTACACCAATTCGTGTTAAAAAGATATTTGATTTGAGTAGACCGTTTTATGCCCTAAAAAATATACATATATTAACGATAGATAGTACATAATGAAGGATACTGAAACAAGTAATAAATTACCATGATTGATGTATTACAGAAAGGATCCACTGGCACATTAGTTTTAACAGAGGAAGAGAAACGCACGTTACTAGCCGAAGGTTACCCGGTGCCGACTCGTCTACCGCTCACCAAGGCCGAGGAGAAGTCGCTCAAGAAAGTCAGGAGGAAAATTAAGAATAAGGTCATTCTTAGAATAAATAAACTAATAAACCTCTCATCATTCCATGTATTCACCGTGCGTGTGTCGGGTCTATCGTTGTAGTGAGAGGAGCTTCAACAGTGTCTGGGACTTGCGACCCAGGTGTAGGTTGAAGGGCATATCTAACGCGCGTTAAACGCTTACCTTCACTGTCCAAGCTCCTCTCTTTGCCTTTATAAAGAACCTACTAGGGCGGAATTCGAAGTATGTTCTAAGGATGAATTGACTTAGTTATGGACAGGCCCAAGTCTTTTAGTCTTTTAGTATTAACTAAAGCATGACGGACGTTCAATGTTTAACATATACATAAGAAACGATAGGCAACACGTATCCTGTTTTTGTGAGGATATTTTTTATAACATGTTATTCATTCGAATTTTATTTATGCTTATCCCCAAATCTTTTTCGAAGTTTGCTTTGTTAAAATAACTTCAATTCTGAAACGTCTCAAACGATAAAATAAACATTTCAGATTTCTGCACAAGAAAGTAGACGCAAGAAGAAAGAATACATGGACCAATTAGAGAGGAAAGTTGAAATATTAGTATCAGAGAACACAGACTATAGGAAGAGGGTCGAGACATTGGAGAGCACCAACGCTAATCTATTGAGTCAGCTGGCAGCCCTGCAGGCGCTGGTGAGGGGCGCCAGGAAGTGACGTCACGATAGCAGCGATGACGTCATCAAACGGCGCAGCGATACATAAGGACGTCGCTCGCCCACACTGCACAGGGACTTAATAGGTATTTTGACATTATCAGTCTATCAGGTCGATTGATGCAACCGGAACATACGTCATTCTCCATACAGCCGTGGCCGGTGTTTGATCTGCATATATACCTGTGAGATGTATATGTCTCACAGTTCCTATGTTACGGTATACGTCGTATACTATGAATGGTTGCTCATGTATTCGTTAGTTATCGTGGTGCTGATATACAAACTTTTTGGTCCGGTCGTGGGCTCTCAAGCCGCGGGTCGCACGTGAAGCGGCCCGCAGATTATTTACGGCCTAATCGTGTCTTAAATCATATAGTATGTGATAGATATATTTGTATGTTTTTAATTATAAAGTGAACGCACCCGACCGCTTGAGAGACGACTCCGCACCAGCCACGAGTGCCACTTAAGATATTTATTTTCCAATTCGGCTTTAAGTAAACGCTGAACTGGTTTTATCTAAACGATAGTTTAACGCGTGTTTGAAATCTCGTAATATATTTTAATGCGTATTTAAGTCTTGGTATGTGCGTTTTTTTTTTTAATATTATATAATTAAATCAAAATGTGCAATTAGTTATAGATATGATCGTTACCTAAAGCGTTCAGGACTCGCTGTCGTCGGGATCTTAGCATAATATATATAAGGTTGAAAACGCCTTAACTGTTAATATATTGAATTCCATGAATTTGCATTTATAGCGAAATGTTCTGGAGATTTTTGTTTTTTTTTTTTTGATGTGTAATAAACGTTTATTTAATAATTATAGCTATTCTAACGGGCCTTAGTAAACTGATTCGAGTGTGAGTTTTCGGTGTCTAGTCCTTTAGTCTCGTTATTGGAGACGTTATTTCAATGTTAGTAACACAAGTGGCGCGTCTTGTCGACAACGAATCTCGTCCCGTTTGACAAACATTCCATTTATAGTAATGAGTGACTTAAAGTGAGCGAGTACTTACAATATGTACAAACATGTCATGAGCATAATCTACGGAACCAACGCTTGGGATATGCAGGTATACATATATATACAGATTTATTATACACTGAATACTTCCAAACATTTTTCTATATACACTTAGTATATTTTAACTCTGTAATATTCCAGCTAGAAATTATATTAAGATTATTATTATTTTTTTTATATACAAAAAATTCGTTCGGTCTTCAATCTTCGTGTAAATGGTATTAGTATTTTTTACTGTGTGCAATTAATAAGTTCTCTTTAACATATAAAAGTTCTTCCTATATAGTGTTTAAGTGAATAAAATATATTTATATAGAGCTGAATGTGGAACGGTCGTTGGACGGATTTAGAGAAAAAAAAGAATTTATTGAGATACCTACATATATTTTAAGAGATTTTTTCTAATGAAATTTTAGAAATATGTATATATATATATATAAACAGATTTTTACTTGTCTATCGCTATACTAATGTTTACATTGTTAACTTAATTACTGTATAGAAATATATTGATGCGTGCCTGCCTTAAGAACATTACCATATTATATAGTAGCTAAAAGATACATTTTTGAGAATGCTGTTTTGAGATATATATATAATATATAACTTTTGTATAATATATTAAATTCCTATAACAGCATTTATACAATCGAGTTTAAATCGCATACAATGTATATAAAGAGTTTTTTTTATTAGTTACTAACTGAATGCCAAACATTTGTTGTTAGTAGCGGGGTGACGGGCGGCCCGGGGTTTTAATATATTGTACTGTATATAAACGGAAATCTCCCCGGGAATGTTATATGATTCATGTTAATACTGTTAATGTGTCATGATTTGTTGAATCGTTTTTTTTTAATATATTTATCAATGACATTGCTGATCTACTGTCACCCTTGAGTTAATAAAGCGTCGTATATTGTATATGAGTTGTTTCAATTCAATTTTTTCCTACACCTTAATGAAATCAAAGGAATAATGAGATCTAAACGTGTCGCTTCACTTGGCGTTTATTTGTTGTGCCAAATAAGATTATGTGTGGAGGATTTAATTACCTTCATTTGACATATTTGCACAAATAAGACACATACACAAATAAACGAAAACGCGTAAAGACGTGTTGTTGGCATGCCAAGTGTGGATGTCGTATTTGCGCTATTTGGACTACGTACAAATATTTGAACAAAATCCGGGAATACGAAACGCCAAGTTAAGTGCCACCTTAAGACTTTCGCGAGTTTTATTCATTCAAATGAAAATAATATTTTTCGGATATACTACGCGGTTTATTTTTCGTCTGCCCGTGATCACGGTTGCTGAAAAGTAGCCGAAACGTCGTGAGTATCTAGTTTTTTACAAAAATAAAAGTCGCGTAGTAAACCGAAAAATATTAGTTTCATTTAAATCAAAGGAATATACAGACATTAAAAATAATTATTTTCATTCATAATTATCGTTTATTTTTAATCTTACAGTAAATACAGTTCATAATTTAGACTAGATTAGTTTTGACAAAAATTTTAGACTCATGAACACTTCTTGCGTCGTTTTAACATCTCTTGCATTTGTTGAGAAATTATATTTTATTAAATAAATTTTTATATAATACTACAAAATATATATAATTATTATTTACTTCAAGTCATCTCGACGTCGTCAAATAAGCTGCATTCTAATCTCATTTCTCAATAGACTTACATCTAATCGAATGCAATGTATAAAATTATTTTGTATTATTGAAAGAAAAAATATTTACAAAATAACATATATAATAAGATATCAATCAAAGCGTGATGAATACTTTCTTCTTGGCCATTATATGAGCTATGATAACCCATAATGCTGTTCCCCATACAGCTTCTATGAGGCGTATAGCATGTGTTCTCATATATGGTATTTTCCAATGGAATGGGAATATATGTGAACAAATCGAGTGACCTATATATAGAGCTATGGCGTTAAGACCTGGAGCCCTGAAAGGTCCCCCGCCCCACAACCTCCAGGCGTCTGTGAATGTGTAACAGATGCTCAGCAGCGATAGAGAAGCAGCTGACGTCACCAACACGAACGACATAGACCTGGGAAATAGATGCTCAATAAATATGATATAGACTCAGATATATTTTAAAACTGAGCATTTTTTTGGACGATTTTTTTTTTATTGTATTGGCGTTTCTTTTGTTGCAAATGGAAAAAATACTGATGATTAAGAATTAGTTGTGTTATTAAAGTAATATGTGGTGTAAGAAAGTCTCAATATAGTATTTTTACCTACCAGGTCTATGAATAAATTTCATACCCGTATTTTTTACCACGTTTTTAGCATGTACTGATTAATTTCGAACACTGAGTTCCAATGAGTTCTCTTACCAAATAAACAACACAGATATGAATACATTTTACTACTCTACATATTAAATAGTTTTCCACATACCACAAGTTCTTATTAATGGGTATAACTCCATGTTCCCGCGAAAATCCGGCGAGTAAGGCCCCGGCTAGTGCCAATACTAGGGCCCAAGCTAGCCAACGAGACACTCGGGCCTTGTGTGAACGTTGGAGAAGAACAGTCGCACCAGCTTGGACACCTATCAGGGCTTGAACCGAGGATGTGAGGCATCCTAACATTGTACAAATATATTACGTATTAATAAGGGTATTTTTATAGAAAAAATATATTGAGTATGAGATTTCAATCGTAATAGTTTGATTGGTTTTTGATTTGGAGGATAGGTTTTTTGAGTCTTGATTTGTATAATAAAGTTTTAAATACAGGAAACATTATTTGAAATTGATTTAATATATTGAAATAACTGTCTATTTTTTATTTATTTGAAATTTTTATTCATATTTATTCTATTTAGTAAAAAAAATTATATATGTGACTGTAATGTAGACTTTCACAAATGTGACAATTCACAAAATGATATACATGGAAGCTTAAAAATCATTTACTTGCGCAGCTACTTCTTTGATGTACCTGCGATTTTTCGATTATAGTAAGGTTTTTTATTGAAAAATGGAAAAAGATTTAACAAATAAAAAAATATATATCATATTAATTTGACAGATTTTTTTTTTACTAACTCTGTATTCAAAAATATAAATTAATTGTACGTAGTTTCTGTTTCATTTCGTACAGTAATTAAATTGAAAATACAAATACATTACGATAATAATTTAAAATTCAAGAGGATAATCGTGATTCTATCGACCAACCTAATAGACCCTCCGGATCAGTCACTAGTCCTCCGTAAACAATTCTTGGGTCGCTGTTCCGGTAGAGGTGACGATCTCCCAAAAGTAATCGGTCAATGAACCCGGCAGCTCCTCCCGAACATTCCGGGGACACCCAGTCATCGTGTTTACCGCCAGGTCCTAGATATCCACTAAAAATAGATTCTATTATTAGACACATCAAAAATATACTCATTTTTACATCCTACTAATATTATAAATGCGAAAGTGACTCTGTCTGTCTGTTACGCTTTCAGGCCCAAACCACTGAACTGATTTTAATGAAATTTGGTACAGAGATAGAGTTGACCTTGAGGAAGAACGTAGGATAGTTTTTATCCCAGACTTTTGAAAGGTTCTCTTGGAAACGCGATATAACTGAACTTCACGCGGGTGAAGCTAGTAACATGACATTTTGCTTTTAAAAATTCATTTCATCTGAATGCTTAGCATATTTTTCTTTAATAATCCTTATAAATGCTTAGAAAACCAGACAAAAAACATTGCATATTATGTTTGAATTTACAAGTTTATAAAGTAATTAAAATTACCACCATAAGTAATGAGATTATATCGCAGTACATAAATTGCTTTAAATATAAATACATGTTTTCATCTAATTACTATTTATTATATGAAATAAAACTACTATTATCGGATTAACAACGTATTTCTAATTATTTTTAACAACATAATCCAATGATGATTACATGAGATGAATTTGAAATCATGATCACTCACGGTGGGCAGTCAGGGTGGTGTATGATGAAGGTGATGGCTGTATGAGCTGCCACGAGGATTCCAGCTAGCACCCAGCACCAAGCACAAGACAGCACGTCCTTAAGAGCTTGACCACAAGCACCCTAACGAAAATACAACCAGAACTTTTAATTTAATATAATTAATTCATTAATTGTTACGTATACTTAAATACTACCGCGAGCATAACTCTATAGTATATTAAAACAAATTAAAAAAGACATAACCTACTATGTATGTAATTATTTAAGTTTTTACCTACATATTTTTTAATAATATGTATCATATTTATATAAAGTTTTTCTTAAATCACTATGTACGGTTCACAAAAACTAATTTTGTTTCTTTATTTAATTAAACTTATCAAATATCAATCAACAAGTTTATTTTGACCATATTTTATCTGTTAAACATTTGAGAACTTGTTTACCTTACGTTGTTTATAATCCCAATACGACATACTCGAATTCAATTTGCGTTTGTGAATACAACTCAGCTCTTTCTCATAATATTCAGTACATTTTTTTTCTACATAAATACAACCATTATTAAAGAAAAAATCTACTTTTTCAAGTTTTAAATAGTTTTCCTGTCAATATATAGACTAGGTATGTTATTGAAAACAAGATCTAAAGTCTAGACTACACGTCATACTGCATATCTCTTCCGTTCACGAGATCTGTAACGTGTTTTTTATACATAAGTACAATTTCTTTTACTTTGAAAAATGAAGAGATATTTAACCATACTAAAAAGTCTTACCTATATAATATGTAGTTGTTTTAATTAACAAATTTTTCTTATTTATGAAACTAATATTTTTTTGATTAAGTATACTACTCGTATATTATTATTGTATAAACTACATCTCGTCTGCCCGTGATCACGGTTGCTGGAAAGTAACCGAAACGTCGGTAGTATGTAGTTTTTACAATAATAAAATTCTCTTGTATTATCCGAAAAATATTAGTTTCATTTATACGAATACTCGCAAAATTCTTAGATCTCATTTAAAGTTCATTATATTTTGTTATTTTACATTTAAAAGTCATTTTAATGTATTAATACTAATAATATTTGCCATCACACATACCCTTGGAGGTGTATAATATTTCGGGGCTGTAAGGGCATAGAACCCTGCAGCCACAAGATATGACACGGCCAGTCGCTGAAGAACACCCAAAATACGAAGTTCACCCAACATATTAGAACCGTAGATGGTATTCAGAGACACTCCTAGTAAAAACATTATGCATGACCGCTGAAACAAACATTATATAGAATAAATATTAATTATATGATATATACAAATACATGGGATATGGATTCGATTTGTGGGTACTTGTAGTGTGTATGTAACCTTATTTAAAGAACTAAATAAACGACGTGTTAATAGAAATAAATTGAAATATCACATAGCTTTGAATACTATCAAAACTTTTCATTAACATTCTACCTTTAACGAAGATAAGAAGTAAGCGTATATTATAGGAGCTAACAAGAAAGAAGTATGTAATAAGTGTATAAACCGAGTGTGGAATTAGGATTCATTAAAAAATGCCCCAAAAACAAATAGAAATGGCGGTCGGCATAAAAAAAATTCGTGTTTGACAATCATAATTTATAATTAATTAGAGAACTGTTGGATTCAGACGAAAAGTAGAATAACCAAGATCATTTACGTTAGTAATGAATTAAAAATAGTTTTTGACCTAAAATTCAATAGTAATATATAAAATTAAAAATTAATCAACACAAGCAGGATGAATCTATTATTGTTCATTTTAAACTTTATTCATGATTCTTAACATGGCCTAAAAAAAAATATGTTAAAATTGTCTCTTTACTGATAAAAATGCATATACATACACCAATTTTAAAAGTACTATTCACGAGGGAAGATCAATCGAAAAAATCATTATCTTATCGGTTTTTCAATTTGATGCGGCACAAGTTATGTAATGGCGGCTCGTAACTACACGTTCGATTCATACACCCTTAATGTAAATAAATAGCTGACGAGCAAAAACCAGTTGCAGCGAGGACTGAGCCCAAGTTTATGTAACACCGGACCTCGTTATATAGAGGTAATGCTTTAACTGTATGAGCATAAAAAATATAAAGATATAGGAGATAAATTAAAACCTATTTTACAATAAATTACTCGAAATTTATATTTATTAATTTCTTTATCTTGTTATAAAATATAGTAATGAATTAAATGATACTAATATTTTTCGGATATACTACGCAGTTTATTTCTCGTCCGCCCATGATTACGTTTGGTGAAAAATAGCCGAAACGTCAGGATTATGTAGTTTTTTATCAAAAATAAAGTCGAGTAGTACATCCAAAAAATATTAGTTTCATTTAAATGAATAAGACTCGCGAAAATCTTAGATCTCAATATAAAATATAGTATTTAATTTACCCTGAAAATGTGTAGGACGATTTTCCACCTGGGTATACCCTTAGCGAAGGCGCTCTTTATTGATAATGGGATACAGACTCCCATGATCCAGAGGAAGGCAGGGAATACCAGGTCTCCAGCTGCCAGGCCGTTCCAGGTGTCGTGTTCCAACCACCAGTAGCCACCAGCGCCATCGTTCACGAATATCATGAACACGATAGCCATTCTAAAGATAAAGTACTAACATTTTACTTTAAACCAAAATAATCGACTTGTTAGTCGCTCTGTTTCATAATTGTTAAGTTCATATTCTAAATTTTGACAATATTTTAGTTACTATTAACAGCATCATTTTTAGGTAAATAAAAGAAAAATCTTATAAATATTAGTCTTATTTGTCTAGAAATCAGTAAGTTTGGCATAAAAAAAATTCTGTGAAGTGCCCGACACTGACATCTCTTAACACTAAATGCAAGGTAATCAAAACATCAAGATAAACAAAAAATATATATTGAAAATGAGATAAAACATGAGATATGACGTCACATAACATCTTTTTTTTTTATATAATTTGTTTAAGTCGGTATCAATCAAATATTTATATTTAAATTCATCATCATCAGCCTATCAGAGCCCACTGCTGAGCAAAGGCCTCTTTCTCGCATGGAGAAGGTTTGAGCATTAATCACCACGCTTGCTCAAGACGGGTTGGTGATTTCAAACTTATAATTGTGAAACTATAAGTCCAGGTTTCCTCACGATGTTTTCCTTCACCGTATGTCAGTGATGTCTAAACACTTTCAGAAAGTACATATGACTCCGAAAAATCACATTGGTACTTGCCAGGTTTGAACCCGCGATCTCGGTAACAAGAGGCGGGCCCCTTAACCACTAGACCACCACTGACTCTATATTTAAATTACCATAATACAAGTACAGGTAACGAGTATAATAAAAAGTTATTTATTCGTAATATTTCGCGAACATTGCAATTAAAGTGGACGTTATTATGAAGCGGTTAAAAAAAATTCGAACCAGTTACGGTCAATCATTTATATGGCAACCGGTTGCAAGTCGAGTCGAGCTCCTCTGAGAAAATTGTTCCGAGCATATGATAACTAATTTCGGTTTTAAATAACAAATTATATGGGAACTTTAGGCGAGTATTTTTTGAGGGTTATTCAACAATATATATGATTTTTTTATGTGAAAGGTGTCACACGAGACGGCCTATTTGTCGGACAGTAGTCACCGTCGCTAATAGATATCTTATGCTTCGGATTCCCTTAGAAACTTGGAAAAGGGAGGGGTGGGATAAAGAAATGGCAGGAAAGGGTGGGAACAGGAAAAGGGCAACCGGCTCTCTCACTCATAGGACGAAATGCAGCCATTAAAGACTACTTCACGCCGATCTTCTGTGAGAGCTTGGTACTTCCCCGGTCGAGCCAACCTATGTTCGAGCTGTAGTAACTGACCACATCCAGGATAAACCACCTTGAATATTTTGTATTATTTGTCTTTATTATAGTTTAAATTACCCTCGGAATGTATCCAGAGCCCGCAGTCGTTGTTGTAGCGCAAGTTCTTTGTCTCCATATCTCAACTTGGCCGACCTCCTCACTCTCATCATGATGAGTCTCAACACACCATAGAGTATCCATGCCCCGATCAGAACTCCTAACAGTAGGAGTAGAGCTGAAACAAATAATATTATTTAGATGACGCAAAACTTATAAACACTTTGAAATTAACGAAAATATTATAGAAAATAATGTTTGTATATAATATAGCTATTAAAAACTCACAAGTCACAACCATAACTTCATCGCTATATACAAATAAATAAGGGCTTTTAAACATTTTAATATGTATATTTTATCTTCATGTAAATGAGAAAATTATAATTAATCGTTGAGTTTAAAACATAAGAAAGAAGAAAAAAGTCAGTAAATTATATGCCTTTTAATTAAGTTCATATCTAACGTAAGCTGTCTCTGAAGACTTTTCTTAACATTATGTTTTATTTTTGTACCTTTAAGGTATAATATTTAATGACAATACAATGCCAATGTCGCCAGATCACGCACATTCCATACTCTGACATTCACAATTCAACTATGGTTAGAACACTTGAAGATAGATAACAATGACTGACTCACGACCAGTGACGGCATTTAAAGAGTCAAGTAAATAATCTTAGAAATAAAATTTTTGCTGAACGTCCTATATTAGTAATAATATATATTATAATACATATTATATAATTAAAGACCAGCCATAATACATTTTGTAACCATTCTGAAAGTACTTAGAATAATCACGAGTACTTAAGATAATCGATAAAACAAAAATCCATCTAGATAAGTTCATCAAGATATTTATGTCAAACGTTTTTTATCATCTTCACATTTTCAGAGTAAATCGAGAAAGTGGCACTCGTAGTTACTAGATCTCACATATGGATATTTAAAATGAATCTTTTTGTATTTTATTTATTGTGCGGCCTCACTTTAGCTTATTGTTTTGAACCGAGGGTGGATCCTTTAGTTTTATTGGAGCAAGGTCTCGTCCGTGGTTTGAGATCGAGTGATGGAAGTTACTCTTCGTTTCTAGGAATCCCATATGGCGTAGTTGACCCTGACAACCCATTTGGTGTGAGTAAACTTTGCATTAAATAAAGTCGTAAGTACATAAAAATATTTTCTAATGTTATTATTCATTTTGTAGTCGGCGAAGGAACATCCTGGTTTTGGGAAAAGTATCTATAATGCTTACTATGGATTAACGAAATGTCCACAATCAGTAATTTACGAGCCAAGTTCAGGAAGGAGCCGTGATGAGGTGTTGGATTGTTTGCGTCTGAATATATATTCACCATCAGTTGCGAGCACACAAAATCCTTTACCAGTTTTAGTGTGGATCCATGGTGGTGATTTCGAATTGGGTTATGGTGGCGAGTACAATCCGGAGAATTTAGTCAAGCAGAATATCATTGTGGTGACAATTAACTATCGTTTAGGGGCATACGGTTTCATGTGTCTCGACATCCCCGCTGTACCCGGAAACCAGGGACTTAAAGATCAATACCAGGCTTTGAAGTGGATAAAGAATAATATACGGGAATTCGGTGGTGATCCAAACAGCATAACTCTTGGAGGACAAGGATCCGGCGCAAGTTCAGCACTGTTCCATTTATATTCAGATCAGGAGAAATTGTACGACAAAATAATCGCAGAAAGCGGCTCTCCTCAGACCGTCGGTACATTCGTAGAAGGAGACGTGGCGGCAGCGCTAAAACTGTCCAAACATTTAGGTTTTATCACGGACAATAATGAAGAAGCCTTGAAATTCCTCGCAAAAACATCACATGAACTAGTGTCAGCGGCTGCAGTGGAACTGCATTTAAATCTTAGACCATGCAAAGAAAAATCTTTCAGCGGCATTAGCAATTTCGTTGAAAGTGATCCTTTTTCATTGTCAAATGAAAATAAGGTAAGAAACACTCCAGTATTGATCGGTCAAACCACAAACCAACACGTAGGTCTAACAAATGTTTACGGAAACGATTACTTCAAAAGAGATCCGTTTTACGATAAGATCGTCAATAATTTCAATCTCGACGAAAAACAACTGAAAGATGCTGTGAGAATTGTTAGGAATTTTTATATTGGAGATGAACCTGTATCTAGATTAGTTGAGTCGGAACTAGAGAAATTCGATACTGACTTTGATTCAAATCATCCCATACAAAGATTGATCACTAGTTTGTTCAATGAAAACGCGAGCCCAATATATGAATATGAATTTAGCTACACGGATCACACGATGGAGAGGCAAGCATCTAACTCGGAGGAATTAAAATATCTCTTTAATATGTTAAGTGACAGAGTCAGAATGAGTCCCGAAAACCACGTAATAGTTGATCGTATAACAACAATGTGGGCGAACTTCATTAAATATGGGTAAATATATATTTATTTAATAATATTACATTAATACATGCATTATATTAAGACATTTTTTATCTTTTCAGCGATCCCACGCCAGATACGAACGATTTACTCCCAGTGAAGTGGATGCCAGTCACAGAAGATACAAGGCCATACTTAGTTATTGATTCCGAACTAGAACTTAAAAGTAGAATTAATAAAGAAAGGATGGCCTTTTGGGACCTATTCTTTTTGAAGTACGGAGACAAAAATAAATATTATCGACAGTGTGATATATAAATTTTACTTTAATAATACACAGTCATTTTTAAACTGAATCTTAAAATAAATATCATGTGACTATACATTTTGTATCACAATAAACGACTGTCTTCCTTCATTGAACTCCCACGTAATGATTTGCATCGATATATCACAACATCCTAAGTTCCGTTGACTCGCTTATACTAAACGTACGTCGTTAAACCGATTAACGGTATGTAGGTTACAAGTAACGGAAAATATTCGTCAAATGATTGTTAGCAACAAAAGATTCAGGACAAAAATATCCGCCCTTGTCACCAGACGGTAACACACGATTTGAAAACAATTAAAATGTAAATATACTAATCATTTTAAATAATTAAATTGAGGATTGACAGATGGACAAAAGGCTGCTTGCTTCATCTATTGTAAAGCTATTGACAAATAATATAAATTAAATATTGTACGTCCAGAAACAACACTTTCACTCTATCTAATGTTGTCTATTAGATCCGCCAGATTTTCACAATTTTCTCCGACCCTTAGTGCGTGACTTTGAATTGTCAATTACTCAACGATATTGTTAGAATGTACGCTTGGTCAATAAATTAAATAAAATTTATTTAAGATATATTTTCTAATAAAAATTAATAGACGTAAAAAATAAAACTCCAATCGCAGAATAGCTTTTTTCTAATTAATGAAACTAATAAATAAGAAAGAGCGCCTTATATACGAAAATTGCATAATATTAAATACAAAAAATAGAAACATAAATATCACTATAGAAAAATTATTCGGAATATTCCTATTTGTGTAATTGCAATTCTGTTTTATTTATTTATTTTCATTGATTATTTGTTTACATATAAATAAAATGCATTTTTTACGTAAATTATTTAACATTTTTATAACCGTTTATAAAGCTTCCTTATATTCGTGTTTTCACTGTGACCACAATTTCCGACTAACCCAGTTACACTTGAGACATCTTTTTATTTATTTGTAATATGGTTTCATAATAAGTTATGGTTTAAAACTTTTTCTCAATAACAACAATAAAGTAAGACATTCATATTCTCGCTGTGGTCAAACTTATGTATGTCTGCCCGATGACGAATAAATCGATAACTTTATAGTAAACAATAACGATTTTATTTCCATTAATAAACAAAACAAGTTAGTTATTAATGTAAGAGGAAAATATCATTAAAGTTTATAGACTTGTTTGAGTTTATAGTGAAGGTCACCAGTGCAGTTATTTTAGAAACAAGGTTGTTGAGTTCCATATAAAAATGTTAACGGTTTAACAAACTGACCCTTCTAAACTAATATTATAAAGAGGTAATATTTTTTTGTTTGTTTGTTTGTTTGTTACGAATAGGCTCAAAAACTACTGGACCGATTTTAAAAATTCTTTCACCATTATGATTGTACATCTTTTAAAAGTAACATAGGCTATATTTTATTTTGAAAAAAAATTAGGGGTCCTAGGGGAAAACTTCGATAACATAAACCACGGTCGATAAAAATCACTATTTAAATACCTTAAATCGCGTGCGCTGCAATAACTATTGATGATGGAGCAAAATAATGTACTACGATTTTGTTGACCGCATTATTATCTACAGAAAAGTCCACGGTAGTGTATATCTAAGTATTATAGTTACGCCAATAACTTTTATAGTTTAACAAACTATTTAAATCGGCAATGAAAATAAGATGTCGATATTCATACCATGTACCATGTATTTATGTATACTTATCTAAATAACTTACTTTTTATGTAACAGTAGTTTAATCCCTTTATATTTCTGTTTAAATTATTTTAATCGGATACTCCATTCAAAAGATATAGCGAGTTTAAAACTTTGGGTAACTTAACAATTAACTAAGCGTTTCGCTGCATCGCGTCGCGATGTTGATTGTGTGTAGCTGAACTGCGCATGTGCGTGCAATGTCTATTGTGAATAAAATTGTCTTTGACATAACTTAATTTCAACAAAAAACTTTAAAGATTACAATGATAAATAACTCCGAAACAAAACCAACTCGCTCTCTGCGCTGGCCGGCGCGGCGGTAGAGAGGCGGTGCTTGCGGGGAAGCCGGGAGAGGGTGTAGCTCCCTGAGATACCATACCGCGCGGCTCATTCCCGCGGTCGGCTCCATACTGAACCGTTGAATGCAGCGCTAATTTGTTTATGCGATATAATTATCATTGTAATATTAGTTTTTAAACACAGTTCAGTTTCATTTTGTAGTTGTTTTCTTTATAGTAGGCACTTTATTTGTTTTACGATAGTATTTAGTTTCACAATAATAACACTTTTTTTAGTATATGCAGATGTTCTTTAAAATAATTAAATTTACTGTAAAAATGGTACAGATATAGTTTGGAACTCGAAAAAAAAACATAGGTTTTATGCTGAAAATTCTGCGGGAACTCGACCATTCCGAAAATCCCGCAAAAACGGGAACTATGTGGGAAGAACCAAAAATCTGCCGGAAGTCACTATTCCACGCGGACGAAGTGGCAGGCAAAAGCTAGTCCCATATATATAAAGATGTGCACGAAAGAATTAATGGCGGGTAAATGAGTCTATGAGTAATTTGAGAACAAAAATTCGTCATTCCTTTTCCATAGACAACAAAAAATGTTATGTGAAAGTTTAGAAAGGTAATAATAAATAAAATATAAAATTGCATCATAATATCTTCTTCTTCTGCCTGGCAATTTCCTAGCTTTAACCATTGTCTGCCTTACATGTTGTGAATAGTTTTGGCTTATTGTTTTTACTGCCTGACATCAACCCTCTTTGCATCATACTAAAAATAACTTCTATCATAGTATTTTATCAGGATCTACATTTTGAAAGTTTTGATATAAATTACTGTTTTAATTATGTTTAAACTTATATTGTAATGTACTATGACATTTAATTTTGCTAATATAATTGAATACAATGACCAATGTTGTGAAAGGTACTGTTAATAGATAAACTTTCGTTTTTGTTCTTATAGTTTTTAACGTTAAACAATGTTAAGTCTGATATATAAGTAAGAATATATAGTAGAAAAAAAGAAAAAAAGTCAGTGGTGGCCTAGTGGTTAATAGGCCCGCCTCTCATGCACGAAGGCGCGGGTTCGATCCTGGCCCTGTCAAGTAGGTACCAATGTGATTTTTCCGAGTCATATGTACTTTTTAAGAGTATTTAGACATCACTGATTAATGCATTCCCAAATAGGGATAATGTCAGGCAGGCGGCCGGTCGAAAAAACAATTAGCCATAACTATTCACAACATGTAAGGTAGACCCTGGCTATAGCTGGGAATTTGCCAGGTAGAAGAAGAAGAAGTAAGAATATATAGTAGAGAAAAATAGCGAATATTGCCAATAATCAGTGTCCTTAAAGCCGTCAGATAAGGTGTTAGTATCTTGAATTTTAAATGAGGACATCATTTGTATGTCAAGGTTGTTACAAACGGGCCGTTGTTATTGTCAAATCCGACAATATTTTATATATTTTACAACCGTAATAAAACCAAAAAAGGTAAATGTTTTTAGGATGTAAGTCAGGGCTGAAGAATCAATAAATAAATGAAACTAATATTTTTCGGATGTACTACATACGTGATTTTTATTTTTATCAAAAATACAGCAAAAGTGATCACGGGCAGACGAGATGTGAACACGGTTGCTGAAAAGTAACCGAAACGTCGGGAGTATGTTGTTTTTGATAAAAAATAAAAATCGCGTAGTACATCCGAAAAATATTACTTTCATTTAAATGTCGCGAAAATCTTAGATCTCAGAATCAATAAATATATATTTATAATCTATTTATTTTCTCACTTAATCGCACATATATATGTTTATGTTTACTTAGAGCGTCAAAGCTACGAGTATTTATTTTACTGGCAGTGTTTAAAGTTCAGCAAACTCGACAAACAGTTATTCGTAAATAAATAAAGTACTCAAACGAGTCTAGCTGCTTGTAAGAGGACTTGTACCTATTTATATTGTAATTTGTAAGAAGGTTTTGTAAAAAATATCACTTACGCATATAAATATCGACTGGTTCCTTATCTGTTCGTATGTCGCAACCTTCAGTGGTTGCATTCAATGTGTACACTCCGAACTCTCCCAGATTTGGTCTCAATTGGCATAACAGTCCACTGGAAGGGAAAATTATTTTAAACCATGTATATTGAGCATGAAAACTTATGATTTTAATACCCTCTTTAGACATAATACAGATGTACGGTAAGTTTTCAGTTTTGTAAATAAAGGTAGCACTTCACTTGGCGTTGCGTATTCGCCGCATTCGTCCAAATATTTGTACAAAGTCCAAATAGCGCAAACATGACATCCACACATGGCATGCCAATAACACGTCTTTACGCGTTTTCGCTTGTTGGTGTATGTGTCTTATTCGTGCAAATATGTCTAATGAAGACGAATAAATCCTCCACACATGGTCTTATTTGGCCGAACACAACAAATAAACGCCAAGTGAAAAGTGCCTCTTTAATAATAATTACATAACTTTACAGCAAATAGAAAATAACCTTCTAAAGAGGATTTTGACAGATAAAATTGACTTACTATGAAAAAAATACTAGATTTATTTAAGTTTTTAACATAGAAATAGTCATTCTTGTTTGTTTAAGTAGCGTTAATATTTGTGAGGAAAATAAGATGTAAATCTTCTAAATACCATTAAGTACATAAAACGGTATACTTTTAAATGATTCTTATTAAAAATGTGTCAAACATTTGATTATTTATGGTTTAGCATAAATTATGACCAAAATTAATCTTGCTTTCATTAATTATTTCATATAATAAAATAATTTTATAATCACTGCGATATTTCTTTATTAACCAAGATTAAATTTAATATGGTACGGTCAAAATATAAATATACAATTTTTATTAATCAGTTCTAATAACTAGAAAAAATTATTACGCATGATTTAAAACAAAATTTTGATGAAATTAACAGTAAATAAATACTTAAATATTGACTGGGACATGTTTTAAATATATGAAGAATATTCATTAAATAAATTTTACTATTTTTATTAAGGAAGTTACTGACCGTTGACTACCTGTAGAAAGCTGAGAAGAATTATTTTATTGACGCATTGTCAGTTAACAATGCACATTTTTTATTTAATTAATTATAAATGAGAAATAATGATATTTTGTTTTCTTATATTTCGTTCTATGCTTTTTATAGCCTTGTTATATTGTATGTCGAAATACTTATTTATTTTAAAGTTAAGTAAGAGTTTGATAATTTTGAATTCAAAGCAGCTGTGATGCTGATTATTCTGATCGTGTTCAAAAACTTTCTTTCTTTACTTAAAATACAAAGATTTCAATCCTATTATGCAATAAAATACGAAATTATCTTCGACAAATTCTTTGTTTATTTTTCCAATAAATAACATTTTTTGTATTTAAGATTTGTTCTCATCAATGTGTTTAATTTTAAACGCTTATAATATGGATATATTTTAATAATAGGATTATAATGAAAAATAAAAATAAGAAAAAAATGGTTGTTACATTTGAAAATCGCACAATTAAATACATAGTCATTTGTAAAGATCTGGGATAAATTCATTCAGGAAAGAATCGATATTTGTATGGAAAACTAATATATAGTGCGTTACTTACGTAGTATTTCTAGCTGTTATAAAATCTTCATTAGCACCGCTGTACACTCTCCAAGTTGAACGCTTCGCAGTGCTTACAACCCACGAACTATTTGTTGAAGGATTCAAAGACTTCTGCAGCTCAAACGGGCACTGCACAAACATACAAAAATATCAAAAGATTGAAACAAGGAAATAGTTTTATTTCCAATAAACTTCCTGACATTGACATAAGAATTCTACATATAAGAAAATTGCATATAAAGACAGTTTTATAACTCATAAAACATTTACAACTTACTAACTGTTATTGTTGAAACTTAACTTTTCAAAGCGTCGTTTGCATTATGCAATTACACATGAAATGTCTTCGAGAAAGGTGATTACACAAGTCTTCAAATGGTCAAATACTAAACGTTTTCTTTATGTAATGAGTTTACAAAACAATGACATCTTAGTATTGTGTGGCATCGCTTGATAATCATTGTAGCTTCACGCAAATTGTGAATATCAAATTGTTTCTACAAAACGATCTAATTCAATCAATGTACGTAGCATGGTTTGGTAAGTTCGTTACAACGCAATCATTAAACTCGCGTGTTTTATAGTGACAGTTATAATTTCATCACCATACCGTACTACACGTAATTTCACTAGAGAACAATCGCGTGCGGAATTCTTGACACACATATCGCCAACCTATTTTATTTAAACAATAATACAGATTTGATTCTACATATATCTTTGGATGTAATTACTATTTATTGATTTTGTATGTGCTAGGTATATATTTTGTAATTGTTAAATCGTTCCTGGGGTTAATTTTCACCCGTATGAATAAGTTCACTTCCCTCGGGAATCCCGGGATACGTCAATCGCTGCTAATAATTGTAGTTCATCAACCTACAGTCGGTAAATACAATTAGATTTTGTAGCAAAAATCAATTAAAAAATATAATAAATTTAAATGTTTTACCTACATATACAGAAAAAATATTATGAATTATTATATATCAAACATTTCGTCTTTAAACGTTTATATGAAGATAACTTTCTCATTAAACACGCAAATCGAAGGATATTTGAAATCGCTTCAATAATTTACTGAGTGTTGTAGAAGGTTCAGGATGTTACATATATTTCATATTAATTACTAGAATTATAAAGTTTATAGCAAAACGTTCACTTCAATTATAAAGTGCATTGCGTTGGGCAAGTTATTTAAAGAAAAATACGTTCTGCAATATTTAAGAATTAGGGTTATTAAAAAAATTAATACCAGTAGTTTAGCATTTTATTTAATATTAATAAATATATTACTGAACGGGAAATTTTTATAAAGAAAATTAATAAAAACGTATATGTATATTTTTATCTTTTATTATATATTTTATTCACCATCATGTGCACTTTAATTTTGTTAGAACAGAATGAATAGATAAAATGAAAGTAATGAAAATTAAATAGCTTTGATAGAAGACTATAACTTTTTTTTAGATAATAATGGAGTTACATCATAATCGAGTTAGCATTTTCTAACAATAAAATTTAGGATTAAACTGTCACTTCCTTTGTGTTACATAAAACACGTAACTTTGTAATTGGTAACATTTTTGTAATGAGTTTAAATTATAACTCACAAATTACTCTTAAATGATAAAGATGTTATCTAAAAATACGTTACTTAGTTTAATTTTGACTTTCACTCAATACATAGTTTAATATCTTAAATATTATGCTTATAAATATTCATAGTTCTCCATAAATATTAATATTTTTTTTATTAATTGACGTTCTGCTGCACTGCGTCGTACTAGCCGTCAATATATTTTTTAGGAAGTAAAATTTACTATCAATTAAACGGAAAAATAATTCTAGTTGCTATAAAATCTCTGGAATGTGAATAATATAATTTTAATTTAGAAAGTAGAAGTCATAAATTAAAATATTTGTTATATATATGTACGTTATATATTTTTTATTGTATTGTTAATAGAAATTTTATATAATCATTCGACCTTTTCAACACAATCGTCGATAGTGTTTCTGATTATATATAAATGAAGGTTACAAACTCAAAAAGGTTGAACGATCTCAAGTTATCACTTCACACATTTTTTTGTAAACAAAGTATTACACTGAGGACTTAAAATCTTTTGTCTTACGTATTTTAAAGATGTATTTCCAAGATAATTATGTATTTAAAGAAACACAATAAGTATGATAGCTAGATATTAAACATAAGCTAGATATAAGTAAATTCGAAAACGTTAAAATACCCACTTATTTTATTATTAATAATTATCGTACAATTAAAATAAAAAAATGCATCGTCTTTACCACTAAGTGAGCGACGAGTTATTTGCAAATTTCATTGTTTTTTACAATCATTATTATTAATAACTTACTCTGAAGCAATCATCTGATACTGAGTAGACGCCGAAATTTCCATCAGCTACTCCTATCATGTAAGCCTGGTCCATTTGAAGCTCGCTCATGTTCAGACCCTGGAACTCTTCCACTCCGGGGTCCTCAAGCCAGGACCTCAACACACCGCGGACCCATAACCAAGTATCCTCACTCACAGATTCATTCATTGTTCACAAATAGAAGTAATATTCCGTCAATATTAAATACAAGTGCTTCTACAAGCTACAACATCGCGTACGTGTCTGTTACCGCGCTTCGACCACGAAGTACTAAGTTGCACTGCCGGTATAACCGGTGTCCGCTGTGATCACAGATCGCTCTTAGCGTTTAAATAATTGGCTTTCTACTCGTCGTGAAAAAAATCTCCTCGCATTGTGACGAGGTTCACGCGTGAAGCCAGTTTCAACGACTTGGAAATCAGTCTAGTTCCACCATACATTACTATATGGTTACAGTAACTTGCCACTCGACCACCGGTTATGGTAACGTTTTCCCAACAAGAAAACTTTTATATAAAAACTTACCTGCTTGTAAGAATTTCAAAAGATACCTATTTCTATTACATATATGTATATACTTCTTTTTGAGAATATTTTTTTATCATGATATCTATTTTAAATCTACTAACATCGGGTAATGTTTTGTTTATACAAAAATAATATCTTTTACTATGAGTTCTAAATCTATATCTATCTATCTATATGAGTTCTATATCTAACAGAATTAAAATATAATAATAGAAAAAAAAAATACATACTGTTTTTTCGTTTTATTAGATTTATATATTCAAGATACAATAAAGAGCAATAACAAGTGCACCTTGACATTCAAATAAGACATCAAATTACATAAAATATACATGTTTATATACAGCTAATAGTATTTAATATTTTACTCTAGCCAAGACTTATCTAGGAGCAGACTCAGTTATATGAAACTCGAGTACAACCTGAATTAAATCCATCCGCCAAATATACATCATGCGTGAGAATTCTGCCTCTAATTCATATAATTTTTCTGGCAGCCTTCATCAATTTAAGAAACTTCATCAAGTCTGTGTTATGATTATACAGTAAATGCACGCTTGTATTTGTGCATTTGAAAATGAAGTCTGTGGTTATTTTTGTAATATGTTTGAGTGTTTCTATTCTCGCTGGAAATGATACCGGCTACCCGGCAGGCTTGATGGCTGAATGTGGGTATTTTAATATGTATTATAAACAAAGTATTAATATCAAGAGTTCAAAGTTCTAAAAATAACTTAAAAACAATATTAGTTACGGTTGAACAACACTTTTTATAATAAATAGTGAATTATTGCTACATGTAATGCATCTCATTTTCACCTCTTCGAAATCTTGTTATTGATTTCAAAAAACATTGTCGGTGTACACAACTATAATTGATAAAAAAAATATTCTATAAATGTAATTTTTAAGAACAAATTCTTAAACATATTTTGACTTAATGTTTGTGTTTAAGTTAAATAAATTTAATATTCTCGAGTTTACTACACGTTTTAAATTCTTTAAAATACATTCTACACTACGTTTCTCTTACTAAAATTATCTCATTTTCTGTATTCAATTTTTATATCTCTTTAATATTAACATAACCAATATAACCAACAGGTCCTGGGATGACAAAAAACACGACATTATCAGAGGAAACTAAGAATTCATTACGAGTGGTAGTGCTCTGTCCCGACAAGGGCTGGTTAGCCAGTAGAGAGGAGTCCTGTCCTTTAGACTATAAGGGAGTAGCTTGCGTCTCAAAACATATCGATTTGAAGAAGAAAACTCTGGTAAGAATTATTTAAATAGCACAGCAATAGTCCTTTTTATATATGTAAGAGTTTGGCGAGTATTAATTTAAATAAAACTTATATTTTTGAATGTCCTACGCCGTTTTTCATGTTTTAAATTTCATATACCCAACGTTTGGGTTATTTTGCACTTTGCAGCAAACGTGATCACAGTAGACGAGATGAAAACGTTTTTTTATCATTTATATCTTATTGAGTTAAAGTTAATGTACCAAAAATAAGTGTATAACTAACTGTTTCACTAATTACTTAATATATATATTTCAGGTATATATAAGCGGCTACCTGGACGCGTCATTTTCACCTATAGTCCGAGCTCTCACAATACCTTACCTGGAGCGTGGACGTAATGTTATTATTATGGAGATATATCCCATTCTTCACCGGTCCTATCCTATGTATGCAATAGAAAATAATTTCTTATACAATATTTGTAATACTTCAATAGTGAATCTTATTTTAGTCTTTAAGTTTCCTAGCTTAAAGTTATATTGTCTAAATCTATTTCACAGCGCAGCCCGTCTCACGAAACCGCTGGGTTATTTATTGGGAGAGTTCCTCTCTCATCTTACCCACAAAGGTTTATCGCATACTAAACTTGAACTGCTCGGTGGAAGTTTGGGAGCGCACATAGCTTATTATGCGGCTACGAAATACTATGAGTTAACACACTACAAACCAACAAGACTTACAGGCAAGTTATACATAAGTGTATTTCTATTAATTTTTTTTATAAATAGTTCACATGTTGAACAAGATTTACGTCTAATATATCCGTAAAAAGGATGTAATATAATATTTTACTAATTATTTAAGTCGCTACCTGTCCACGTTTTAAAGATTAACTTACTTAAAAAGTAATTACAGCGCAGATAATACAGGTATGATAATGATTCCGTCAATTAAACAAATAGTCCTATAAATATTAATAAAATATTTGATGATAGCATTTGTAAAGAGTTTCAACTGACATAGCTTTCTAACTAATTAAATATGAGCACATTTTATGTGTGTGTTAATTTGTATAACTTATTTTTAAAACTAAGTCGTTGCAATAATTTCGTTACAAAAAATGCTCAATTAAAAGTTAAATGGCCTACCATTAAAACTAGTAATAATACAACATAAGCAAACAGTTACATACATTCTAAAAACAATTTTTTTATTAACTTGTGAAAACATTAAAAGCAGGTTTGTGACATTAATAAAACCTTTTAATGTGTAATTCATTTAATATTTCTAGTTTAGTGAATACCTACATTAAAAATATATTTCTTTTTGGGAATAAATGTTCTCTCCTCTTCTTTTTGTTTATAAATAATTATTTCAAATCTCTGTAATGTAAATTGCGGATGACATTTTAAATTTTAATTTAATGACATCTCACGTCAATAAGACATTGAACAAGTGATTATTATCTTGAAACGTAATAAAGATTTCCTTTTTAAACGTCTAATCTACTTAAATCATTATAAATAGGATGCTATTATTGGTTTGTATCAATGTCTAACAACCAACTTAGAAACTCCAGACTGTGTTCATTGAAATTGATAATACCTTGAGAATCTCTGATTGTAATGATAGTTTATTTAATATAATTTCCTGTTATATATAAATCTTGAATTGAGTGTTTTATTGTATCAGGTTTAGACCCAGCAGGTCCATGTTTCCGTTCCTTACCTCCTCGTGATCGCTTTCATTCTGACGGCGCCCTCAAAGTAGATGCCATTCACACTAACATCGATGGTTTCGGTATACCGGACCCAGTTGGTCATGTCGATTTTTATGTTAACGGTGGTAAGTGAAATGATAATTTTATAGCAGAATAAATGAAACTTATATTTTAGGATTACTACGTACTAGTACTTTTATTATTTTAAACAACATACTCCCGACGATTCGGTTACTTTGCAGCAACCGTGATTATGGGTAGACGAGATCGGGAGTTTATAGTTTTTAAAAATAACAAAATATGCTTAGTAATCTGATAATATTAGTTTCATTTAAATCGCGAATATTAATTAGTAAATATTTGTTTCATTTAAGTCGCTAAAGTATTAGATCTTATTAATGGCAGAATTTTTAAAAATTACGGGATTAGCCCGAGTTAGTTTTGCAAAGATTTTGCTCGGAAAAGTTTTTCTTTGCCACAGAAAATCTTAGTGTAAATTTGTTTATATAAATATAAAGAGATCCGAATAGAATTCAGTATTTTGGTTGAGACCCTTTTTTAGAAGATGGATTCTGTTTTCGGGACCAAAAATTTAAATTGGTGGTCCGATCTACACAGATAACTGGACTGCGGAACAAATAAAACGCGACTCGATCGGATATTCATTAGCGTAGATCATCTCCGTGGATAAATGACCTGAGTCGCCAATATAACGTTCCGCTCGCTTCACTCAATAAACAGTGTTTATATTTGTTCACTTCCAGGTGAATTCCAACCGTCTATGGTCTCAGATTATCTGCTGCCTTGCTTTCAACTGTGCAGTCATGTACGTTCAGCTATATACTGGCTCATAGCGAGTTACGAGAAACATCAATTTGTCGGTGTCAAATGTAACTCAGTCGCTGAAGCGCGGCACGGAAAATGTTACTATAGAAGTGTTGACACTAATGTTTTGGGACCAAAGACAAACTTCAGCCGTCCCGGAATTTATTATCTTCCTACGACAGAAAACAAACCTTTTTACATGGGCAAAGAAGGTCTCAAGAAGAGAAAATACGATGTTAATCATTATTTACTGCAAGTTTCCCCAGAGAAGGATATGATTATTTGAATAAAATTATAAGAGGAAATAATAATTGATGAAGTTTCTTCCTCAGTAAAGCACATATAATTAGATAATTGCATTTTAAGATCCGCAATTTTTAAATATGATTTTAATGACTGACTCTTCTCTTCTACCTGGCAATTTCCCAGTTTTAGCCAGGGTCTGCCTTACATGTTGTGAATAGTTTTGGCTAATTGTTTTTACGACCGACCGCCTGCCTGACATCGACCCTCTTTGGGAATGCATTAATCTGTGATGTCTAAATACTCTTAGGAATACTCGGAAAAATCACATTGGTACTTGCCAGGATCGAACCCGCGCCCTCGTACATGAGAGGCGAGCCCTTTAACCACAAGGCCACCACTGACTATATAATTTTTTTTAATGACTGACTATTAATAGGTAACATTGAAATAATAAGATATGGTATTGATATTTAAAAAAAAATCAAACAAAATTTTGTATTAGAAAAGTTTATTAAACATGGAATACAAACAGGTTTGTAAACAACAAAAAAGGTTTATTATGATTTCATCGGGGGATTACAAACATGACATACAAAACTGTCTAAAATCTATATACAAGTTAATATTTTTTTATCTATATTATATAAATATGCTCCTTAATTTTGAGCAATACTGGAAGCCATGTGGCGACGGTGGAAAACCGTCCCATACTGAAAAGCGGTAAAATACTCGGTTTGGTTAAATAAAACGGGCAGTAGAAATTAATACCATATTTACCAATAAATATATGCTCAAAAAATAATATTAAATCCACAAATGATAAATATAACACATTAACTAAGCTAATATATTAAACGCTCAAAACCTTACATTCAGATCTCAAAACTAAACACGCTGTATAATGTACCACAGACTATAAAATATTAATAAATGGTCATACAAAAATATAATATTTGGAATGTAAATTATAAACCAATGGATTGTTTAATTGAAACAAAATGAATGGCTTTTGAAAAAGCTAAATTGACATTAAGCTGTATACTTACTATTGAAAGAAAATAGAAAAGAAATTTAAAATTAAGCAGAATTAAAGATATTATAGAAATTATATTACGAAATAATATTATAATAAGAAATGTATATATGATATGGAACTCTTTCAATGTTTTTTTTCCTAAGAACTCATTATTAAACAATTTTATTTCTGATATATTCTGACATGTTTCAAACAATTTTAAGTATTTAACTTTCAGTATATTATATGCAGGAACTTTATTTCAGTATTAACAAATTATTGTAGTATAGAATCATTTAAATAGAAAATTTAAGGCATAATAGACTTTAAGCATTTCATATTAAGGTTGTATTTGCATGTTCACATTAAATTTCATGTAATTATTAGCGATCTAAGATACAGTCTTCAGCTTATTAATTTCTAATAATTGGTAACCATTGAAATACAATACAGCTGTTAGATTTTGTATGATTTAATATGTTACCAAAAATTTTATATAAAACTTGATATGATTGTAAGCGATTATCGACTATATTCATAACATTATCCGAAGATTTATCTTAAGATAAATCCCGTGCTCCATATAGCGGAGCGTGTAAGTAGCAACTATCTCGGGATATATTCTAATGTATACCAGGATACTGTTTCTTGTCTAAGGTTCAATGAACCCAGAGGTATAACTACCCCGCCTAGAAATTCGTTTTCCTGTAATGAGTCGTAATGCCAGACGGTTGCTTGAAGGCTTCTATTCTTGACTACGTCGAGCGGTAAGCGATATTCTAACATCTCCATGAAGGATGGGTGTGCGTTACGTTTGAGAACTCGAGTCTTACGTTTCGTTTCTTTGGTTGGATCCGGTACTAGATACACCTGTAATATTATTTATTGTAGGTTCTTCTGTATATAATAACATTTTTTATATTTATTTGAATAGTAATGATAGTATAAAAATTGCGAAAATTTATCTACAAAAATCATATTTATTCTATGTAATTCAGCTTATGGGATCTCAATGGGAGGTAAAACTTCATCATATTTGTCATAAATATGCGAATAAAGAATAAATAATCATGTTCTACACATCATATATCAAACTAAGTATACTATAATCAATACTTTAATTAGTAATCATCAATGTCATTATAAAATATGCATTAGTACCTTGACATAAGGGTTAGGCGGTTGTCCCTGTGAGGAGGCGAGCGACTGAGCGTGTAGTATGAGAACAGATAAAACTCCAGCCGCGTATTGAACAGACAGCTTCAATGAACCTCTACCACTTGATTCCGCTTCCACAGACTCGCCTGGAATGAAATAATAGCAATTATTTAATTATACTACAAAGAAAAATATCAAAAGTAAGACATATAATTAGGAGACAAAACTTCTTAGTATTCTATGGATTAACCGTGAATGTGCCGGGTACATCGTTGTAGAGAGGAGCGTTGACTGGGACTTGTGACCCAGGTGTAGGTTTAAGGGCATATCTAATGCGTTATACGCTCACTTAAAGTCCAAGCTCCTCTCTCTACCAAATTTGAAACAACCATACTAGGGCTGCCTGCAAAGTACATTCTAAGAATGAATTTATGTTATTTCATATATATTTTCCAGTATTATATAACACTAACCCTTCCTAAGTCTCTGCGGTTCAACATCTTGTTGATCCCTCAGTAGCGGATGGAAAAATGTATACACGAGGTCCGAATGTGAAATTTCATCAGCCAAACTAAACAGGGAGGTCAAGAAAGACTGGACATCTGCGAATCTACGCTCAGCAACTTGACGAATGTTCGACCGGCCTACGTGGAGCCCCGATGGAAGGCTGAAATATATACATACATTAATAATATATTAAAACATAATGACATATCTATATAGCAAAAATATCCAATAAAAATTTATACAAATAGATTCGTTTCACTGATTTGGTTTTATGATTCAATTTTTATTGTACAAAGGAAATAATAAACTAATAAAATGATTACATGTTTTATATCATATGATGTGAGGTACTTCCCACTTATCTAAAATATTTTCTTATATACCTATATTTTTAGTAATTATTTTGATTTTTCCTAAATTTTAATCATTTGTACCTATATAATTTTCTCTACCTTGAATACTTTTAATTTAACTTAATACTCTTATAGGTAAATGACTGTTATTTTTTACTATAAGTAAATTAAAATCCTGCCAAAAATATATATATATTTTTGGCAGGATTTTAATTTTTAATACTATAAAGTATTAAATCATTTCCAACTATATAATCAAAAACTCATTTCAAACTAATTTAGTTGTATCACATAAAATTGCAAGACTGATATAGAAGTAATAAAAACTAACATATTGTATACAAGCATGTTAATTACAACAATATATTAAAATAACGACTATCAATGATAAGATAATGTTAACAATTATATGATCCTTGTGTTATCAATGAATGATGGACTATCGATCTAGTGCGGTGTGGTCTCGGTATGTGGAATACATATAACAACTGTAAGTAATAATTATATACTAGTTATTACTACTAGCTTTGTCTCATTCAAACTATCAAGAATCATTATAATTTTATTTGGCCTGTATCTAAGTTAAATGTATAAATATTCAATAAAAGTCCCATTAAAATATGACCAGACATTTCAAATATAAGTTGATTTAGATATAACTGTTTTGTTATCATATTAATAAGCATATATGTACTTGAGAAAATATATTCAGTCGTACATATCAAAAAGAAAATTTATTTATATGGATATATTGATGAAATTAAGTGATACAATAATGAAACATTCTTATAAAAGGTATAAAACTATCATAAAATGGAAAAAAATCATTATGTATTTTATATAGCAGAGAAAAATGACGAAGAAATCCTACTTCTCAGAAATATATAGGACTATGTATAAATGTTTCAGTAAACATATGAGATATAACACGTTTTATGATTTTAAACAATATAGAATTAGTCATACAGATACATGTTTTAAGAATTACATTTACGACGGTGATCTAAGGCTTAAGTGAAACGTTTGACTCACTCATTACTTAAAAATAAACTCAGTGTTATTCATATCGAGCTGTTAAGTGGATATTTCTCATAATAAAATATTTTTAAAATATCTTTAGTAAAAATAATATTTTTTTTAGGTGGAAACATATATATTCATAATGTTAAGGTTTCGTGGATTTCGAGCCAATTTCAAACTATCTACAGGCAAGCAAAGTGGACTTGACAACTTCGATGAAACGCCGGGGTTATCACTCAATGGTGCATACCGGATAAATAAGGATGAAAAATTTGGTAAATATATTAAAATATTCCTATTCTAATACGAAGCTTTTGTCAAATCACTTATTCGTTCTAGGAATACTTTTTTTTTCTATTAAAATAAATAGGTAGCATTTTACACTTGTTTTCTTTAATTAATATTACAAACATAAATTTATATCGCAGATTATACGACCGATAGATTATATCTTAAGTCCCTGATTTACAGATAAAACCATTCGCTACTCACTTTTCGCATGTGTTTGATTTCTTATAAGTTATAACTTTGTATTTATTTGCAGGCAACATCGACCTCCCCAGTCCGTCAAGACAAATAACTCCTTCTATGGTAACACTACCAGTTTCACAAAGTAATTTATCAACCAAAACCTCCAAAAGCGTTAACAATTTAACAAAACAACAGAACGATAACGGTCTAGCACAAAGTACTCCAAATATTTCTACAAACATCACGGAGCAGTTACCAAAGAATCAGATAAAAGAGCAAAAGAAAATAGAAAAACAACGTTTAGAGAAACAGAAGAAACAGGAGAAAAAGGCGGCCAAGGAAAAACAAAAAGCTGAAAAATTGACAAAGGAAAGAGAAAAACAAATCGCAAAACAGGCCTCGCCACAAACACAAGGAACAACACAAACCAAACAACAGCCACAAACTATTAACAATACTCCGCAACCACAGATAACGACTCCACTCGAGCAACAGAAGCTAACGCAACCACAAAACCATACACAGATCACGCCACAGCCACAAACACGGTCACAGAGCAAGCCAAAAGCACAATCACGGAAGAAAACCGCACCACAGCCACAGCCACAAAGTACACCACAGCCACAAAGCACACCACAGCCACATAGCACACAACAGCCACAAAGCACGCCACAGCCACAAAGCACACCACAGCTCTCAATCCGCGCAATGAGAACAGAATATTCAACAAACACACTAGAAAGTTCTATAAGCAGAAGTAGCGGACCCCCGCCATATACACCACAAGATATTATTCACGAGAACGAACATTCTGGAAATATCACGTTCAAGGTGGACTCTAGCTGGGACATGATCAACGAACACAGGCAACAGATGAACAGGCCAAAGGTCAAGGGACTACCGAAACAAACACATCTTGACCTCAACTACAACACTAGCCCGACTATGGCTACTACAGACATTAGTGATGCGTAACATTATATGAAGATTATATATATAGTGAATATTAACAATATTATTGTTTTTAATATGAATTATAATAAATATGTTGAGTATAGTATAGATATATTTATTAATTGTTAGTTTGTTTACCGATAGTACTGAAATGCTAGGTTAGTTTTCCATCGGACTAACTAGGGTTGATACTTGAAAGAAATCTATAGTTGGGACAATCCAGGGTTGATACTTTAAAGAAATCTATAGTGATTAAATATATTAGTCGTCATAATACCTGTGGACCTTCGCGAGGGGGAAGTGTAGACATATCTTCTGATAGAGTTCTGTGAAGTGTTTGTATGATCTGTAGAGCACGGAGGGCGTGGCCTGTCCCTGTCTGTAGACCCGTAGCGCGTAGACGTAGTGCTTTTCTGGGTCGTAGCGCTTTTCGTAGCTCAAACACTCTACGCGGACGAGCCGACCTTCTTGGGCCATACTGAAATTATATAACAACATTTCATCATCATTATTATCAGCCTATCAGAGCCCACCGCTGAGCAAAAGTGATCTCACATAGAGAAGATTTGAGCATTTACCACGCTCGCTCAAGACGGGTTGGTGCTTTCAAACTTACATTTGTGAAAAAAAAGACCATGTTTCCTCACAATGTTTTCCTTTATCAGTCAGTGATGTCTAAATACTTTTAGAAAGTACATATGACTCGGAAAAATCACATTGGTACTTGCCAGGATCGAACCCTATGCATTAGAAGCGGGCCCTTTAACCACTTAGCCACAACTAACTAACAACATTTATATCACTATATTCTGTTTAAAATAAATGTTTTACAATTATGTATGCGTTTCAATAGTGTTTTTATTTATTTAGAAAGTATGATGATAAGGGTCTAGATAAGTCAATAAGTGTAACCAAAGTATATTATAACATATATAATACATACCAGGCAGACCCTGGCTAAATCTGGGAAATTGCCAGGAAGAATACATACGTGTATGTCCTTGGCATGAAGGATAGCAGTTCGGACGTGCTGTTCCCCTGGTCGCCGCTTGCACGGAGCTGAGCCAAGTTGTGGAGAAAGAAGTTTATAGGAGTGAATCTGAAACAATTATAATACATACATTATAATGTGTATATTAAACCTTCTGATGTGATATGAATTTAATAACTATATAGTGTTTTTATTGTTCAGGATATTTACGGGTCTATATGTGCGAATTCTTGTAAGTGTGGAAATTATGCAAGATTCTTTCTTGTCTAAACGTGCATGTGCATGTTCGTATGAGTGGGTGTGTTAATTATGCAAGATTCTTTCTTGTGTAAATGTGCTAAATGTGCATGTGCATTTTTGTATGAATGGTTGTGTTAATTATGCAGGATTTTATCGTGTCTACGTGTGTGTATGTGTGTTTGTGTGTGTGTGTGTTTCCGTACTTGCTCTTGAGCGATGAGTGTATGAGCCTAGCGAAGGCCGCTGCTGCCTCTGCGTTGGTAGCGGCCGGCAACAGCGCGGCTCGTACGTAACACACGGCCGCGCTAGATACACCCGAAACTCCGGACATCGCCATCTGAACATAATACAAATATATAACCTAATATTGTATTGACAATATTTAACTATTTACATATATATAATTATAAGGTTTTTTTTTGGGTTGCCTAATTTATTGTCTCCAAAAAAGCAATTACAAGGTATTTCAGTTAACAATAAGTTCCTTAAAGTATGCAACACGTAACAAAGAGGAATCATCTGTTGCTGACCTGTGTCTCAGCGATATAAATATATAATAATACTTTTGGCCAAGGCTATATGATATCTAAGACTTTCAAAAGTTTTATTCATTTAAATGAAACATATTTTTCGGATATACTACTCGGTGCGTGCAAGTTTTTTTTTACAAAAAAAGGATTCACAGTATATCCGAAAAATATTAGTTTTTTTTTAAACTATTTACATAAACTGTATAATTATTAATTATAGAGATACATGTATAACAAAGGTCAACATCAACATTGTTTCACGTTAATTGTGTTACCAAAAATTTCACTAACGTACGAAGAATATAAACTGAATAGATTTTTAAAGGCGACAGTTAAGCAGTATTTATTCATCTCACTCGCACATATTATATTCCCGATAGTTCTATCTCTGTCACTCTTGAACTCACCAGCGCGAACAGATCCAATATATGATCGTGATGCGCCCTCACTATATTAAAGGCCATGCAGCACAACTCTACGAAGTGTTGGAATCGCTGTGTGGGTCGCTCACCGCCGTTGATGACGTACACCATGTCGTGAGTTAGGACGAATGGAGCGCGATCTCTGCGTACAAAAATATATTACGACACTGGATGAATAATAAAAACCATTGCCTATACATATATATTAAATATACATAGATATTTAAAAAAAATCATATTTTTATATTTCTTTAAGAGAAACGTCTGCTATAGGTAATGAAAATACATATAAGTACAGGGAATTAGCTTGAAGTGGATACATATATTTTTACTAATAAGGGTGGTTTGAAAAAATTGCTATTTTCATAATGCTAGTTTTTGCATGGTACTTCATCTGCGTGTTATTAAGAATTAGGTTCAGTAAATATGTATGAAGTGGGATAAAACAATAAATATGAAAGTAGCGACATCTAGTCTGCGTCACGTCACTTGGTATACAATACAACTGTTATTATTTAGCGTTCAGTAAAACCTAGGAATCCGGGATAAAAAAATTGGTTGAATCTCAACTACGTTACTTTAAGGTATCATTGTAACCTTTTAAGTAGTTTTGGAATAAATTAAGAACACATATTCCTACTTACATCCGTACATTCTCACAAAGTTGATCATTAATATTAGCAGGATTTTAGTAAGAGTATTAAGTAACTTCGATAACATTCTAGACCGTACCTTAAAGTATAAAATACATAAAATGTACCCCAGGCGAACTAAGCTGATATTTTCAATTCATAATGAATACCCACATCGATACTATCAGTTGCGGCGATTACTACAAAATTGTCTGTATTTATTGTAGCCAACCAATCTTTTAGTAAGATAACTGTTATATTCACCTTTTGAAATTGCCAAACATCTGCGCGTCACCCAAGAACTTGCCAAAGTCTATGTGAAAGAGATGTCCGGATGTTTTGAGCATTATGTTGTCGTTGTGCCGATCACATATACCCAGTAGATATGTGGCTACGCTGTACCCGGCACACGACGCTGAATAAAATAAACAAATTAGTACAAATACTACATAGATATACTTCTTCTACCTGGCAATTTCCCAGCTTAAGCCAGGGTCTGCCTTACATGTTGTAAATAATTTTGGCTAATTGTTTTTACGACCGGCCGCCTGCCTGACATCGGCAGCGAGAGGCGGGACTGTTAACCACTAGGCTACCACTGACTACACAGGTATATTATAGGTACAATCAAGACTTATTAGTATATACTTTATAATTGTGAATTTCTTAAAAATATAATTATTCTTAAGTCATCCCTAACTAAACGCTAGACGTTAACTTTAAGCGAGAATCGGTGAAACATTTTGATATGCAACACCCTGTATCAAGCAATCTAGTTTGATACAGGGTGTTCAATAATTGGATTTATTCTAGTGTTGAATGTTATCTGACCTGTAAAGTTATCCCTGGCCCGTTGGTACTCAAGTTCTGAAGGGTTGTGTTTCGCGAGCCACTCGGCTATAGGTTTGTCTTTGAACGACCCAGTCAATCCCCACTCCGTCTGTATCGCTCGAAGGGTTTCCGCCTCAGACACGATCTCTATCATTCCTGTATGAACAGCATAGTTATTGGTACAGTCAATTCTGATGATTCTTAATATCTAGAATAACTGTTACAAAGCTCATTGTCAAACAAAAACATAATTACTGAACCATAGTGTCACACAGTAATAATAGACTCTACCAGAGAGAATACAAAGTATTGCCAATATAAATGTACTACTTATTATCAACACCGATAGACTTCACTTTAGTCCGAGATCAAATATAAAGAAAAAGAAAAATATTTTCGCTACATACTTAAATTAATGAATTTAATTGATTACGTTTGGGAATTCTCTATCAGAATAGATAAATATACAGGGTGACTGGTGAATTACTATCAATATTTAAGGAGCATACTCGGTACATGATTCTCATTCGAATTATGTAAAAAAAATAGGTGCTTAATTTTTGACCAAATTTCCGTATAAATAAATAAAGTGTGTACACGTTCCAAGTGTTCCTAGTGTGGACGCGTGTGGCGGCGTGCTGATACAACACTACGCCACCGCCGCGTCTGTGTGAGTGTGTGTGTATACCTAATTTGTAGGGTGTTGACACGATGCGTAATTAATTACATAACTTTTGGTTAACTTTACTTAGAAGTTTATTAATATTTATGTTATATTAATTTTTATTTTGTCATATATGATCGTCAAATATCACGTCCTCAAATATCGATAGTAATTCACCAGTCACCCTGTATATGCATACACTACTTATTAAGTGATTGTATAATAAGTTTCTTTTAATATAATTCTAGTAATTCCTATACATCACCTCTCTGATTGCTAGTAGGCAGAGCTTGGAAGGTCACCATTCTTAAATCCAAACCCGCTTGAAGCCACAGACTATCCATAACTTTTATGACTTGCAACACTAAAGAATCCTGTCTTAAATCATCACCAACCTGTACAAAATACATAGATTAAATAACTTAATAATATTGATATAGTAAAATTATGTTTAATATTATTATTTACCTTGAACATAGCAGGAACTACTGCATTATCTACTCCAATGAAGTTGATTTTTAGTGGTAGAGTGTTTGACGAGAAATATGAACATGATCTGAAACAAAAATGAACGTGAAACTTTTCAAAGAGCGTATAGCTTAATAGAAATGCTTAATTAAAATAAATGGTTATATGTAAATCTAAACTATTTCTGCTAAGTTTCGACAAAATGTATGAAGATATTAGATTTCAAAAAAAAATAATCTCAATCTAGTAATATTGCCGGCATGTGTCTTGGCAAGGTTTTGAGGTAGTGGGGATAAGTTTCTATATGTACACTTAGTGCTAAAAAAGTGGTCACTTTTGACACTTATCAATACTTAAAACTCGTAACGTTACCAAAAGTAATGGATTCAATTTAAGTGCTCGTAAATGTACTCGGGAATGAACATACAATCACGCGCTCGGGGTTTTTCCGTCTCGTTTCTATGATACCTAAAAATCATATTCTACACAAATATCTTTGCTTGTCAAGTTACGCGCTGGCAACTTGTACTTGGACTAACGATTTATATCTAATATCATATATACTACTATTATTCATTCACTTATATATATGTAGTTTGAACGATCAACTCCCTAAGGGAAAATTAAAAATTCCCATACAAAAATGTATCTCATACAATTTATAAATTAACGAAATATATTTAATATTAATGTATGTATATTAGCATATATACCTTTCATTATTCATTGACTTAAACTACATAGTTTAAACGATCAACTTCCTAAAGTAAAATTAAAAATTCCCATACAAAAATGTATCTCATACAATTTATAAATTTCTGCAATGTATTTAATATTAATGTATGTAAATTATATAATTTACTTGATGTCTATATCGTGTACATATCGATGTAAGGCGAAGGGCAGCGCGACCGGTTCTTGTCTTAACACGGCCGCCAGCTTCTCCCCTCCACCGTACAGGGCCCTCTGACGAAGATTCTCTTTAGCGCATTTCACTGACATCGCTACGTCCGCGACGGTCTGGAAATAGATTTATATTTATAAATATGTATTTAGAACTATGTACATATATTTAGATATATTTTGATCTATTCAGACAGTTTTATAACCCAAAAGTTATATCTTGTCTCATGAAGATACGTTCTATGCACTAATTTTTTCTACAATAATCATTTGAGACTGATATTGGCAGGGGTAATATAATGAGCAAAAAATAAATGCAAATATGTAAATATAAAATAGTAGTATTATTAATGAAACTAATATTTTCGGATTTACTACGAACGACTACTACTATTTTATTATTTTTAAAACTACATCCTCCCGACGTTTTGGTTAATCATCTGATCACGGTAGTTGCAAAATAACAGAAAAGTCGGGAGTATGAAAATATATAATAAAATATCGCGTGGTAAGTCCGAAAATATTAGTTTCATTAAAATAAATACTCTGAAGTCTTAGATCTCAGTAGTTATATTAATCACTAAAGCCTTCATATCGTCGGGGATAATTCCGCGTATCTACATTGGAAGCAGATTACCAAAAGAAAGTTTATGCTGAAATATTTTCTATATCAACGACTTTTAAGCTAATTATACACAATTGGTTAATATATTAAACACCACATAATTACTAATTGTAAAAAAATTACCCTAATATTCGCTAATATAGAAAATATTTCAGCTCAAACTTTCTTCTGATAATTAATCTGCTTCTACTGTAGATACACGGAATTATCCAATGCTAGTTACGCGGATGGAGTCAGTGATGGCCTAATGGTTAGAGGGCGCAGGTCCGATCCTGGCAAGTATCAATGTGATTTTTCCGAATCATATGTTCTTTCTGAAAGTATTTAGACATCACTGATTAATGCATTCCCAAAGAGGGTTGATGTCAGGCAGGCGGGTCGTAAAAACAATTAGCCAAAACTATTCACAACATGTAAGGCAGACCCTGGCTATAGCCGGGAAAATGCCAGGTAGAAGAAGAAGAGTTACGCGGATGTACTATCCTCTACATAACACTATACAGGGTGACTGGTGAATTACTATCGATACTTGAGGACGTGATATTTGACGATCATATATGACAAAATAAAAATTAACGTAACATAAATATTAATAAACTTCTAAAGTAAAGTTAACCAAAAGTTATGTAATTAATTACGCATCGTGTGAACACCGTACAGATTAGGTATACACACACACACGCGTGCGGCGGCGTGGTGTTGTATCAGCACGCCGCCGCACGCGTCCACACTTGGAACACTTGGAACGTGTCCACACTTTATTTATTTATACGGAAATTTGGTCAAAAATTAAGTATGTATCTATTTTTTTACATAATTCGAATGAGAATCATGTACGGAGTATTCTCCTTAAATATTGATAGTAATTCACCAGTCACCCTGTATAAGGTCCACGTACCTTGACTAATAGCGTTTGTCTCAGTAGCGTCTTATTCATATTTTCTCCACACACGGCCAACAGCGCCCTCAGCATAAGCCTGCTTCTCCACGTGAACGTCATACAAGCATCTGGTTCAGTCGACTCACAAGGGCCGTCTTCTAGATTTATTCCTAGGAATTCTTGATTTGGAGCCTGGAATATAAAAAATTAACCATATTAACCCATATAGGTAGTTATATATTTTTGTGTTAGTACAGAGAAAATATTAATAATATAAAAAAATTTGTTTGCCGCGATATTGTAAGCCCAATCTCAAGATATTATAAAAAGAATTACCATCTTATTCCCCTATCTAAATAGTTATAAATTTTTGTGTTAGTACAGAGAAAATATGAATATTATAAAAAAAAAAATATTTGCCGCGATATTGTCGGACCAATCTCAAGATATTAATGTCATGTACGTTAACAACAAACTGGTTTCATAGATATGTTTGTTTCACTGGCCGTTACTTGCTAGGGTATGATTACCAATATAAACACATTTTCGCTGCTATGTCGCTTCTCAAAATAGACAAAGCGGCGCTTTTTCTACAACAATCAGATTACTAAAAAATTCCAAGACATTCTCCTTTATATTTCTACTTGTTTACAGTCATCAACAATAGAAATGTTCTAATAAACGTATAGCTAATAGATTCCTCCACTTGTCGAGAACATTCATTAAATGTTGATTAAGCAACTAATATTAACTTAGTACAAACCTGTGGTACGTTTGGCAATGAATGGACTAGAAGCCAAAACAACTTATGAGCTACAGCCGGCGCTCGCAATGCTCTCGATAACAATAACTCTGAAAATGAGTATCAAAACATTATTATTATTACTTTTATATCAATACAAAGTATTTTACTATCCCCTATTATCAATTCTCGATGCTCACCTGCCAATGGACTAGCTTCGTAAGTCTCATATCGTAGCGCCTGTGTTAGTTGGGGCAACACTCTCATTAATTCATCGTCGGTCATTCCGTTCGCTAACTTTGCCGCTAATTTACGTACCGCTGCGTCTGGAAAGCTGAAATAATACGAATATTAATACAATTTTTATTTTGTTTCTAATTTAAACAATATAATGTATAATATCGTTATAACGTATACTTTTAACGTACTACTTATTTGAAGGTATGAAACAAAACGATATTAATTAATACATAAAAAACTACAGTATTAAATCTTTATGTTATCTGAAGTTAATATATAAAGAATTAAAATATATTTAAACCAAGAATAATTATATTATAGAGTAATATCCTATATCCTACTAATATTATAATTGCGAAAGTTTGTGAGTGTGTGTGTATGTTTGTTACTTGTTCACGCTCAAACGGCTGAACCGATTTTGATAAAATTTTGTATACAGGAAGCTGACGTCCAGGAATAACACATAGGCTACTTTACATCCCGGAAATCCGCGGGGCGCAGCTAGTATATTATATTAAACAATATTTCATGTACCAGGGTAGCAGTAGATGCATAGCGTTAGTGGGTGAAGGTTTCTCCCATCGTTCTAGGAGTGCAACCAGTTGAGCCCGGGGCTCCCCGGCCCAGCTGGTGGCCGCTAGCAGCACGAGGGGCAAAGCACCCGGGATCTGCACGAGGTACTGACGTTTCTCCCATAATATCTGTAAAAAAAAATCTGGTATATAGAGGACTTCATTCAAACGCCTTATTAAAAAACATGAGCAATTACGCAGGCTGAGAGTAACATCCCTACTAATATTATAAATGCGAAAGTAACTCTGTCTGTCTGTCTGTGACGCTTTCACGCCTATACCACTGAACTGATTTTAGTGAAATTTGGTACAGAGATAGAGTTGACCTTGAGAAAGAACATAGGATAGTTTTTATCCAAGACTTTTGAAAGTTTCTCTTGGAAACGCAATATAGTAACTTATAAAACATATTTTTAAACGCTGTAGGCTTTGTTTAGTATATAATTTAAAAATGCAATGTGTATCAAAAATTTCTTCTACTCTTCATCTTTTATTGATTTTTTGTATCAATAGTCTATGCTTATATAAATTGTAGTCACTGTATTTTAATATTCAATACAAGAGTTTTGAAATAATCTTGTTTAGAAATCGTAATATACCTTTTATTGTCATTCTCATACTTATAAACTATATAATTTACTTAAAGTCTTACTTCTCTTCCCTCTGTGGGCATTCTTTGATATGCTCCTTGTTCTATCAAGTGTAACAACTGTTGTTGTGTATGTCCGTCTAGTGAGTCAAACGCGGGCAGATCTTCAGACTGTGTATTCTTATTATTTTCATCGCCGTCCGACCATTTAACGCCATTTCTATTGTAACTTGGGATTTCTGTAATAAAATATCGTTCAAGTAAGTATGCAAATTATTATATATAATGTTACTCTGTCATGTGAAAACTATTCATTGTATTTTAATAGAACTTAAAAATAATATAGCTCCTTTATCCATATTATTCACTACTTATTTTATCAACTTTGTAGTTTGTACTCTGAATAAAGTCTCATGATATTGTTAATAGATGGCTCTGTTCATGAGTGACTATATCATATCTCGACTAACAATCCTACTAATATTATAATTTCGAAAGTTTGTGAGTGTGTGTGTATGTTTGTTACTTCTTCGCTCTCAAACGGCTGAACCGATTTCGATAAAATTTTGTATACAGGAAGCTGACGTCCAGGAATAAAACATAGGCTACTTTACATCCCGGAAATCCGTTTGTAACACCGCGGGGCGCAGCTAGTATATCAATAAAGAGAAGAATATTCTTATGTTCTTACTAACCAATATTTACAACCGGATATGGCGGAGGCGGTGAATGTAGTAATGGCGGCGCCGGGCCCATACGACGGTCACAACACATAGGCCACAGCGGCAATACGTATTGGCCGTGAGACAGCACTCTGAATATTTATATTATAATTAGTTGTATATAGTATACATACACTATTAAAACTTAGTTTGTAGTTAGTAACACATATAAAAAGTATTTCTATAAACTTTTTTTGTATGCATAAAATAATACTGGCATAAAATCCTCTTTTTGTAAAATACTAGCAAATACTGGAATCAGGTTCACAACCAAGACTCATAAACAGAAAATTCCTTACATAGCGTATTAACAACTAGAAAAGATTGATACAGATCTATTTGATAATCATATTAGTATTCAATAAAACTATATTAAATTTGTCATGTATGTATTATGCTAAGTGGCAAAACTTAATGACAGCAACTAGTATAATAATCTACCTACATTACACTTGACATCATATTATTATTTTAACAATATCGAGCACATGTAACTAATAACACATATATAATTATTCAATACATTATTATATTAAGGGAATATAATAGAAAGCAACTTTTATATATACAGTGTAAACTCCATGTAACGTTACTCGATTTAACGACAAACTCTCTAGAGCGTCGAAATCATTTGACTTTGGTTGGTTTAGCTTGTACACCATACAAAGATACACTCTATATAGCATCACACCCACTCTCAATAACGACAACAATTAAGTAATAAAAAGTACCTTTTAAGTTGCTAAAATTAGTAAAAACTGTGCAGCTGTGTACGTTCTTTTGTCGCTTTGTTATTCTAGCCCGCAATAAACTCGACTGTCAGAATCATGCATACCGAACTTTATAAGAAATTCGTTCTTCACCAAGATGCCTCAATATCGCAAGATATGAATAAAATAAGTAAAAAAATACCACAACATTACTGGTGCAGCAAAAGACGTCAAACAAAACACTAGTCTGAAATAAACTTTGTCTTTTTCTAATTCTGATTTTGCTTCTCTCTATTTAACGACAACTCTCTATAACGCCATAAAATGCACAGTCCTTTCAGTGTCGTTATATAGAGTTTACACTGTACATATATAAGTGTGTCTTTTATATAATTATTATATAATAGTAATCACCCATCATAATCAAACAGCTGTATAGCAGCCCAGCCGAGCTCGTTCAGTTCATACTTGACATCCGTTTCCCCGGCCTGGTCTGTGCCTGTATCCTCACTTTTCTGTGTCCTTCCATACAACGTCAACACCAGGCGTGACTCGCGAGGCAACGAACTGATCGTTGTGTCTTCTAGGTTTAACCTGGGAAAATAATTATTAGGAAATCTTAGATCTCAGTAGTAATATTAATCACTAAAGCCTCGATATCGTCAATGATAGTACAAACCCGCATAACTAGCATTGGATAATTCCGAATATCTACATAGGAACCAGATTATCAGAAGAAAGTTTATGCTGAAATATTATCTATATTAACGACTCTTAAGGTAATTTTTCCACAATTAGTAATTATTTAGTGTTTAATTTATAATCCAACTAGCTTTTCGCCCGTAGCTTCGCCCGCGTGGAGTTCAGTTATATCGCGTTTAAAAGAGAACCTTCCAAAAGTCTGGAATAAAAACTATCATATGTTCTTTCTCAAGGTCAACTCTATGTCTGTACCAAATGTCATTAAAATCAGTTCAGTGGTTTAGGCTTGAAAGCGTAACAGACAGACAGACAGTTACTTTCGCATTTATATTATTTGTAGGAATTAATGATATAATACAGTTTTACAGTTTACTTTTATATAGTTAAGTAATGAGACCAAACTCTTCAGTATTCAATGGATTCACCGTGAGGGTGCCAGGTTCATCGTTGTAGGGAGAGGAGCTTCAGCAGTGACTGGGACTTGTGACCCAGGTGTAGGTTTAAGGGGTTCCTATCTAACGCGCGTTAAACGCTCAACTTTATCGTCCACGCTCCTCTCTCTACCAAATTTGAAACGAACCTAATAGGGTTGCCTTCAAAACAATTTCAAAGAATGAATTCATGCTAGTTTTTGAACAAGCCCAAGTCTTTTAGTAACTTTTAACAGTTTTGTCAGTCCCCCAAAAATTTTACGGCTATATTGAGTAATGTATAATAATTCTAGTACATAGTACATATATAAAGCTATATACATATAGCTGTAAGCAGCTAGCTTTACATAAGCAGACTTCTTCTTCTACCTGGCAATTTTCCCAGCTTTAGCCAGGGTCTAAACCGGCCGCCTGCCTGACATCAACCCTCTTTAACAATGCATTAATCAGTGATGTCTAAATACCCTTAGAAAGTACATATGACTCGGAAAATCACATTGGTACATGCCAGGATCGAAACCGCGCCTCATGCATGACTCGGGCCTTTTAACCACTAGGCCACCACTGACTTTAAAATTTACATAAGCAGCCAATTTTCTATATAAATATAACCAATACAAACCACGTATCGAATATAATCCTAGGATAGAACCCCCCACACTCTATCTTTGACTCCTGCGTCACGTGAAGCGTCTTGAGCGGGCGTGTTCCGTAGTATATCTGAGCGTGAAACAGATACTCGTCGTGCGACCAACATAACGGCAAGCTGTGTACCGCTTCGATACAGAACAACATCGTCTCTGTTACTGACTGCGAGGATACCGCTTCTGTGGTAAAAAAAATAATTATTATACCATATTCTTTATATACATTCTAGCTGAACACCGCGGTGTTACCCGCGGATTTCCGGGATGTAAAGTAGCCTATGTGTTTTTCCTGGACGTCAACTTCCTGTATACAAAGTTTTATCAAAATCGGTTCAGCCGTTTGAGCGTGACGAAGTAACAAACATACACACACACAAACTTTCGCAATTATAATATTAGTAGGATTAATAAAATTAACTATAGTGACGTTTAAATAAGGAATTTTAGGAATTACTTTTGTTTGTTTAAATAAGATTTAAGAATTAAGGTGTCAAGACGCGATAGCTTGTTCAGTAAAGTAACTGGAATGTACTATAATGAAGGTCGGAGGTTCGAATCTTTATCGATTTCTGCATAATACTATATCATTTTATATATATTAAAAACATAATTTCAACAAAAACATCACACAAACAAGCAAAAGATATAGGCCACCTTGTTTTTGAGGTCATTTTCCTTCAATAAATAAACTTAATAATAGAACAATGATCTTATTGTACTTTTATTACGTTCTTTACAAAACGGTCAAATTTAAAGGTCATTGTATCCTTCGGATTTATTTCACGTATTTAGTGATTGTCAATTTACCCTAAATTTCGACTGTTCCACAGTATCTTATAAACTACTATGTATGTTTGCGTCTGTATACTGACTGTCAGTATTTTATTTTAAATCTAGAATAGCTCTCGCACTAATGTGATGTATCTATTTAAATAAACTTAAATTTAATTTTAAAACTTTTTTATCTAACTCTGCTTTTACTGTTCAACAGTATAAACTAGTATAAACAGTATAAACTACTATATATTATATGTGCATATACTGACTGTCAGTATCCGAAGTAACATGTCCATCAGCCAATCGGAAGTCCAACAGCGTGTCTCTCGTGTATAGGGCGAGCAGCGCGCGCACGGCGTCCCGGAGCCTCGCGCACTGCAGGGAAAGGGCCTCGCGGGGACTCGCCGCGCGGAGGGACACCGCGCAATACGGACCAGACTCGGACTGGATCTCGGGACGAACCGTGCTTGAAGGCTGTGTAGAGAGAGATAGATGTATGGGGGTAGAGAGAAATAGATATATGAAAGCATCGATTGACATCTAACACTGACAGCTAACCTGAGAGTAAGTAAGTAAATAAATAGTTCCGTATAATGATACGGAACTTCTGTGCAGAGTACACCCAAGAAAAGCAAAGACAGAATTGTTGATTCTTATATTGGTTTTAGAATAATCATTTTTGTTTATTGCTTGAAGAGTCAATCATAATCTTACGGAATTGTGTGAAATAAATTCTATATACGCATTTTATGGGAAATCTATATATAAACTAAATAGCGATAGGAAATGGTAAACATTTGAGATATTGATGTGTCCGCGGGGAGAGCGGAAAGGGCTGTGAAGAGGGTAGGTTATTATTCTCATTTTTACAACATTTTTTTATTACAGAGAGAATTTATTTTATAAATTTCCTATTGCGATCTAGGAATAATACGGAATTCCAAGGAATTCTTCGGATTTTATAGAATATCTACGCATTAAATAGTTTTTCAAACAACATTTTGTACATTTGGGTTTTTGAAAAAAAAAAAAGTATTGATTTTTTTTATGTATTTTAAAACTTTATTATTAATTATATTGGATTTTTAATGCAAAAAACTTGAAATATATTTTTTAAATTAATTATAAACAATTAAAAATTGATAAAATTCAAAAATATATCACGTGACTGTAAACGCGCCATGATTGGTCAGCATACTTGTGACGTCATAATGTTAAAGCAATTTCATAATAGTACAGTGTTTATGGCTATTATCTTTAACTTGATAAAAATATCTCAAATTTATTAGTGAAAAACGATTTGAAAAGTTTATTTCGACTATGTGTGATAAAGGATTTATAAAAGCAAAATCGGATAATATTCCTGATGTTAATATATTTTTATGATAACTAATTTTTTAAAAAGTGCGGTTTAATTTTGCTGAAGTTCGAGGTGCTAAGACATCAAGGTAAGTCTGTCAAAAAATACTATTCTAAATGAAAATTAGTATTTATTCTCTATTAAATATAATTAATAATTATTTCATTAAATCATTATTAATAAAATGTTATTATAACATTATAAAAAAACCAAAATAACATATATGTACTTTAAAAATTTAAATGTAGTCTGATACAGAACCTAGAATGTTATAAAATTATGAAAATATCTATTAATTGAAGTCCAATTATTAGACAAACACATATATAGATTTACTATTTAATCGCTTTGAATTATCAATTAAAATTTTTTAATGCTACGATTCTAAAGGTTATGATTTGGAGCCCAGGTAAAAAAATTAATTATTGAACTATACTTATTCGATTTATACACTTAGATAAATAATAATTAATAACAATACTATTATGAAAACTTACAACGAAATGATCTTCACAAACAAAAAAAAAATGATTTTGTTTTTGAATAATCTCGATGCACTGCTTGAAACCATTTCTTTCGACGTTTTTCGTCTTGTGGAACATTTAAAAACATTTTTTCAGGAGTTGTTTTTGTAGTCTTTGTACATAATGGTACAAAACTTTTGATTATTTAACAATGCCAACAGAATTTACTAGATAAAAAACTCAAAACACTGTACTAATTATTATATCTCTGTATGCTACAATGAGCAAAAACTAACATTGTGACGTCACACGCGCTCGGGTTTATTCACGAGCTGTCGGCTTGTCTTCGGTACTGAATTTAAAATTTAATTTTTATTTTGAAATAACTTTTTAAATATTGCAAAAAAAAATAAAATAAAAATAGTTTTGTTATTAAACTTATATATGATCTTTCCATTTATCACAAAAAAAAAATAATTCAAAAACCCATTTCCTAAATAGTATCGGAATTGTACATCTTTCCTAGCATTTGTATATAATTCCTTGATTTCTGTCATTTCCGGCAACATGTATATAACAATCAGAAACAATTTGAGATAAAATTTAACTATACCTATAATTTGTGAATGTTAAATGAATCACTAATATATTTACAGAAAATCTCAATAGAAATTCTTTATTATATACAGGGTGACTGGTGAATTACTATCAATATTTAAGGAGATTACTTGGTACATCATTCTCATTCGAATTAATTTTTGATCAAATTTCCGTATAAATAAAGTGTGGACACGTTCCAAGTGTTCCAAGTGTGGACGCGTGCGGCGGCGTGCTGATACAACACCACGCCGCCGCACGCGTGTTTGTGTGTGTGTGTGTGTGTGTGTATACCTAATCTGTACGGTGTTCACACGATGAGTAATTAATTACATAACTTTTGGTTAACTTGACTTAGAAATTTATTAATATTTATGTTATATTAATTTTTATTTTGTCATATATGATCGTCAAATATCACGTCCTCATGTATCGATAGTAATTCACCAGTCACCCTGTATAATTCATACGTTAATACGTACATTAAACTGTCAGATAAAATTAAAACTTCTTTTAAGTCGGTTAAATGCGTTTCAGTATATATACCTGCGCCGTACAAGCCTGAGCGAATGCGTTGAGTGTGTAAGTGAGGTGTAGCGTCTCTAATCCTCCGGCCAAAGCACATATGGCCTTTACGGCTTGGAACACGGCTGAGGGTGAACACGCACCCTCCGCACCCACGACACCCACGGCGCGGGATAACTCACCCTCTAGAGTTTCTGAAAGAATCATATCAAATATTACACTTACACAATACATAAATGAATGCACATTATCTTTCACGCTTCCTTTCAAGGCCAGTAAATGAAATATATATATGTATATATATTACATGTCTGTATAATACATAAATAAACGTATGCATATACATATTACATATACATGGAGCAAAAAAGTTTTACTTCAGTCATGTGGACTGTGGTCTAAAGAAAACTTGTTTAATTTTTTTATTGTTTTGTTTGTTTTAAGAACTATTTTTTATTTCTACCTTTTTAGCAAAATGTCCATATATATATATATATGTTAAGTATATCAATAATAAAACTATAGATTCTTACCGAGTAATATAGAGAGGTTGTCAAACGACAACATGTGTTGTGATCCTTGTACAGGTATAAGGTCGTCTAGAGTGAGATGGGCGTCTCTAGCGTCGTCTCTTTCACTCCTGGCCAGAGAGTCATCTCTACCCTCACACAGACATAGAGATACGTCCTTCTCTAGACGAACGCATTCCCGTATATAATCGTATTCACTGAGAACGCTACCGGGAGTCAAATACTCTTTGGCACCCCATACCTGGAAGTAGATTATAAAAATTACATTCCTATTGCAATTACTGGTAAATTAGATGGAAAAGTTGGTGTTATGTATGGAATTGGTAGTCTTTCAAGTAAAATATATGTAAGTGCGAATGCTGACAAAAATTTCGAATAGTGTAACCTTATATCAAAGTAACATATAAGGTATAATAATTCTGAAATTAAATATAGTTCAAGAGGGTAGAAGTAACAGATAAATTTTGTAAGTGATCACGTGACACCGTATAATCGTCATCAGCCTATCAGAGCCCACTGCTGAGCAAGGCCTCTTTCTCACATGGAGAAGGTTTGAGCATTAATCACCACGCTTGCTCAAGACGGGTTGGTGATTTCAAACTTATAATTATGAAACTATAAGTCCAGGTTTCCTCACGATGTTTTCCTTCACCGTATGTCAGTGGTGTCTAAATATTCTCAGAAAGTACATATGACTCCCAAAAATCACATTGGTACTTGCCAGGTTTGAACCCGCACCCACGGCAAGGAGAGGCGGGCCCTTAACCACTAGGCCACCACTGACACCGTATAAGGCGCTGCCTATTATGAACATATAAATTTTTTACACTCACTATTCATTTAATTTAATAACATTCTGATATAAATTTATAATTCACTAGCTTTCCGGCCGCAACTTCGCCCGCGTGGAGTTCGGTTATATCGCGTTTCCAAGAGAACCTTTCAAAAGTCTGGGATAAAAACTATCCTGTTATTCTCAAGGTCAACTCCATCTCTACACCAAATTTCATTAAAATCCGTTCAGTGGTTTAGGCGTGAAAGCGTAACAGACAGACAGACAGAGTTACTTTCGCATTTATAATATTAGTATGGATTAAAATGTATCCTCACCCTTAACATGTAACCGGACATATCCTCTCTTATATCTTCATCGAGCGAGCACACTACAGTCAATATAACGTGCTCCACCGTCGACTCAACTGAAACATACAATCTAATTTAAACCTTATCCTCTTACAAATAGATATCAAATTCGTATGAACATTCTCACCATCTGACGTGAATGTGTACAATCGAATTTAAACCTTATTCCCTTACGTATAGATATCCAATTCGTATGAACTCACCATCTGACGTGAATGTGATCGGTTCGTCTGTGTGTGTGTTGTGGACTAGAATCTTAATGCTAGTGTTCGGTGGGTACCGCCCGCCGGATCTAGCCGCTACCACGTGACCCGGGTTCGTCTTTACATCCGTGTATATGAATCTTTCTGAAATATACCTTATTATATATAGCATAAGACTGATTTTAAATATATTTTATTTGTATATATACTAACTTCTGACGTCTAGAACCATTTTCAGGAACGCTTCGTGTTCGCTGTCGTAGCATCTTGTTCTGGATTTCACGATGCAATCGTATAGTTTATTCTGTAATAGAGATATTGTATTAACTCATAAACAATGTGACAGTTGGATAAACAAGCCCCGATATATAGTAAAGGTCATAAGAAGATAAGACTTCGAGATGAATGCATGGGAGATTCTGTATTCATTCACATAAAAAAATAATTAAATAATGTTCTTGACAAAAAACTAAATATGGAATTCTTCTTAACACTAGCCAATTAGGAGAGATCATAATTATAACATACTATATATATCCTAGCCAGACAAAAAATATCGCGACTAGTAAAATGTCTACCAAAACAGTATGGCTAGTCCCATGTAGGGTTATAAATTCTATAGTACCGTAGTATGTCTGGTATTGAGTGTGGGTGACGGTAGTTTCTTGTGGGGCGAAGGCCCGGGCGCCGTTTTCCTGTCCACGGTTGAGTACACCGGTTCTCGCAATTCCGTCTCTCCATACAAGAAGTCAAGAGGATCATAGTCTTCATACACACTGCTTGAATCGCTTGGAACTGTTATATCTGGAATTATTGGGTTTGTATACGTGATAACTGGACTATTACCACATAAAAACCTCAAATATAAGTGGATATTTAAATGAAACTAATATTTTCATAAAACGTTTTTGGGAAATGAAAACATTTTTATCTGGACTGCCTGTGATCACAGTTGGTATAAAGTAACCGAATCGTCGGGAATATGTAGTTAAAATCATCAAACTATTAGTTTCATTTAAATGAATTCACGCCAAAGTCTTACATCTTTATGAGTGAAAACATGTTTTTGTCATGTTGGTACATGCCCACACATGCAAGACAGCACTTGCTTGTTATGTTGGCACATATTAATCAGATTATGTAATGATCCATTATGATAAAAAACTGACAGTAATAACACATTTTGAAGTAAAACAATGGAAATTATGATCAACAATGAAGTATGTCATTTGATAGATTTTAAATCACCAACTTAAATGCAAAAATAATCATTAAAGCACAAAAAAACTCCTATGAATATTATAAAATATGTAATGGTGACAATACAGACACATTTCACAAAATGGAGGGAGAACATGTAACAATAGGAATCCCATGGAATGGTTATGGCAAATGTTTTTTCACTTAATAATCATATATTTCTTTGTTATATGTATACTCACATATTAAATAGCATTTTATGTCTTATTATCAATTGCTAAATAGGAAAATATTTCAGTAAATTTACAAATATACAACATTTGCCATACCATAATGACAAGACGGTCCACTCACCGTGATCGTTTTCTGTTAGTAGCGGGTCGAATGCCTCTAAAACACTCACTCTTACGCTACCTTGGGATCTATCGAAGTCTATCAGATTTGGATCTCCACCGGCCATTGACTCATCGGACTGGAATAAAAAACTATATTGAATAATTAAATATATATAAAGACATTCACATTTCTATCACTATCAATTACACTTGTTTCATGTCGCTTTTAATAGATGGCGCTGTTAATAATATCAGTCGATATTAAATACAAAATTATGTTTCAAACAGATATAGTTATTTATTTTTATACAGCTCGCTGTCTTGTAGTATTTACAGTATTAGTAAATATATCAACTATTAAGTTGAATCATATCAAGATGCTTTACAAGGACAAATTTATTATAAGTACCTTAAATATAACAAAACAGTAACATATCTGAATTCATTACCTCAGTAGACTTGACAGTATTATTCTCAGCACTATCCTTTGAGGGTTCACTTTTAACTGGCTTTTTAACACTATTGTTGTTATTAACAGTTTTATGTTGTGCGTTCTGTTGTATCTGTGGATAATTAGCCATCTGACTCAACTGAGGGTAGAGATTTGGTCTCGGTGCTCGGGATATTAGATTCGTGGTGTTGTAATTGTATTGTGGACCGTGGGGAAATTGTGGCATATATGGTGATGGGGAGGCCATTCTAGTTTGATTGTATGGTATTGTTGGTGGATATATAGGTGGGTTTGTAACCACATATGTTGGTGGCTGATCATGCTGGGCAGGTAGTGGGTAAAATGGGTAGTTTATTTGCCCCATGGGTACAGGCATGCCGTATGGTGTGGATGGTGGGTAGGGCATTGGTGTATACGGAGGTGGGTAGGTGTATTGAGCATTATAGGGAAAGCTCGGCCTGTGATTATACTGATTGTTCATTGTGGTTGATTGTTCCGGAGCATTTATTGTGAGCTCCTCGGTTTGCTGGCCCAATCTGGAATAAAGGTTGATTTGTTAGGATACTTTTCGGAGGTAGAACCTAGGTATAGTCATGTAACTACAGATCAAACATGGGCTGGTTCGACCAGGAAAGTAGCACAGAAAATGGTATTGAAATAGTTTTTAACGGCTGCGTTTCATTTGATGAGTGAGAGTTGCTTGCCCTTTCCCTATTCTCAACTTTTCAAGTCATTTCCTTATACCCTTCGTTATTCCTAAAAAACCAAGCTTTTCAAAGCATCCGCAACAGACATGTTTTGGATGTCTACTACCCATCAATTAGGCCGTCTGTTTTGCAATTTTTATATAAAAAAAATTATATAGATAATAGTATATTAGAACATACTTGCTAAGCTGATCAAGATACTCTTTGAGTGAGGCATGAGAGTTATTTGGTGGTGACTTCGCTGTAGGACTTGCAAACGATATTAGATCACTACTCGCATTCCTTGTCGGACTTGTACCTGATGACCTGTAATCATAATCAACCATTTAATATATAATTTCACAATATTTCGGCTAACAAAACCCTTATCGTGTTTACAAGTTGATTATATTGGTTTTATCAGTTTATATAGCTATAAATTATATATGATTAGTCATATAATATGTTTTTTAAGTACATATATAATTTACCTTGAGTTTTCTGATGTGGATGTTTTCCTTGGAGGTTTTCTTGGTGGGGGAGGCAACGCTGGCGGAGCACCGTCCGTTTCCTCTCTCCTACGAATACTGCTGACCGTTTCCCGAACATTATCTATAAGATAAAAGCAGATAATGTATAGAAAGATATCATTATCACAAAAATACTATAAAGTAAATAATAAATACGCATTCAATCAAAATACAAATATATTCAAACTTTTTAATATTGTCTACATGAAGCATCATTTCATTTATTATGAATAAGGAAACCATATAAGAAAAATCACTAAATAAATGATTATTGTGTTAAATAATCCATTTATAGCTATAATAATTAATTAATAGATTTTTTATTTAATTACAAGGTTAAACTAATAATAGAGAATGAGATATAAAATATTCACGAGTATTCATTTAAATGAAACTAATGTTATTTGGATGTACATCTTGTCTGCCTGTGATCACGGTTGCTGAAAAGTAACCGAAACATTGGGAGTAGTTTAAAATAATAAAATAAGCATAGTAAGCCGAATAATATTAGTTTCATTTAATAATAGTGATTCATGTTATAGGAAGTTAAATTATAACTCTTGAAAAGTGCAAAAAAAAGGCTATATCAAGTGTTTTGATTGTAATACTTATCTAGATAAGTAGAATAACAAATATGCTCCTATATTAAATTTTTTTTTGTGGTAATGTTTGAATTCAAATAGATTGTATATAATGCAAAAATATTCAAAAAATCTATTGAATCGAACCCGCAGCCTCGGAATATCATGTTTTGGTTACTTTTACGACAATATAAAATACGCATTTGCCATTTTAAGTAAACATATATGTTGTTAAATTCTATAAATGAATGTATAGACGACATATTATAAAAGTAATTTATAGTAGTACAACCACCCATAGTAATTCCCAAAGAGGTATGATGTCAGGCAGGCGGCCCGTTATAAAAACAATTAGCCAAAACTATTTACAACATGTAAAGCAGACCCTGACTAAAGCTGAGAAATTGCCAGGTAGTGTAGTAAGAAGTAGAAGAAGATAAAATTGCCAGGAAAAAGAAGAAGATAGTAAACATTTATAACAATTTTATTTTATACAAAATAAAATTATACATGTTATAAACTAACCAATTTGCTAAAGATAAAGCTTTTTGATAAAATTTTCAGAAATTCCAAGTTCATTTAAGATTTTTTAACATTATTATAGACATGACATTTAAATAGATTTGTCTTTTAACTTTATCTTTTTATATTGCAGTGACTAAATATTTTTGTATTGTCTTAAATTGATAAGATATCATAAAAATAGGTCATTAAACACAAATTATAATTAGAAGAATTTATCTATACTATATGAATATTCTCCACTTGTGAACATCATTAAACACTTTAATCTATTCATATTTTATATTCAATGATGAATTGGAGAAAGTTATTTTAATTATTAACTATATTCTCTCTTGGCAAAATAAAAATTAACATCTCATATATAAACAATATGAGTATTATTTTATTAGGTTTTTCTTCATAATAAATATTAATGGTAGCAATATTAAACAGATCTTGATTCTGTGCCAATTATTTAAGGGTTAATAAACTTTACTTCCTTTTTACTGATAGCCTTGTTTTTGATTGTGGACCTAAATTTATTATAAACATTTTATATCATCATACAAGTAAAAGAGACTTATTTGTATGCTTAATATATATAACAAAGTGTTCTAGGAATATGTGTTAATTTATCAGTAAATATTTGAATAACGAAACTTTAGTTTATAATTAAAAATTGTCTCTTAGAAATCAAACAACAAAATCTAAACGAAACCTTTTGTTATGTATTATAACAATTCATGCCATATAGTGGATGAACTTATCGCGAAAAGTAAACAATAGCACGTCAATTATTACATACCTGAATTAGATAGCTGTTTCTGTCTTCGAAATTGCTCCAATGCCAAACTTTCTAAGCTGAGAGCTTGGGCCTTTTCTAGGTCCGCTTCAAACTGTAGATCGTACTCGGACATAATCGGTCAGCCTCCAATATCATCTAAAACGTAGATCCACAAAGAACTTAGGAATAACACATAAATTTCACTGTTTTGAATAACCACAGCACAAACACTTCGGCGTCTATCAAACAATGCTAGTATTGAATATATCGATGTTTTTATTATCTTACCTATGGTATCTTCCCGATAATGCTTTATTTATATTTATTTTCAAGACATCATAATACAATAGAATTTTGTTCAGCTGTAAAACTTCAGATTTCCCATCACTAACTCTTCTTGATAGCTCATCCGACAATCACCTCACCACAGATTAAATTTACAATGGCAATTCATATTTCATCTATATTCTGCACTAACGTATTTAAGAAAATAGTTCTGAATAATAAACTCATTTAGACAAAAACAAATAATATTTTAAATTCTGAAAAATAATAATGAGCAATTACCAACGTTTCATTTATATTATATCGAGAATACAACTTTTTCAGCCTAAAGAACCTGTGTGATAATTGAAGCAAATAAGACGCTTATGCTTATGACCTATATGTAGGTTTCATGTTTGCGAATTTTGGTAATTAATGTATGTATACCAACGTATACTTAGGTAAATGTTACTTTTTTGATATATATGTCTATGTGATGATATATTTTTTGATATATCATTTTCAAGATGTTAGAACGACAGTTTTTGATTTAATTCTTATGCATCAACTCTACAATACTATTAGAACATATTTTTTGGATAGGCAGACAAAAAGAAAAAGTATATACATATTAATAATCAACCCGAAACTAAATTTATCTATCACATTTATAAAAATTTTCGTAAATGATTTTTTTATTTCTATGTTTAAGTGATAAGAAATCTTTGTAGCTAAGTCTTGAATTATTTTACAAATATGGAAATTTTTATAACATGTACTTGGTCAATTAACGCCGAGTACATTTCCTTCTCTACAAAATTCTATTAAATTAAAAGTTTTGTCATTCATATTTCATATTCTACCTTACGCTTCGGGCGATTGTGGAATCCTTGAAATCTATGCCCATTGTAATTCTCTTAAATTCTCTAACAGTAAAATCAAACGTCAAGCCTTACTCTATCCTTAAAGCGATTTCGGATTGAATAATGATGGATACGGATGAGAAACAATACAAAATCCCTGAGGATAATTGTGCGTCGGCTTCCAGACTAGACATACATATTTATGTATTTGCTAATATTAAAGCGCTTAAAAGCAACATCCCCAAAGACCATCCCATCAAGGTCAATAAATATTACGAGCTCACAAACAAACTCACACGAAATAGTTTCGTTGTGGATTTGTAACAGGTAGAAGTGGGAGCGAGATTTATAACGGCTAAATTTCTCTCTAACCTACTGAAAGACTTGGGCCTGTCCAGAATTAATATCTATTAATTCTTGGAACGTACTTCGAAGGCTGCCCTAGTAGGTTCTTTTCAAATTTGGTAAGGTAGGGAGAGGAGCTTGGACGGTGGAGGCGAGCGTTTAATGCGAGTTAGATAAGGGCCCCTTAAACCTACACCTGGATCGCTAGTCCCAGGCACTGTTGAAGCTTCTCTGCCTTCAACGCGCTGGACCCGGCACGCGAGCGGGGCATCCATTTTAGTAAAAGAATGCATGATATGACAGTGACAACATATGTACCTAATATTTTAAATATTAAAAAAAAAATTTGCTCCATAAATCTTATCATAACGGTTATTGCCAATGCATATACTCTAAAATATTTTATGTATTATTTAAATTAGACAAATAGGATCTATACTTAAAGTATTTCTATACAAAAAAGTATTGAGATTTGACCCTCCCCACTGCGTGTATAGTGGTTAATCGAGGTGAAATTTTTTTGACATACAAAACCTGTCGTTTAAAAGTGTGTATTGAAAAGAGCATTTTATAAAATTTAATTGCTCCTTTAATTAGAACTATGGAAAAGTTGAGACAAAAGTTTTTTTTTACTATTGGAGTTTTATTAAACTTACTACGCTGCGTAACTTCGCAGTATCTAACTTATTCTTAAGTTTCTAAACTGATATTTAAATTTAATACGAAAAAAAAAATGCTTGATAATAGCTATTGATAAACAATATATTGATTTGTTTTTACTTGATTTTTAACTTGTCAAACTTTGAAAATTCTTTGAAATATTCTAGAGTTTTAACCAATAGTTAATTTATTTATTTGAAGAACTTGCTTTGTTGTTGAACGTTTGAAAGAATTTGCGAAATGTGTGTTACGGTTATTAGGACCTGAAATGAAATGACTCACATCTTTAAAATAAAAATATATGTATACTATAAAGATTATATTTCTAGATCGGCGATTAATTTACCTGTCGGTATTAATTGAATTGATGGGATAATTTTTTTACTTCGTTTCTTATGAACCGTTTTCTTCTTTACGTTTCTATCTCCGGATATGTTATTATTTATAGTTACACGAGGAGTTCGTCTGTTTTTCGTTGTTTTTGAATCAACACCTTCAGTTAATCTGTTAATTTTTAATGGCGATGTATATCTTGATGCCGTCTTGAATTTTATCATGTCATCCTTCCTTTCTGACGTAGTTGCCCGCGCTAACGCCATTTCATTGTTGTGCGAAAACATACTTTTGGCTTTTTTAACTTTTCGTTTAACTTTAATTACTTTTTTCTTCTTTCCACCGGTTTCGACTTCAATCTTCGGTTGTTCCTTGTTCTGGGTTGCCATCTACAAAATGTTAATTTATTAAATACCCAGTAAATAGTTGATGTAAAGTTGAAATATATTAAAAATGTTATACATATTTCTATTTACCTGTGCATAGAACAAATCGTCTGCATCTTGACGATCGCAGAAATCTAACAGTTTGTTGCATACGTTTCGTAGATTTTTAATTTTTTGTTTTTTCTTCTTCCCTCCAATTCTATCTAATTCATCCAGGCGTAATGTTCTAAAAATACGAAAAAGAATTGTTATATTTTGAATTATCAATAAAAATGGCTTCTATTTAATTATCTTATCTGTATTCTTAGCACAAGTTTGCGTCATGAAAATGCTTATGAATTTATTCCCGTTTCTCAAACGATAGCTTACGTTAGTATAACAAAACTTGTAAATTTCGTATTCTGCAAACTTGGAATAAGTATCCCGATACTTCTGATACATACTTTATGACCTTAGGTTTGGTCAAAATATCTTCTTTGTCATCTACGTTCATCGAAGTCTCCCAAATATTTTTGAACAACTTTCTCCTTTCCGCGTAACTTTCCTCTTTTGTCATGAGTGAATTCATTGCAATTTTATATTATTTCCACATTATTGAAATGCATTTCAAGATGATTGGAATTATTTTTATTGTTTTACTGGTACATTGTAGCAATGTTGTAGTACAATTTTTTTTAATTACATTTTTCTAAATATTTTTATTTATATGTTTATAATCTTTTGTTTGAAAATTTTTGCTGTATTATTTTTTGTATAGAATTTGAAGTTTGATGACATTTTCGGAAAATATTTTTTAAACAATACTGCCTACTTGATGTAAAACTTCTTTTTTTCAAAAATAGGCAGGTATTTTTATGATTGAAAGTAAATTTTGTACGTAACAAGAATATCTACGTAAAGAATATCTTGAGTTATTTTGTATTAAGTATGTCGCTTTAAGTTTTCCACTCTTTAGAAGTAAAGTAAGTCGTGGGGCAAGGTAAATGACTGTTAGATTACCAGCCAATTTATATTTAAAACTGTCACATGTACCATGCCTCCAGAAAACTTATAATCGCTTTTCTGCCTGTAATTTATTAATACATCATTAAAAATATATTTAGCTATTTATTAACACTTTGTGTGATAAAACTTTCTTTTATTATTATAAGTACATGTAATAAAAGAAACTTTTAACTTAAAGTTGCTTAAAAAAGAAATAAAGCGTATAATTTTTATTTTACTTTGTAAAGTTCGTTTTTACTGTCTTCACGGATTAAGCTTTGATGTTTTTATCTTATTTTACTTAATTTTTATATAAATTTAACACTTATAGAGCATTTTTTCAATCATTTAATATACCAGGTACTGCTAGCGTATACTCAACAGGTTGCGAATAAGCTACCAATACTTTTTTATTCAGTTGGCAGACAGCGCTCAAAGCAATAACGCATTCTTACCAAACTTTTTATATATTCGACACAAATATAAACTATGCTTTACCGTAGAATACAGTGAATATAATTAAAAATAAAACTCAAATTATTATTAGGTATATAAAATGCCAAAAAAGTATGACCCAAACGCTTTATGGGTGGCGCTTAGTGAAAATAATGATGGTAATCTCTTCAACGTTTACCCTAAGTTGTTGGCTGAGATACTCCTTCAAGAAGATGCAGCACGTCAGTGTGGTGATTCAAGTGAAGCTGAGCGTCTCGTTCTACCGAGTGACAAAGAGTGGAGACTTACACAATACTTCAATCTGGTGGCTATGCAAAAGACTTTAGACACTCAGCAAGTATTTATTTAGCACTAGCTTTGGCCCGAAGCTTGGATATTCCGAATATTTTTTTATTACAGATTTACATTATATTGATATACATATTTGATCACTACTTGGTTTTTTATGTAGATTTTATTGGCAACGTTGAGCTTAATTGAGGGTCCCTTATTAAGACGATTTTTTTATTGTCATGAAATTTACCCTTAATTTGTCAATATTTTTTTTTTGTAACTTTACCTACTAATTTACGAAATACTCTTTAATTTTGCTCTTGTTAACAAAGATAACCCAAATAAGTTTACGAGCAGATTAAAGAAATGAGAAACACTTTAATTGAAGTTATAAATGAATTGAAATTATAACGTTTACAAAGTTGTTTCATATATTACTTTTTTGGGTTCCAAAATCAATAAATAACAATCAATATAAGCGCCTCCTTGTATATAACTTCCCTATACTATGCCTTTATGCGAGCATGTTAATGTTCTGCAATGATTATGTGGTGGCCATGAACTTTGTTAGACATACTATAAATACTCTTTAAGCCTATGCGTTTACTTAATGTTCTTCCATACATGCTTCGTATTACTTTAAAATATAGAACTAAAACATCTTAAAACAATGGTTTAACGCAAGTGATTCACAAACAGAGTCAATATGAATTAAAGATTTCTTAGAATCTAACCAAATGAAATAGACACTTCGATTCGTCACCAGTGTCTGTAATTCTAATAAGAGACTTTAATAATTGCTTTTCATTCAGTATGCTTACTCTAAATTTCCATCGTGACGTTTCTTATGAAGAGTTTCTCATTCCTAACTCATTTCACATGATACAATTAATTTAGGTAATTGAATAAGAAAAAGGCCGAACTACATGCAGCTTGAGTATGTAAACATGAAAAAAATTTAGGGTTTTGGTTATAATCAATTAGTAAGACGAAAGCAAAAAGATTTCAATGTAACAGAATTGTTCTTTGTACAATAAAGTCAAAAAAGGCTTGATTTTGACATGTGTTTCTGACCTATTAATACCTGAATCATGCTGAAACTAACGAGCTGATTCTTATGAAATCTTATATTTTGGTTATTATATGTAGAACTCTACTTACCCTACACAGGTAAAAGTATAATTTAGACAAGCCCTAAAATTGCTTACCTTATTCATTTTCTTTCTCTATTTCTTCTTGGACGTGTTTATTCAGCAGGACCTGTTGTTATATAGAAATTATTTATGTCAATGTAAGTTAGAGACAAAAAGTGGAATGTTCAGGCGCTCATGACTAATTCTCGAACAAAAGCAATAGATACCTACTAGTAAATTATCGTTTTTAAATTGAAAAACAAACCCAAAATATTGGTGATATGTATTTTGAAAAACGAAGGATTTTCTTTATATATATTTATGTTTTCATAATATTCTCTTTTCTATTTATTCCGATTAAAAAGAAAAATACTGGTTGATTTTTATCTTTTCCAACTTGACATAAATTTAAATGATCGTTTTGAATGTCATTTTTATTTAATTAAAAAGCAAAAATATATTCATAAAACATTAGATAACAATTTAAATAGGATATTTTTATTAATTTATTATATGTGAAGTTATAAATCATGAAGTTTTCTCTTAATAAAATGTAATACTTTTGTATATGTTACACAATGTCCTTATTGGTGGATAAAAAGCAATGATTGATGGACCGAACACGATAATAACGTAAATATTATCAATTTTAAATACATTTAGGAATTTTTATTTCATTACTTCAGTCTTCTTTTTCTTCCTGGCAATTTCCCAGCTTTGGCCAGAGTCTGCCTTATATGTTGTGAATAGTTTTGGCTAATTGTTTTTACAATCGGCCTCCTGCCTGACATCAACCCTCTTTGGGAATGCATTAATCAGTGATGTCTAAATACTCTAAAACAGTACATATGACTCGAAAAAATCACATTGGTACTTCCCAGAGTCAGGATCGAACCCGCGCCCTCATGCATGAGAGGCGGGCCTATTAACCACTAGGCCATCACTGACTTATTTTATTACTTGGATCTTTTTTCATATTCTAATTTTGCTGTAAGTTTGTTGCCAAAACTTGGAACATTTAAATGCAGTACTATATAGTTATTCAATAGAATGGCACTAAGGAATGTTGAGTGATATTTAATTAATATTCCTAAAAGCACCCTGAATTTTTGTCAGCATTAACAACACGAAACATTACCAAGGTAGAATACTAAAAAAATATGAATTCTTTGAAAATTTTATGGATTATTATTTGTTGAAACCAGAGAAGGAGATGAGGACAAAACGGTCGAAAAAACGGAGGAGGTGGTCGAGGAATGGGCGCCTTGGTACCTGGTCCTCGTCACCAAAAACCCCAACGCCCCACCACCAGTTAATGTGAAGGCTACTCCTGGACCCGCCTGGGATATTGGACAGGTGAATATAGAAGGAGAAAATATAATAATTTCATTAAGTCTCTGATTATTATTAACTTCGTCTACCTAGCAATTTCTCAACTTTAGCCCGGGTCTGCCTCACATTTTGTGAATAGTTTAGGCTAATTGTTTTTACGACCGGTCGCCTGCCTGACATCATATCTCTCTGGGAATGCATTTATCAGTGATGTTTAAATACTCTCAGAAAGTACATATGACTCGGAAAAATCACATTGGTACTTGCCAGGATCGAACCCGCGCCCTCATACATGATAGGCGGGCCTTTTAACTATTAGGCCACTACTGACTCTGATTATTTATTAACTATTGTATTCAATTGTAGGTCCTGAAAGCAGCAAAACTTCTCTGCAAACCTCCCCTTGATGTGAACTTCGCTGACGAACAGGAAATGAGATGCGTCTATTCTCTTATCTACGACGTATTCCGATGTAAGATGTTCAATCAAAAAAATATATATTACAAACTAGTTTTTGCCTCCGACTTCGTCTACTTTACTTTCAAAATTAGAAATGTATAGCTAGAGAGTAAATTAGTAAATTTTGGTTTTTATAACTTTTTTTCGATTACTAGCTTAATCTCCACAATTTAAGCATAAGCGTAAAGCTGTTCACGAGTCATAAATAGTGTAACTAACACGACTTTGGTTTATATATAAAGATGATACCGTTCATTTGATCATAAATATATTTTTTATTATAGCTTTGCCAGAGATTCCGTGACTTTTTTTTTATAGCTGAACCGATGATCGTATATTCATGAATATCTATTATAAAGTAGGATGAAATACGAGGGCACATATAAGGGAACTTTCACTTAAGTTGGTGTCAAAGGCAAAGTTGGCGCGTGAACAATATAACAGTTGTAAATTAGATCACGCGATCTCTGGAACTAGTTTACGTGGTTTTGTAAGCGTTATTTAACTTTTATCATACGGAATACATGCTATGATGTAGCGATAAACGCTAGCGTGTCTTTAAATGTTCTCGTTTAAACGATAACGGTTTATTTGTTTGGTGGGTACATCAACTTGTTTTTTTAGTGTTTTTTCATTATAGGCCACATTACGCTTTTTGTAACCCTTCTAGAAAAATATATTAATCTCAAGAATGACTACTAAATTGGTTTTTTATAGTACGGATATTATATAAATTAAAACTTGGAACATTTGTAGATCTTAACTTTTTCTATATATTTTGAACTTTTATAATATTGTTGTAGCGTACCTATTTTTTATTTATTTAATTTATTAATTTATTTATTCATTTATCTATCTATTTATTTACATTTAAAAAATATATATATGCATTGACTGTGACTAAATATCTTTTACTTAAATTGTATCTTAATATAAATTCAGTATATATCTCTTAAATTTTGACTTAGGTTTGGACATATTGATATCGTCTTTCTATAAGAAAGGTGATTTAACTGAGATGAATTGGAAAGTTGCACAAGTAATTAAAAGTCAAAAAAGTTTTTTAATTTTAATTATTACTCTTCGTGTAACTTTTGTACTTGATTTATTTTGGTCATTATCTATTTATTTATTTTATAGTTCCCTATAACAGTGCTATTTATAGTGTCGCCATACGAACACACATTTCCATATTTATGCCGCTATTCAATAACGTTCTGTACGTCCCTTTCAGACAAATCAATATTGGATCAGGCGATTGAAGACACCGATTTTTTCGGAGATTATCCACAGGTACCAAATGTTCATAAATTTGTACGAAATATGGTAACTTTCTAATCTTTTACAAAGACAATTCATCAAATTAACAATTTTTTACACTGTCGCGATGTGTCCAAAATAATATTACCTAATTAGCTACAAAATTAAAGTATGGTAGATTATCCTTTTGAAAGCTGTATCGTTGTCACTAATCTTTGCCTATAACGCAATAGATGCTATTAAAAAAGCAGACTACATGGTCTAAAATACATATTTGCCAGAAAACATTTTATTGCTCTTGAACTTGGCTCATTGGTTATTCAAATATTTTGCTACCAAGGTTGCAAAGAAATGTCATTACCGAAAGGCTATAACTCGTGTAGAATCTGATGAAACAAGATGGAACAAAATGTTAAGCCTATAACTTGTATTATACTGTTTCGTGACTCAAGTCATTTCTTTTTTCTTTGAGGACGCTCACGAAAACGAGCTACTGATTTATTGTCGGTTTTTTTTGCGAAAATAATTGGCATTGGTTACAGTTGGCTCCTGTAAGTGGATCCGATTAATAATATTACACTTTGTATAAGGGATTTGAGTTTTAAAATGATAGATGGATTAAAACACCAGCATTTATTCGATAGTGATTGTTAGTATCACGATACAATTTATTACAAGAAATTAATTGTTCTCGATTAAAGTTTTTTCGATTTTTACTTTAAAATATTTAAAATTATTTGTTTTTACATATTGTTGTGTATAAAATACCTATTAATATACTATTTGTAAATATAGTTATTAGAATTTCATTTAAAGTCAACAAACGTTTATGCCGATTTATATAATGTACATAACTCATTTCTAAAAGAAATATATGTCATGTTAGCGTTTAGTTTCTTAAACATTGTTATATATGGTAAAATTCACAACGAAAAATAATGATAGTGATCTGTAACATGGTTTTATATTTGAAGTCATAGTTATAGCAGACAATTTCAGTTATAATTCAATTATGACCAGCTCTCCGATCACCGCCATTCAACTTGGTTGTTTCTGATGGAGCTGGCTAGAAGGCAATGGGTCGCCCGGTCGAGGGGAGAAACCGATAGAGCAACGAAACTCCTCAACGAAGCCGGCTTCCCTTTCAAAGACGTGGAAGCAGCTGTGTGGGACCAGCGAGTACATTTCGCAGCTGCCATTGCCAGAATAAGAATAAAAAATAGAGCCTTTTCGTAAGTTTTTATTAATAAAAAGTTGTGATGATAAGTAAAAGGAGTTATACTATTGGTGTTTGTGTTGTTATTGCCAGTCTATCGGCTCTTCTGCCTCCTCATCTGCGAGAGGAAAGGATATCCGCGTGCGTTAACAAAGACGTCGTCACAGGCTGGGTTAATACATTTAAAGCGAAGTGAGTGTATCAATTATCGTAACAAAATATGTTTTTTCCTAGCAGATATAATGTTATCGGTTATTTTGTAGAAAAGTTGCAGCACTAGTCGAGAGATTGCACGAGTTGGGATACTCGTATAGCAATTCACGTCAACTTTGTGCTGGTGAATACAGATTTGACAGAGTCTGTCCGCGGTAACAGATTATTAATAAAATTTTAATGTAAATTAGATATAATTAAAGAGTTTTTATATTATTATATATTGTGATATATGTTTACAGATTTATAACCTTGAGACCGCCAGAAAATGTTAGCATCGGTCAGTTGGATCTAGTTAAAGATGGTATTATAGTTCTACAGGTTGGTTCAAATCACTATGATAGAAAACAAGAACACGTTTTAAAATACACAAAATTTTTATCACAGACACACAATAAAGAAACGAATAAGTAAAAAAATAGTGTTATTGATATAAGAAATAAGTAACAAAATATGTGTTATTCTATGTTAATATGTATAATATCTTTAAAACTGCACACACATCAATCAGTTGTGTCACACATATGTACAATAGACAGACATCAAAAATGTATACAGACAAACAGACTTAAACCTATTCCTATATCCTCGTGTTGCATTCTGTCCTTTATGTACATGCTAATAGGAGCGAGAGTTCTGTGAAGGAGCATCAACTCTGTGTCGCGCACTGCGTGCTAACTCTCTCCGAGGTGTAGTTGCACAAACCCACGCGTCTTCGCCACGGTGCTCGGCCTACCTCGCTGCACAGCTCCGGGAACTGGCGGCTGTGCTGAGAGCACAGGCACCGCCTGCACCCGCTACACCTGAACTGGGCAAGCTGGTGGTGTTTGGGGCTGGGGATAAGTTAGTTACTTAAACATATAGTTGGTGTTTGATGACGATGAATCATAGATTTTGACGTATATTATTCGTTAGTTAGATAGCTATAATGAGGCATACATTTGGAGATCGTTTTAATAGATTTCTCTTTGGACAAAGCCAGGTGTCATTTATATATAACTAGCTGCGCCCCGCGGTGTTACCCACGGATTTTCGGGATGTAAAGTAGCCTATGTGTTATTCCTGGACGTCAGCTTCCTGTATACAAAACTTTATCAAAATCGGTTCAACCGTTTGTATGTTTTTTTTGGTAACTACTTTTTGACTACGAAAGGAATATGTTTGTAATCTTTAAATGAATTCTAAGAGTGAAGAGCTACGTTTGTGCGCTGCGGGACTTGGGTATAGAAGCGTCCGAGCTGCCGCAGTCGAGTGCTTCGGTATGCGTGTTGAGCGACCCCGTGCACTTTGACAACCCTAAAGTGGCGAGCGCATTGGACGGCGTGGTGGCAGCCCTGGCTACACCACCGAACTCCTACTCTGCAGTTACTGATCCCATAGACTTGGTCTGCGGTAGAGGTGGCGACCTGGCTATGCTAGAGGTGCGATAAGATAACATAATATATATATATTTTTTGCTATATATCTAATAATTGTTTTATATTACAGATATTAACCGAGTCTGAAATAGATTCGAACGGAAAGGCTCGAGTTCAATCTATACTGGAGGAGCAAAAGAAAACTTTGAAGACGCTCATGTCTAAACCTCAGGTGACGTCACAATAAGGTGAAGTTGTTTAAGAAGGGAAGATATAAAATGAATATTTAATCCATTTTGTATGAACAGATTCAACTCATTCTATACGAGACGCACTCAGCATTAGAAGCAGAGAACCAGGCTCAAGTGACACGTGCCGTGGCCGAGGCGAACAGACTGGCGCGCGAGAGACATGCATTACTAAAGAAGAAACATAGAGAACACGTGGTAATAAAAGATAATGCTAATTAAACCAAAAAGTCTTTAATATGTATTTAGAGAGCTTTAACGTTGATCCAAAACAGAAGTTCAGAATTTTTCTAAGATACTTTCGTTTTAATTAAAAATTCCAGGTACATAAGCCCAAGGAGCCAGTGGAAACAGCTATAACAGAATCATGTTCGTCGCTAGACCAAACAGCATCACGATCAGACCTCGACAGGGAGGAACAGGACGACGAATACTCCACAAGCCGTTCCCAGAAAAGACCAATGTCTTCCCCGCCAACAACAGCAAGAACCAAATCGGACAGCGGAGAAACAATATTGAAGAAACGAGCAGAAAGTGCCGACGTTGGTTGGAGACTAGGAGCAATGAAGTCAAGACCCATACCAGAAATGCAAGTCCCTGAAGACGAAGTGATCCCCAGAGATCCGGACAAAGACAGCCCTAATATTTATGTGAGCCTTACGTAACTTTAAACCTAACATATCATGTCATATATAGGTTTTATTTTAATATTCCCATAGGTTCCAGATGGTGATCTGTTTGAAATACAAACCTTACCGAACATTGGTAATGGTTTGGATATTAACTACATTCTGGATAGAGACGGTTGCTATTTGGGACTCATCCAAAGGAAGGTTAGTTCTCACAAAATATGACCACACTTATTTTAATAATTTTGCACACACTACCACTACGCCTAAAAATATATAATGAAATAATCAAAACCGTTAACAATTCAAAATGCAATTAACGAACTCTAATAAAATTATCCAATCTGCATAACAAAAAAATGCATTCATTTATAAAATGTACGGAATCCTATCTTTTTGTAGATATTTTCCACTTAACATTTACATTTCAACTACATATATAGTTGTTGTTACTTACGCTGACTAAATTTTTTGCCCAAAAACATAAGACCCCAACACCAATTCGGTACACCCGTCCACATTATACATCACTACGTTACTAAATCATAAGGTTTGCAGGTTACATGTCAGTATTGTATATAACGCGAGCAGGGTTCCCTCAGGAGATCACACGTCTGGACGCCAAGTATATGATTCGCGTAGCGGAGGAGCGAGGGCTGTTCGGAGCTGCGCCCGCGCCGAGGAGGAGACGGCCCGAGCCACCTCCACAGACCACGCGTGTTAGGAGGAGGAAGAATAACACGTTTGAGGTACGCTTACTAGGTGCTATAGGACGGAAAGTTGGTACGCAAATCAGGAATGGTTATGATAGTTGTTTTACCTTTATTGGCTTGATGATCAGATTCTTGGTTCTGAATCAGATGGACTCGGTTCCAAGGATTCATCGTCAACCTTGGCTTCGATAACCCTCGAGTTCAGACAAGTCGCTTTCAAACTTAGTCTTTTTAACATGTCTAAATTTCGATGCAAGTGTATCAACTTGTAATACACACTTATTGTACTGTAAAGCAATCAGTAGGGGATAAAGGCAGTACAAATAAAACAGTTTCAAGGCAACCGAATAGGAATAAGCAATCCTTCACTAAATCTCAAATATACGAAATAAAAATTAGAGTTACCACCGATTTTAGTGTTCGTAAAATACATACACTGGAGATAAAAGACCTTAAAAACATTCAAAAACTCTGTACGGCTCATTGAAATTACGAATATATGTGTAAAAATTAAGCCAAAATCGTTTGATTCAAATATTAATACGATCCAGGTGGGGCGTGTATCAGCGCCGACCTACGCATCAATGTCTCGCTCTCGACGCAGTTCAGCGCCGGCGTGTGTTGTGGAAGAATGTCCTGTGAGGGTCTGTTCTAGACACGCTCGGCGCCACGCGGCCGCTACAGCCTTCACCACAGCCTCCTGCACTTGTGATGCCAGGCACAAGTAAGATCACCTTTTTTTATCAAAGTAGTAGACTACTACTTGATGGGCAGTAGGTATTTACCGTCGCCCATGGACATCCACAACATAGATTCATTTAATTTCGCTCCTGACTCTGAAAATTACCTTGGAAGTTTAGTTTAATTTCACTCCTAACTTTGATAAATTAAAATATCCAATGATGTTCTCATTCTCATTTGATCACGCCAAAATTTGAAGAATTACATCTTGGCTATTACATAGGGAGAATTGTAACGTGTTAAGTATGTATGAAAAGTGAATCTACACGTATTGGAATAGAACGAACAAGTTAGATGAAAAATAGGTGTAGTTACCTTTTAAGACCCCAATTACGGACTCTCAAATAGGGACCCCAATTATTCATTCATGTAAACGTAGGTTTAGGAATGAAAAACTGGTAACGTATTGTGCCTATTTAGACTTGTGGTTAGTACAAAGAAAGGAAGTGTCTAGAATCCTTCACATATGAATTCCGATGCTATTCTGAGAAGTAAATGAAATATTTTATTAATTATACTTCATTGCTTTAACGATCATCGCAGTAATAATTATAATACTTGCCTTTACCTTTTGGTAGTAGAAGATTAGGTATAAAATATTAAACAAATTATCTTTTAGAACATACTTAGTGCAACTAATGCAATCAGTGACATCTATTAAACTATTGAGTTCTCTTTTATCTAACTTATCTTTATGTATATATTATTGTTTAAAACTTTTACTCATAGACAGGGCTTATTTTAATTAGGTATGTAGATTGTTAATGGACCCCATTAAATATTTTTTTATCTACTATGTACATTGTTTTCCGACCGTCAAATAAGCCTATATATAATTGGATGGAAACTAGGTACGAATCGTAGTATCCTACTAATATTATAATTGCGAAAGTTTGTGAGTGTGTGTGTATGTTTGTTACTTCTTCATGCTCAAACGGCTGAAGCGATTTTGATAAATTTTTGTATACAGGAAGCTAACTTCCAGGAATAACACATAGGCTACTTTACATCCCGGAAATCAAGGTAACACTGCGGGGCACAGCTAGTTTATCATATAAAGATATATGTACATATTGTATTCCCAGGACCTACAAGACTCGCCGCGTTTCGGATGTGACGTCAGTGCGCCCTCCCTCCCCGCCGTGCAGACAGCCCTTCCCCCTCGCCGTACACGACCTACGCCTCAAGATGAAGCCACAGAACCTACCAATATAATATAACCGCTCCCCCATAATGATTTGATGATATTAAAGACCACACAATCGTTGATACATGTTTTTTGATACCCATTTACTTGACGAATATGGAATTTTCGATTGTTCTACAATATTTGATTTAGGATATCTATAGGGTGTCCCAACAAGAACGCAATTTTTATTTTTTAAATAAAACACTGATATTAAAAAAAATATCGTGAAACTTTATTATATCGTAAAGTAGATAGAATGAGGTTATGTATGGAACAAGATATCGTGCAGATGGCCGCCGCGGCTTTGCAGGAACACGCGCGAACTTTGAATGAAATTTTCTAGGACCGTTTTGCATAAATACTGCGGTATTTCATTAATACAGCGTCCAATTTCCTCTTTTAAGGCTTAAGTCGTCGTCGGCTTATTCGCCTGAACCATCGACTTCAAAAAACCCCAAAGAAAATAATCTAAAGGTGTTAAATCGCACGATCTAGGCGGCCTATTCTGGTCTCCAAAACGGGAAATAACATGACCAGGAAATGACTGATGCAGCAATTGAATTGTTTCTCTGGCTGTATGACATGTGGCGCCGACTTGTTGACACCACATGCCGTCCACATTCATTTCTTCGATTCTAGGCAAGAAAAAACTGGTAATCATTTCACGATATCGAACACCATTGACTGTTTGCGTTGTTGTTGTTGTCTTTACATCACTAACAGACCAAGTTTCGGCAAATTTATTCATTAATCTCTTTACAGTTGACTCTTTTTGAGTGACTCCAAAATGATCGTAATTTGCGAACTGTAGCCGCAAAACTTTCACCATTTTGGTAAAACAATTTTACAATGAAAATGCGTTGTTCATTCGTGTAGCGCTCCATTTTTACAAACCTTGTACCTTCTACAAGCAAATAATAACAATTGTTCAAATGTCAAACAGATGGCACTTAAAATGGAGCCAAAGTTAAAAATTGCGTTCTTGTTGGGACACCCGTTATATATATTTTTTAATATAATTTGTGTCGTTTTAACTGCTAGTAAATTTTAAAAACAAATAGTCTAAAATGATATCTCTTTTAGCTACTGATTTAGAAAATATTCGATATAAATTGAGTTTATTAAAAACTGTGAAATACAAATACCTACGTTTAAAGCTTAATCAATATCGTAAAATCATATTTTTGGTATATAGATATAGAAATATAGAAACTATTAATATATAACATTGAAAACCTCCACGACTTTTATTAATTAATTATATAGATTCAATAATTACTCATTTCAATATATGACAGTGATTACGTAATCTCAAAATATATACTTAAAAATTTTATTACTACATTATAATATATACAACAAAATATTCAGTATAAATAAAAACAAAACTTTATTCATTTGTTACAAATCAGCCAAATAGTGGCTTTATATTATTACAGCATGCCGAAGCCTTTAGAATAGCTGATGGCTTTCATGAGTCGATCTTGCAGCTTGAGTCTCGAGCTGTATTCTGGCAACAGGAGCACATTGAAGCACGTATGAGCGGTAGGCAGACGGTCAGAATCTGGTCCGTTTCTGGCTATAACCAGTTTCAAGTGGCTCAAACCGCCGACTGGCACGCGGTCAGAACCCGTCGTAAACTGTAACAGCTTGCGTTTGTCCTCTAAAGTCAAGCTGTGCACGATGCTCCAGAAATCTTTGATGATTTGTGATTCCGCTGTATACCCGCCGTCGTATTCCGTTGATTTTTCCAGCTCGTTGAAGTCGAAGTTCTGTTATATAAGATAATGTTATTTTAGGTACTAGATACTATAAATTGTAGGGTATTAACTGACACCGACATCTAGTATGTGGCTTCAAAAAATACAAGTATAAAGCGATTTCAATTACAAGGAATTCCAGGATAATGTAACCTATATCTCATTGTGTTGCATAATCTACATTACTGTAGAGTTGTAATAAAATCTGCTAAGCAGTTTTTGTATGGTAGGCTGACTTTCATACATAGAGTCGGGGATATTGCAAAACCGATTAACTACCATTTGATAATTATGCGTATCAGCATTTTCAGTTCGTTAATATCCTACTAATATTATAATTGCGATAGTTTGCGAGTGTGTGTGTATGTTTGTTACTTCTTCACGCTCAAACGGCTGAACCGATTTTGATTAAATTTTGTATACAGGAAACTGACGTCCAGGAATAACACATAGGCTACTTTACATCCCGGAAATCTGTGGGTAACACCGCGGGGCGCAGCTAGAATACATATATATGAGATCGTTATATTGTTTGTGATAGTACCTTGCTCCCACAAACGAGAGTCTCCACTTCCTCGGGCCTAAACAGCGATCCCAACTGACTTTCATCTGTAACCATCACGAAACCGCGACGGAAGGCGCGGAACTGAGTCTCTACGGACTTATTGAGGAGGAAATCAGAATACAGGTCGACGAACTCCTGAAAAATAATTACATATATATAAGAAAATAAATTTTTCTTATTAAACTTTTAATATATCAACATTTACATAGTCTGTGAACGGTATATTGGCTGTCAGAATAAGAAAGAGAATGAGGGATTATGTTGGAGATAAATTTGATGTAATTCATTAGGTAGACATTAAGGTAAATAAATGAAAATGTTCGATCTTGATTATAAAAGTACTTGAAATAAAATTAATATTTTGCGTTTATAACTATTAAAGTAACCGAAAAGTCGGAAGTATATTATTAAAAATAATTATCAACGCAATTATCTGATAAATATTAGTTTTATTTCAATGAATATTTGCTAGTCTTAGCTCTCAAAACGTACCTGTTTATTATCCTGCGTTACGAATATATTGTCACCGTTTTCTTTGAGATCATGGAATATATTATTACCGAACACATCAGTGTAACATATCCTAAACGTCTGATAGTACACTTCTTCTAAGTCACTGCCGGTGTAGTCCAACATGTCTTTTAAGCCGTTGTATAAAGTCTGGAAGAATTCAATTGATATAAATGTAGATCTTAATTCTTGCTGATATTGTTAATACTATGTCAGGGTGGCCTAGTGGTTAAAAACCCGCCTTTCATGTATAAAGGCGCGGGTTCGATCCTGGCAAGTACCAATGTAATTTTTCCGAGTCATATGTAGTTTCTAAGAGTACTTAGACATCACTGATTAATGCATTCCCAAAGAGGGTTGATGTCAGGCAGGCGGCCAGTAATTAGCCAAAACTATTTACAACACGTAAGGCCCTGGCTAAAGCTGGGAAATTGCCAGGTAGAAGAAAATTGTTAATACTACTAAGTCAAGCTAAGTTATATAAATGTTGTTTCTTACGGAATTCCAATCAGCTAGATCTTCAAAGGAACCTTTCTTTCCCATGAGTTTTCTATACACAACCATAGGGAAGTTGACCGCTAATATAATATTATTATATATGGCGAGCCCCAACACTATACCGATTAATGTGAACTGAGCCTCCGTTTCAAACGACGTAGGGTTGAACCTGAAACATATCGATAGAAATTATAAAACAGTTCTGAGTCGATAGAAATAAAAGTCCAATTACGTCCTTTTTCTTTTCATCTATACATATATAAATAAAATTGGAATCTCCATTCGTAATTTTAATATAAGTGTTTTTCACTACATGCCCTACTATATGTGTCAATATATACTTTTTTTTACAATTATTGCCAAACTGTTTGTTGCTGCTAATCTCTGAAATGACTAATCCGACTTTAATGGGACTTTCATTAGCAAGTAACTGATGTGATAATGAATGCTTTAGGCTACATCTCATACCTCGAAAGTAGAGAGGCAAAATCCCTACTAATATTATAAATGCGAAAGCAACTCTGCCTGTCTGTCTGTTACGCTTACACTCCCAAACCTTTAAACTGATTTTAATGAAATTTGGTAGACATAGAGTAGAGTTGACTTTGAGAAAGAACAGAATAGTTTTTATGCCAGACTTTTGAAAGGTTCTCTTGGAGACGCGATATAAGCGAACTCCACGCGGGCGAAGCTGCGGGCGGAAAGCTAGTAATATAATCAACTCACCACACAGTATGTGAGTCCTGTCTGTGTGTGAACATGCCGTAGTCAGGATTGAAGATTTGTTCAACGACTAATTGGAAGAACTCCTTGCTAACTCCACCTTCGTCAACTCCTTGCTCGCCTTCGAATTCAACCACTAACTGCTTCTTGAGGTCCAATGCTCGTTCCATTGCTATCATTTCCAACTGAAATATATAACATATTATATATAAGTATATAAAATTTTATTACCAGTAGTTTTCCTTATTAACTTATTCAAATGAAATGCTGTAACATAGGCAAGAATTGGATAAGTATTTATTCACGAATGATTGTTATAATTTAACTGCTCTACAAATTTACTATACAGGGTGACTGGTGAATTACTATCAATATTTGAGGACGTGATATTTGACGATCATATATGACAAAATAAAAATTAATATAACATAAATATTAATAAACTTCTAAGTAAAGTTAACCAAAAGTTATGTAATTAATTACGCATCGTATGAACACCCTACAGATTAGGTATACACTGACACTCACACATACGCATGTCGTGACGTGGTGTTGTATCAACACGTCGCCGCACGCGTCCACACTTGAACACTTGGAACGTGTCAACACTTTACTTATTTATACGGAAATTTTGTCAAAAATTAAGTACCTATTTTTTTTACATAATTCGAATGAGAATCATGTACCGAGTATGCTCCTTAAATATTGATAGTAATTCACCAGTCACCCTGTATATCTATACTAATATTATAAAGCTGAAGAGTTTGTTTGTTTGTTTGTTTGTTTGTTTGTTTGAAAGCGCTAATCTCCGAAACTACTGTTTCGAATTGAATAATTCTTTTTGTGTTGGATAGTCCAGTTATCGAGGAAGGCTTTAGGCTACATAACATCACGCTACGACCAATAGGAGCAAAGATATAGTGGTAAATGTGTAAAAAACGGGAGAAATTTTTTCATCTTTGAAGCCTTCCGTTGCGTGCGCCGTGAAAACGGTTCAAGATACACAAAAAATATGTATTAAAGAATAATAGCTCTTTTAATGATCTTTAAAACACTCCGCGACAGTATATGTCTATCTTTTAAGATTAACTCACAAAAACCGTTTTTATGGTACCTAATTTGGTCGAAATAATTTGTTTAAGTTGTATCAACATAATAATATTAATCTTTATTCAAATAAACAAATAAATATGTTGTTGGTTAAGAGTACTTCATTGTGAATAAAAAAAACATAGGTTTTATCCTAAAAAATCTACGGGAACTCGACCAGTCCGAAAACCCCACAAGAACGGGAACTATGTGGGAAGAACCAAAAATCTTCCGTAAGTCACTATTCCACGCGGACGGAGTCGCGGCAAAAGCTAGTTTTAAATAAAATAATAATGAATACCTTCTAAATAAAATTGGAATGTTAATAAATAGTAAGAGAAGAATGAAATGGTGAAAAAACAAATAGATTATATATTATATAGCGACTTATGGAAGTGAACGAAAATTTGATACAAGTGAACGAGTGAGTGAATTATTTATCACGAGTCAGTACTTCAAAGGTGGTAGAGCCTAGCTGTAGCCAAGTTACTACAGCTCGAACATGTACTGGCTCGACCGGGGAAGTACCACCCTCTCACAGAAGATCGGCGTGAAGTAGTCATTAATGACTGCGTTTCGTCCGATGAGTGAGAGATTCGGTTACCCTTTCCCTATTCCCGCCCTTTCCTGCTATTTCCCTATTCCCACCCCTCCCTTTTCCTCAACAATTAAAGTTGGCAACGCTTCTGTAACATCTATCTAGCAGGCCGTCTGCTCGTTTGCCACTTTTGTCTTTAAAAAAGTACTAAGTGATGTTATATAATATATTATATATATTTACCTCAACAAGAGCGTCATCTATGATGTGCGATCGTCTCACTTTAAGCCTCAGGAAGGGCATGGGCGGCGCGGCCCCCACCACCGCGTGTAACAGCGACACGCGCCGCTCAGAATACATCCGGATCCGGTTCTCGTAGTACAGCCCGAGCGACTTGGTGGCGGCAGTCAGTATGAACGGGTACTTGAGGAACGAGAACTTTCTACCTGTGATATAACACATCGGCTGTATGGATAGAATCTTTGACACTTATAAATTTAAAAAGTTTTTTTTAGGCAGTGTAGAAATGGTGGAAAGATTTGATATTAGTACATTGGCTGTATGATTTTTTTTTAAGTTTTTTTTTTTGCATAGTGTAGTAATTATGAAACATTCAAAAGTTTTATTATTGAGTACCAATTAACAATAGTTTCCAAATCTGTATATCTGTCTTAATGATACGTTAAACATAATAAACTTACCATTACCTATTTCAGTTTTACAATTAGCTAGATCTATATCCATTTCTATATTATCACTAAGGGGTTCGTTATAAAACTCTTCGAATGGCAAATATGGCTTCCTAGAGTCTAGTACATTTACATCTAATTCAATAGCTGAAACAGAAAAAAACATATAAATTTTATTTATTGTACTAACTTATATGGCAACTTTTCATATATTATTCAATCTTTTCATACATTAAAGAAAACACTCATTAATAAACACATACAAGCTTATAAATACAGTCATTTCTTAAAACATTAATTACTAGTAAACCTGGCGCACTCCGTTTCGCCTCCAGAAGGCTTTGTTTTATGTAACATTTCGTTTGGTGATTAAAACATGAAGGATTTTTTTTTTGTTTTATATTTGAAAAGGAAAATTTTTATTTCATTTCACAACAGTAATGAATTCATTTCGATTACAAAAATGAAGTGTTATTTAGTTGAACTTTTCTAAGTAAATGAAAGTGAATCCAAAGTAGATACCGAATCGAAGCGTTATACGTGTCTGCAAATTATCCGTTTCATTGAAGTGCTCCTTTGTAAACCACATTTTTTGTTTTTTGGTCTAACGTTAACACATTTAAAGCGGATGGTTTCCAAACTCGTGAATATGCAAAATGTAACTGAACATGTGAAAAACAATGATTTTCTAAATTTATCCCGCAAATACTAAATTACATAATATCTGTCATTATACGTCAATTGCATAGCTGTCAATTGTGTTTCATTATTCCACGTTTTATAGTGACTGACGTCTCATGTCAAGTCCCACGGGAATGCTGTTGAACGGGATAAAAAGTATCCTATTGCAATTTCCGGGCTTTAAACTACCTCCCTGCCAATTTTCACCTAAATTGGTTCAGCCGTTCTTGAGTTATAAGTGGAGTCACTAACACGACTTTCTTTTATATATATAGATTATATATTAAATGTATATATCTTCTTAGCTTGATCTCAAATATTTTAATAGTATTATTTCAAGTAGTTTAAGTGAAATTGAAGCAAAATTGTATATTTATATATGTTTATATCTTGAATATTACCTAGCGGGTCATCTTGCTGCGCCTGTTTAGAGTTCTTGATCGATGACAGCGGGTACAAGTGATCCAAGGCGTCGCCCAGCGGGTCCAACTGACTCGCTATAACTACCGGCTCCTCTCTCAAAGTGTTGGCCTCCATCACACCGGCTAACATATTTGCGAAGTACACTATCTGAAAATAAATATATATTATATTTAAAACGCATATTACACATACATATATGTCTGACTTTGGCTAAAGCTGGGAAATTGCAAGGGAAAAAAAGATATGTCTCATTTAAAAAAACATTTAGCGTTATACAAAATTCCATCACTGTTGACAGATCATTTAAGAATTTATTATCTACTAGCTGCGCCCAGCGGTGTTACCCGCGGATTTCCGAGATATTAAGTCGCCTATGTGTTATTCCTGGACGTCAGCTTCCTGTATACAAAATTTTATCAAAATCGGTTCAGCCGTTTGAGCGTGAAGAAGTAACAAACATACACACACTCACAAACTTTCGCAATTATAATATTAGTAGGATGTAATTTTATATTCATCTATGGGCATAATTTTTTTTAATACATGACTGTCATTCAATTCTATTTCAGTGTTGCCATACGTCATTCCAGTAAACACCCATATTAAATATATTTCATTTTTATTCCTGTGTATACCTTCATCAGTTTGGTTGCCATGGTAACGGTCTCATCATCTTGAACCTGGTAATTCCTGGAATAGTTGGTACAGATGACCCTCAGTGTGATAAGCTGCTGTAAGGTTTCCAGAATATGACGTAAGCTATCCTTGCAGTGCTGGGACCAGATACGAGCTAATTTAGCTTGAGCTGGAAATTTTATATATAAATTATATTATTATATTGGTATTGAACATGTTTTTGAACCAAATTTTATGACAATTTTGAGTTAATAAGAAAATGTGTAAAGTTATTTTCTTTTAAGCAACAATGATCGTGTTTAAATTAACATATGAATGAAACAATTATATTTTTTATAAAAAAATTTAAACCAAATTTAGATGGTAATTTTGATTGTATTACAATTATATAAGAAAGTTATCAATAAAGTGATATGCAAATATTTTCTTTTAGAATATAATTCTCTTATATAAGTAAAGCAATATATATACGAATTATATATTATCCTATGTTCAATGAATTTCAAAATTAAAATTGTATGTAAATAGTTAATTAAAATACCTTTAACTGGCAAATGTTCGGCTGCATGACACAAGGCCGGCAGAGCAATCTCCAGATAATCACTACACCTCAGATCTGGCACTTCGAATGCTATCACAAAACAGTTGACGACATCCTCCAAACTCATTTTCTTTGTTATTCGTAAATCTATCTCCATGTTCTCAGCCAAAGTCTTCAACGCAGTGACTAACGCTGAACTATAGTATTCAGACGGCACCTGGAATGAAAGGATGATTCATTAATGACAAATATTCATATTTAGATTGGTTGATTTCATTCACAAAGAGGGTTGATGTCAGGCAAGCGGCCAACAATTAGCCAAAACTATTATAACATGTAAGGCAGACCCTGGCTAAAGCTAGGAAATTGCCAGATAGAAAAAAAGGGACCTGGAATGAGCGGATGATTCATTAATGACAAATATTCATATTTAGATTGGTTGATTTCATTCCCAATGAGGGTTGATGTCAGGCAGGCGGCCGGTCGTAAAAACAATTAGCCAAAACTATTATAACATGTAAGGCAGACCCTGGCTAAAGCTGGGAAATTGCCAGGTAGAAAAAAAGGGACCTGGAATGAGCGGATGATTCATTAATGACAAATATTCATATTTAGATTGGTTGATTTTGTTTGACATAGTCATTTTATTGTATAAAAGTTTATTGTCTTAATGAGTGTTAAAAAAAATGACGCTCAAATTGGTGTATGTTAGACATGAAACTAATATTTTTCGAATTTACATAGTTTTAAAAAATATACTCTCGACATTTCGGTTAATTTGCAGCAACCATGATCACGGCAAAGCCAAAAAATATTTATTTTATTTAAATGAATACTCGCGAAATTCTTAGACTCCATTATTTATGTACGATAGTCAGATCTATGCAAAAAATAATACTTCATATACACATATATATATATACATATATATGACGTACGTGGAAAACAAATTGGACTATAGTATTTGGATTCCCTAAAACTTTAATATTACAAGAATAACATTAAGATGAAATAATTATAACATTTTCGACCTTATATACTTAATGCTAAGACTTACTTTGGCAAGATACTGAAAGGCTCTCTGACATGAAGCCACATCCAGCCCCGGGCCGGTAACACAGTCTACATCTTTATCAGGGTCACTTGAAGAACACATCGCCTTTAATTCCTTATCTGTAATACAAATATTAATGTATAGTCTGTGGCAACATTTTGGCTTGAGCTCTTAGACTATAATTATCAGCCTATCAGAGCCCACTGCTGAGCTACCTCTTCTCACATGAAGAAGATTTGAGCATTAATCACCTCGCTTGCTCAAGACAAGTAGGTGATTTCAAACTTATAATTATGATTTTACTAGCTGCGCCCCGCAGTGTTACCCGCGGATTTAAGGTATATAAAGTAGCCTATGTGTTATTCCTGGACGTCAGCTCCATGTATAGAAAATTTTATCAAAATCGGTTCATCCGTTTGAGCGTGAAGAAGTAACAAACATACACACACACTCACAAACTTATTATAATATTAGTAGGATAAGTCCAGGTTTCCTCACGATGTTTTCCTTCACACGTCAAAATATCTATATAAATGAATATTAAAAAATTAACTACCTAACTTTTTCTTCCCTTCGCTTACATCACATTTGGAGACTTTCTTCTGAAAACATCTTGATAATATGGCTGGTTGGGTGAAAGCCTCACCAAGAGCTCTAATAAGTGCTTGAGGTTTTTTAGTCTGGAGACACTCGTCACACAATTCATATATACGATCCTCAGTTAATGGAGCCCCGTCTGTTAATAAAGATATTATTAAATCATCCAATGAATCCAACAACCATTTCGTTCTTAGCTTAAAACTTTCTATCTCACTCGACATTATTATAACACTGTTAACTTGTTAGTGATGTGTATTGTAAATTGCACAATATATATACCAAAATATTGTAGGGATGAATAACTTAAACATTAACTAATGTCTTCTGTTATATATAATTAGTACTTAAATTAATTAAAACCCTTTAATTATGTAATATATTTAATTAGTTCAATTTTAAGTATAAGCATCAGAAAAAATTAATTTATACTAATTAGATGTCATATAATGTCTTGTTATATAATACTAGCTTTTCGCCCGCAGCTTCGCCCGCGTGGAGTTCGGTTAATCGCGTTTCCAAGAGAACCTTTCAAAAGTCTGGCATAAAAACTATCCTATGTTCTTTCTCAATGTCAACTATATGTCTGTACTAGATTTCATTAAAATCAGTTTAATGGTTTAGTTGTGAAAGCATAACAGACAGACAGAGTTACTTTAGCATTTATAATATTAGTAGGGATTTAAATGACTTACTATTATGACTTAGATTTTTATACTCCTCCCGAGATATATTATGACTAGTTTCAGGCTTGTCTGTCTTGTTGTCATTTGGTGAAGAACTACATGAAGCGTCACCTTTCTTATCCCTATTGTTTTTGTCCTTTGTATTTGACGTTGAACATGGTGCGCTTGTAATAAAAATATACAATTAATAACAATCAAATTGACTAATTAAGTAATTAACGACATTATGTTTTCATAATGGAATGTATGGAAAACGATTAATAAATTGCATGACTAGTAATAATTTACTTGTCATCAGCCTATCAGAGCCCATTTCTAAGCAAAGGCCTCTTCTCACATGGAGAAGGTTTGAGCATTTACCACTCTTGCTCAAGACGGGTTGGTGATTTCAAACTTATAATTGTGAAATTATAAGTCCAGGTTTCCTCATGATGTTTTCCTTCAGTGTCTATCAGTGGTGTCTAAATACTCTTAGAAAGTACATGACTCGGAAAAATCACATTGGTACTTGCCAGGTTTCGAACCTAAGCCCTCAAGAATTAAAGAAAAAGTGAGTAAATCAGATTATTATTAAGTTTTTTAAATTACCTGGCACTAGTATCACATGTACTGGCTTCAGTTCTGGGTACTTTATTTGGTAGAGTGTCACAGAGGCGAGCCTCTTTGTAAAATAGTTTTATTGCTTCTGCTGCAGCCTCATTTGGTGTCAAGTTTCTTGCCTAGCCACAAAATATTTGAATCATAATAAAAATTATCATTGTGTAGTGCCTAATTATATATTTATTAAGATGTCTACTCTATAGTTATAGAATAGTTTTTGTTCTTGTACATGGGAAAACTCAAAAATATTTTATACCAATGAATATAAATTTAAAGAGTAGACAATTATATGCACGAAATATTATCAAATCTTACCATCATAATTATAATCATACATGAACTATTATTTTTATTTGATGAAAAGATTAAATTGTTTCACTTACAAGAAATTAATATTGTGAAGCACCTAATTATGTAGCAATATCTTAGTCATGTTTATGTTATAGTTGATAAACACTATTACCTCTCCGCTTGAAGCACAGTACTGGTTGTCACAATTAGGGTTCCCGCAGCCATCTAGAAGCTGGTAGAAGTACCTCTCAATCAGTTGTCTTGCGGCCGCTCTCTTCATAATGTCGCTCGAGTTTGAACTTGTATCGGCGCATAAACCCGCCTCGGATTGTTCCTTCGAGTTGCTTGGGGCTGGATTATTGTTTGACGATGACGCTTCGCTCCCCCTGAAACGTAATTAAACAGAACAAGGCCTTGCAGTTTATTCCGATCATTGTCAACAAAGACTGAAAAATGTCAAGTAATGCATAACCTCTTCCTCCTAGCTTTGTTCTATATTAAGATTTTAAATATTAATGTTTTTGTTTCACGTATATTCATATAAGAGCTTGAATTATTCTAAAAAAAAATATGAAAATAAAAATTCAATAATGACAAAATTACCTTGAAGCTTCGTCAGTTTCGCTTTTTGAGTTCATAGAAATAAATGATGATCAATTCTTAATAACTTCCAACCATTTGATATTATCAATACAAAGATACCAGATCTTCACTTATTATTTTCTCAAATAAAATGTTAATGTTATTACAAAACAAATTAAGCAGGTACACAAAAAATACCACTAATTGTTCTCATTCTACAATCTGTCAACCATTTTGAAGATATTTTTTTTACATTTTACGCATGATATTTAACAAAATTTGTTTAAAATACTATAAAGTTGCATTACGCACTTTAATAAGTTTAAACGTAGAAATTATTATTCTATAGTAATTTTTAAATACATTACTTTATATACCATTCATCTTTAATTTTGCTCTATTTTTTGACTAAAAAGACTTTATTGCATTTGATGAACAACAAAGAATATATATGCAATATTTAAAATATAATAAAATAGTGAATATTAAAAATAAAAATTACCTATACTACATCTCATATGTTTACAACCGAATGTATACTTGTCACTTTTCTAGAAGTCACTCACCACACGTAAACTGTCATCAACGTCATTTTGTGTTTCCAATCAAACTTTTGCTAGCATTGTCTTTGTAAATTTTGAGTAAAATCAATAAAAAGTCTATTTAGAGATACGTTTCAGTGTTTTTTCATTGCTAGGTATTCTTAATTACTTATAAGATTATGTTCTTAAAAGTTATATTGATATATAATTATCAAAAAAATCTAACATACTCGTTTATGTTTTCTAGGTTTTATTGATCTTAGCTGCCGAAATGCCTGAAACAATGATGGAACAGTTACCTCTTCATGAAGAGTCTGAAGAGGATCGATGCAAAGCTATACTCGATGGCTTTCAAATGTATCCTTTTAAACTATTTTTATATTAAATGCATATGGTATTTCCAAACTAATGTCTAGATGTCCATTACATATTTTCATGATAACAAATAAGATTTGGTTCAGATTTAACTTTTTAATATGAAATATTTTTTCACCATATATAAAAATTAAAATTTCCTTAATTTTTCCCAACAGTAATTATATGACTTTGAGAGATGTAGACACAGGTAAACAAGATTATTTTAGTAATACAATAATTCTTTACTTTCAATTAAGATTATATATTTAATTTAAACAACTTAAACATTCTCATAGTATAAAATAATCAATGTATTTATAATTAAACAAACAATTTTTACATTACATATATTTTTATTCTCATAGAAAATAATAATTTTACTTTATTACTTACAAATATTTAATTTATTGCAATTAGTAAACTAATACAAGTCATTATTTCAAGTTAACCTAGCAACAGACTTATAGAGTATACATATATTTGTAAATATTACATAATTCATTTAATATGTAATAAAAATATTCCAGGCAAGATTCTTTGGCAGCATAATCTAGATATGTCCAGTCCGGATGTTGAACATGAAGCTCGTGTACCGAAGCGAATCCTCAAGTCGAGGGTTGTATCGAGAGAGATGAACTTCAGTTCTGTGGAATCTATCAGTAAATTTCGCTTGGAACAGGTATAAATAAACGATAAGTATATCTCTTATAAATACTGTAATTTATATTGCTCCTGTTTCTATGTAAATTTGTTTTTTATTGTTATTTTATAAGAAGCCATATACTTTGTAATACTATGAGATCTTAGACTCTAAGTATTCATTTAAATGAAACTAATATTTTTAAATTACTACGCAATATTTTATTATTTTAAACTATAAACTCCTGATTTGTCGGTTACTTTGCAGCAACCGTGATCATGGGCAGACAAGTTGTAAAATTTCAAGATCATGTATTTTTTAAAAATAATAAAATAACCAAAGTAATCCAAAAAACATTATTTACTTTTAAACTTTTAAATGTTTTCTATGGTTTATACAATAGATAAGTCATAAAAATAAATTTATACTCAAAAAAAATTATTTCTTGCCTTCCTAAAGTTATTTTCTATCTAATTCCAGAAAGTTCTCTTCAAAGGCAGATGTTTGGAGGAATGGTTTTTCGAATTTGGCTTTGTCATTGCTAACTCTACAAACACTTGGCAGTCTATCATAGAATCGGCCCCGGAGTCACAAATGATGCCAGCTAATGTACTTAAGTAAGTGACCATGTAATAAAATGTCTCCTTAAATTATTAAAGAATATACAGGGTGACTGGTGAATTACTATCAATATTTAAGGAGCATACTCGGTACATGATTCTCATTCGAATTATGTAAAAAAAATAGGTACTTAATTTTTGACCAAATTTCCGTATAAATAAATGAAGTGTGTACACGTTCCAAGTGTTCCTAGTGTGGACGCGTGCGGCGGCGTGCTGATACAACACTACGCCGCCGCCGCGTCTGTGTGAGTGTGTGTGTATACCTAATCTGTAGGGTGTTCATACGATGCGTAATTAATTACATAACTTTTGGTTAACTTTACTTAGAAGTTTATTAATATTTATGTTATATTAATTTTTATTTTGTCATATATGATCGTCAAATATCACGTCCTCAAATATCGATAGTAATTCACCAGTCACCCTGTATTTATAGATGTATGTAAACAGTTTCCAATATTTAATAAAAGTTGATTGAATAGTAAAATCTATGAAAAGTCTAGATTATTTTTAAATATTTAAGCAAAATATTGTTGATTGGTAATCTTTTACACCAAAGTGAATGAAATATATGATAATTTGAATTATTATTGCGAAAGGGAAATTTATTTTGTAGCTCTAATTATTATTCACTTTTTTTTTGTCATGGTTTTCATATAATGGTATTTTACATATGTATGAAGTTAAAAAAGTAATTATATGTTTAAAATTGTCTTCCAGTGGAAATGTGATCATAGAAACGAAATTCTTCGATGGAGATCTTCTCATCACAACGTCCCGAGTGCGGCTCTTCTATGTTTAATGGGTTCAAGTTACCATAGACAAGAGACATAGAGTATGTTAATAATACCATAGAGAAATTAATAATTATGTATAAACTGTGGAAATTATCATGTAGCCAATATCTATTGAGTGTAATAAGTGAACAATTCTATAAATACTATTTATCTATACTAAATATCTGTACTAAAATGGTATTTTTTATATAAGTAGGTGCTATATTTTCGTGAAAATATTGAAGTTTATTTTCTTAGGATATTTCAATATTAAATAGTATATTTGCAATTGCTTTCGGTAGAAAAACACATATATAACTCTTTATCAAAAGGATAATGGATATACCCTTATACCCTTTACTGAAAGAAAAAAAAATAAACTACCTACTGTCAAGTATAAATTTTTAGTCCTATATTATATAATAAATTTTTCTTCAAAATGTAATTTTTTAAAGATATATTTGTTGAAATACCAATTAAATTTGCTGCATGAAAATTTCTAACAATTTAACATATTCTATGTCTCTTGTGGTTTAATAATACAAACTTCAAAAATGGAGAAATATAAAAAGTATTCGAAATTTTCAAAGATAATGCTACACGGCCTCTTAAATTAAAAAAGAAAAAAATTAAAAAGAGGTTTTATTAAAAAAAATTGCAGATTAAATAATTTTCATTCATTTAACATATGCATACAACTCTACACAGCTATTAATGCATTTTTTATTATAATATCTAGTCATACGCACTAAATTAATGTCATTAGCTGTAGATAAAAATGTAGTATTAATGATGGTAGTTTTAATTTTTTCTTACTTCTATAAGTGTTTGAATTATACAAAAATCGTCCTTAACTTAAGCTATGGAAGGTTGAAATTCAATTGTGATATAATGCTATAGCATTTAGAAGCACTTTAAATGTATTTTTGTTTATGCATTTTCAAACTAAATAAATTTTTAAATCACATTCCAAGTACTTTAATCATTTATTATATAGTGTGGAACAAAATTTAGGCTTATAAAGTGGAAGTTTGGAGAAAGTTATAAAAATATGCTATATTAAACAGAAGTGTATTGATATATAAATAAATCAATTTTGTTTATTATTAATAAGTATTTATTGCTATAAATAAGTCTCTAAGTACATAAGCTTAAATTTTTCGTGTCTTCACCCTCAAAGGAGAATTTGCTTTTAAAAAGATTTCTCTACAGTGTGACTGGTGAATTACTATCGATACTTGAGGACGTGATATTTGACGATCACATATGACAAAATAAAAATTAATATAACATAAATATTAATAAACTTCTAAGTAAAGTTAACCAAAAGTTATGTAATTAACTACGCATCGTGTGAACACCCTACAGATTAGGTATACACACACACACATACGCGTGCGGCGGCGTGGTGTTGTATCAGCACGCCGCCGCACGGGTCCACACTTGGAACGAGTCCACACTTTATTTATTTATACGGAAATTTGGTCAAAAATTAAGTACCTATTTTTTTACATAATTCGAATGAGAATCATGTACCGAGTATTCTCCTTAAATATTGATAGTAATTCACCAGTCACCCTGTATAAAAAATTATCTCATTTTATATTGCAAGTTTTACTCAAATGTTGCTTTTCTTATTTCAACAACATCCTGATAAAAAATATTGAAGTATATTGAGAAAATCCCTACCTTAGGTAAGTGCATACAGCTAATTTCTACCTTTTTCCCATTTCCGACCTATGGGTGTAAAAAATAAGATGAATAAGAAAATAAAAAGCTCTTATTCTATAAGCAAGTCTAAAAAAATACTAGTAGGTATCTGTCAATCATTTTCTACTACCGAAAATTCTCCTACTTCATATAAAACATAAGACGTGTTATAAAGATTCGCTTTACTTTTTTAAATATTTTTGCCAAAATATAAGTCTTTCTATCAACCGGCAAAACGAGCATTCCAATTTATAAAGCGATCATTTAATATTATATCGAGTTAATTGTATTCCGTTTGTAGAATGTGTTCGTGTGACGTCATTTTAGATGAAAGATGACAGAACATTCGTAATGGTTGACTAAATTTTTAATGAGTTTATTTAATCGTAGCAATTAAGCTTTGCTGAAAAAACATGAATATAAACTCGTTTGTTTTTAAAAAAAGATAATAACTCATTGAAATAAGTAAATGCTTCGTAAGTATATCCAAATAAAAGGTTAATATATTCAAATATGAATTGCATGATGCTGTCGTGAAAGGTGTCAAACTGACAACAAACCAATGTATTCTGGTGAAAAAGGGTATATATTTTGAAATCGTATATAAGAACATATAAATAATACTAGATGAATCGCTATCAAAGTTACCGACAGGATTGGAAAAGATACAGAAACTTATATTTTAGTTAGTTCGGTGTCAAAGAGCAAACATTGAACATAAATCGTTTATTAGTAAGAAAAATTTAAATGTTTAATATTTATTTGCTGTGTCTGGTCCTAATTTGTTCCACCCTATATAATATAGATTGTTTGAAACATAACCTGGAGTTATCCAAGAAGCTTAAATTACAAGGTTTTAAAATACTTATATAACATAATTGGATGTACGAGCAATAATGTTTCGTATTTTTTTCCCTAAATTTTCTATTTTTTTTTTGATATCTTGCTTAAAATATTACTTTAAACCAATAATATACCTCATCATTAAAATACATAATAGAACATTATTGAAGTCAATATTTTTTTTATATAACAACATTGCACGGATTGCCTTACGTTAGTCAATTATTTAAAACATATATTTGCACGCATTGTCAAAGTTTCGTTTAGAAATAGTAGCACTCGTTTTGGGTGGTGCTTACATTTTTTATAAGTACATTATCATATTTTGTGTTCCAATAAATATACAACACAATTATCTTGTTTTATTTAACAAAAGCATGGTGGTGTAATTAATTACAACTTAAAATTTGATTTATTACCTACCTATTTGTTATACATTATTCCTATATTATATGATATGAAAAGATGATAAAAAAATAATTCCAAAATAATTTAGAAACTAAAACTGTCAAAAATTTCAAATAAAAGTCATATACAAAAATTACATTTTAAATTCATTATGAGTGGATATTTTAATCTAGCAATGAGATTGTATAACAAAAAACAACAATTATAAAATCATTTGGACAATAACTGTTTACGTACGTATTGTCTTAACTATTCATAGAAAATATATTTTACTAAGAAAAAAGGCCCGAGTATAAGTTTATTCTCATAAGCCTGGTTGAGGAATCTCATTTGACATTTAGTCGTTCTACCGAACGTGTGCATGAAGGAAATACTAGAAAAGCTATATAATTATTGAGATTTAAATAATTACTATCCCTCTATTAATTCCTTTTGGTGGTGAAGATTTTATAACAGTCATTGTATTCTTATGGAAATGAGAAATTTTTGTACAATAATATATATTTATTGATTAATGTCCATTTAAAACGTTTAAATCATAGTACGTACGCTGTTGATAAGAAGTGTTAAAATATTTTACAGTTAATATTATAAATGCGTCGTAGGAAGTCATTGCTATTAATTTACGACAGGAGCATTAAAAGAGTTAAAGCAGTTGTTTCGCAATAAAGACATGTGAGTGTATATTTGATATTATTTTGAATTTAGGGAAAGGTAAAAATACGGAATTATATTCTTTCTTCCCAATTTGTACACCTAAAATTAACGTTAAACAAAATTTTATGATTAATAATATGAAAATAAAATAATAAAAAAAATAACATCAATAGTCGAATGCTACTGTGTTGAGAATTTAATATATTATTATAGATTAAATTTTTATTTAAAAAGCTAACAGTTTGTTGATCATATCTCAATTAAATGTTCACAAAAATTATGTTAAATTATTTAAAAATGTCTCATTTTTATAAAATATAATTTTAAAGTAGAAACGAAGAAGTTTTTAAAGTAAAATACATTTTAAGGCCATAGTTAGTCTCAATAAAGACTAACGAACACACATCGACATTAGTGTCGATCATTTTTATCGATATAACGTTAAAGGAAGCATATCGTGTGTAATCACGTCACTCAGGAAAAGCTGTGGGCAGGAACTTTTTGTGAATTAAACGATAGCCGTTGTCACATCCTTTGTAGCTGGAACTGACCGCTTGATTTCTTCGTACAGCTCCGTCGAAGGAAGCAGTATTATTTCGATGCCCGGCACACGCATAGCTCCGCATATAAATAATAGAAATTATATAATTATGTACCGGCGATTGCTAGGCGCGGGGCCGTCGTGAATCGTAATGCCGGCCGTGGTGGCCAATAAATAATTATTACTATGACATTCCGATAAATTCTATCGTTTTTTTTCTTCGATAGGAAGGTCGCTGTTATCGGTTAAAAGATATAACACTGTAATAGAATGATAAGCTGACTAATTGTATGTAAACGTTTACTGACTAGCTTGGATTTAATGTGTTTTTGGCTTTATACTATTAAAATTTATAATCGTTTTAATATTACTACAGTAGCCAATGCTTTTATTTCTCATAATGACTACTTAACACAAGAAAACTTGATTGAATAGTAATAATAATCGTCGTTTTACATAGCTATAGTTGAGTAATTAAGTTTATTAAATCGCTAACACTGATATATTATGCTAATTAATGCAACTTTGTTACAATACAACATATATACGTGTATAAAATATAAATATGTAAAGGATGCAACATTAGACATGTCGGTTGTAATGTAATGCGATATTTCAAAACAAACGGGCGATCTATTAGATAAATCGTTCTAAGGTGAATACTGTTTTAAGTCTATTCTAAGATTTTTGCGACTACATAAGTCTATAGGTATCTATGTTGTTTCATAATTAGGGAAGATTATTCAAATAGAATAGAAGCAGGATATCTTTATTGAAACAAATATAATAGATTAATATCAAATATTCTATAGATATTACTAGATAATGTATGTATGATTATTTTAAAGATTCTGGCAATGAAAATAA